GGTTCTTCTCATCTAGTTCTTGTTGTTGTGCAGCCATTTTAAGATAAGTGAAAGTCTTACCCGACCCAGGTGGTGCAATTAGACCTGTTATACCATTCTGAGCAAATAAGAACTTGTCATGTATAGGCTTTATCTGAGCATTTTCTAACTTCCTCTTGTTCTTGTTTAAAACATTCTCAAATTTTTTGTCAATGTCAGCAAACTTTTTTTCTAACATATTTTTAGAAAAATTAAAATTTTTATCTTTTAGAAAATGTCTAGCGATTTCGCTATCTATATTCGAGACAAACTTTTCGACAGCAAAACATCTGTCGACCATAAAATCTTACATAGTGTAAACAAGAAAGGTGAATTTGTTCTAAAGTTCTGTTTCTGGGAATATGACAAGAACCATAAAACATTAAGCAGAGCAGTCTTAAAATTTGTCAATGACAGACTTGTTGACAGAGATGACGCCGATTGGAAAGATGAAGTCCAACAAAAGTTCTTAGAATGCAAAGAAGACACATGCGCTTTTCTTGAAGATGAAATAGAAAACAGAATAGATGAGCTATTAAAGGACAAAGAACTTTTACATAAATATAGTTGCGCCAAATTTGACATAACTCCACCAGAAAAGAAGAAGAGAGAAAAGAAAGAAAAGAAAGTAGAAGAAGAGAAGAAAGAACCTGAACCAGTTCCAGAGAAAAAGAAATTTGACATGTAAAAATAAAATTTTATTTTTAGAACATTTCAGGGTCAATGTCAATGTTCTCTTCCTCTTTAGGAGTAAACACTGGCTTAGACTCTAAAATCTTTTTACCCAATTTACCTTGAACTTCTACAACTTTAGACTCATAATATTCATAGTCGTCTGTCTTCTTTGGTTCATAAGGTATAACAAGTTTGTATGCTTTGCCTTCTTTAAGGTTTGAGAACCTTCTGTCAAAACTTTCTTTGACTGTTAACAAACCTTCTATGTCTAAGTCTTCAAATTTCGCACCATTTTTAGTCACAATAGCAAACTTAACTGGTTCGATGTTCCAAACTTTGCTGAATGAAGACTTTTCAAAATGGTAGAAGTAAACATTCAAATATGTGAATGGGTCTAGTTCTTCTTTAAGTCCTGACATGTACTTGTTTACTGAAATATATTTTGTCATCTTTTCTATCGGATAAAAAAATATTTTTTTAAAATTTACTCAGAAAAATTTTTCTTTGTATATACACCATTCTGTACGTCTAAAAGACTTTTGACATTTGCCAAGAATGTACGTTTAGAAGCTGCCATATAACCATACTCTTGACAATATTGTTTATATTCATCATATAAAGACCTTTCATCTAATGACACAAAGTCAGTTTCATCTACGAACAGTTCATATACACTCTTGTTTGCTTCTAACAATGTTTGTCTCTCTTCGGTATGTGGAATTTGTCTTGGATTGAACTTAGAAATATCTAATGTCATGAAATATGAGAACAAGTGGTTGTAAAAGTCAGATGTCAAACATTCTGACAAAGCGTCAAAATATTCAGTATCTTGCATATGAGAATCTGACGTTCTGATAACTATATATCTTCTGTCAGAACTTTCTAACTTCATCGGAACAGCATTGTTTGAAACCATAATGAAGTTTGCAACATTCTCACAAACTCTCTGGTCTTTATACTTTCTTTCAACAACTCCAACTTTATCTGTTATAAGACTCTTCAAAGCATCTGAGTTTAAAACTTTTGTTGTATCTATACTTTGAAGTTCGTTACATACTATAAGTTTCATATTCTCAATTGAAGAGTTAAATTTACCACAGATGTTTTCTATGTTTGTCATATTAGGGTTCGAATAACCTTCTAACAGTTTGCATAAGATATCTGTAAAGAATGTGTTCTTACCTGTTCCTTGTTTTCCAATTATAATGAGAGCAGTTTCATTCTTAGCACTTGGATGTTGTAAGATGTTTGCAAACCAACATAAGATATACTCATAAACCTTTTCGTTTCCATTGCATATAATTTCTTTGACATGGTCTAACCAAGCTTCTATAATATTTTCTTTCCATTCTACTTGTTCATATTTATATCCAGTGAAGATAGAATAGAAGTTTGGAGAAGGTGTATAAAACTTTATACCTCGAACTGAAAAATCTTCTAACTTTGACAATAAGATATCCCAAGCATCTAACATCTTCATGCCAACTTGTACGACTTTTATTTTCTTAAGTTTCTGTCTACATTCTTGTTCTGAAACTATTGTCGCTTTAGGTTTGTTAAAGACTACATCCCATTCTTTCATAACATAACATTCTGGGGCAGAGTCGACATAAATGACTAAACGTTTCAAATTCTCGACTGCTTTGTTATAGTCTCGAAATGGACACATATTTCTGAATGCTTGGAAGTCATAAAAATCTGAAACATCTATTCTGTACATTTTTATAAAAATAAAAAAAATATTATTTTTTTATTCTTGACTTTGTTGTTCCATTTGTTGCATTTGTTGTTCTTGAGCTATTTGTTGTTGAAGTTGTTCTTGTAATACAATACTTTCACCAGTTGCATCTTCCAATTCGAAACTTTCTGCCGTCATTGACAAATACATAGGACATAAAAGTTTTACAGGAACAAAGTTTGCGTCAACTAATGTCAACGTTATACTTGCCAAAGTGTTTGAGTTCACTAAGGTTGAAAATTCTGCATTCGAATGAACAATAGGCAAACCAGCAGAGAAAGTATTTTTTATACGCATAAGTATCTTTTGGTCATAATAGTTTCTGTCGACATTCGAATAACACTTTGAACCTAAGTTTGAAACAATATATAAGATTGGTGTGCTTAATGTCAATGGAATAGACATTCCTTGTATGACACCTTTTCCTGTTATGGGAAACTGTTGGTTGTAAAAACCAGATATAAGTTTTGTATTATAGCTCATATCATTAATAATAAACTCAGTCGGACATCCAAAGATAATGAAACCTGCTTTAGTTGCAGCACATGTTACACCCGTACTTAAAGTATTAAATAAGTCAACAAAACCTGTTGGTGGTATATCTGAATAAGTATCTTCAAAGGAGTATTTTTTACCATTCACAACAATAAAGTCTTCTGGTGTCAAAAGAGCAAAACAGGCTTTAGTCGTCATTGTGTTTAAGGTTAGTTTACAATATCGTCCTTGAGGACTTTGTAAGTTTGTTGTTATAGAATTATATGACTCAGGGTTTTTAGTCGTAATAGTATAAACCATTATGTCTTCTGCCATTTACTTAGCAAATAAATTTTAATGAAATGTTGTGGTCGTCAAATATTTTTATAACGTCTGGGAAACTATATTTTAAGTTCAACGTTTCACCTCCTTTCATAACGTATATCTTGTCAATGACATTATATGAAACACCACAGCAACTAATGTCGGGTTCTATTTCTTTGATGTTTATATCGTCTGCCTCTGTCAAAAGTTTCAATAGTTCTTTCAAAACTTCATGAGGTGCAATGACATATGAGTTCACTTTTACAGGGTTGTGTTCGACCAAGTTTAACATTATACTTAAAGCTTGACAAATCTTCTCCTGAGTTTGAAGTTTGTCTTTCAGTTGTTGGTAGTCGTTTCGAATATCTGCAACAGAACTTAAGTCTCTGTTAACTTCAGGATATGTTGGTTCTTTTACAGGAACAATTGTTATACCATCTTTGTCTTCGTATGGTTTCCCCACTTCAACATCTCTGTCTTTGACATTGACAATAACACTTTGACTGTTTGTTTGAGTTGGTGAATTTAACTTCACATCTGCCACCGCCATTAAACCTTTTGAAACACTTACGCTTCTATTTTTCGGAAATGACATTTTACTTAGAATAAAAAGATGGACGTATTCGGATATCTCTTTGAATTGAAGCAGAACAAAGTTTATACTCACAAACAATACAAGTTCATTGACAGAATAGTTCTTTATACAAACAATGGTAAATGTTATAGAATAGCAATATTTGCTGAACCAAAATATTTTCATAAAGCAAAGAAAGTTGGTATCACTGAAATGGTGAAAGTTCTTGACGTTGACAAAAATATAACAACAAAACTGACCGATATTACTAAAGGTAAGTTTATAATACAATATTATGTCAAAACTGGCGTACTGTCAATATTTGACGGAGAGAAGTCAGTTCAAGAACAACTTACTGACCTGCTGCCAAAATCTGCTCGATGGAAGCTGTCGTTATGCCAATCTGAGGAGCCCCAGCAGGTTTCATCGAACGAATCTTCAAAAGAGCATCTTCCGTGAAAAGTGCTATTGGTTTTGTAAACTTCTTTGCTCTCAATTCATCTGGACCGTCTCTGTCACCAGTATATTGTATTTGTACAGTACCAACAGTTGAAATACCACCCATAAAGTCTTCTGAGTCAGCAAATGGAATGCCAAGCCAAAAGTTTGAACGGTCTCCATTTGTATATTGAGTTTTTTGACCTCCTGTATGAGTCCATACTTTCACATATGGCATAATAGAACTTTGCATCTCAGGGTTAATAGTTGTTGTGAAGTTGTTGTTAAAATTCATAGCATCTAATGTCACGTTGTATGACCTCATATCCTCAACTGTAGAATATTCTTCTCTTGGATAATATTTGCCATCTATGTTTATATGATATTTAATATCAGGGTTGTAGAAACAAGAATAGTCATTTATAGTTCGTCTGAACAGTACAAACATAGTATCTGCATGTTTCATTGCAGTTGTTAAAGCAATATCTGTTCTTGCACCTGCGGCTCCTGAATTTTGGTTTCCAACTTCACCTGCAAAGTCTTTGACAGATATTTGGTGTATAGGGAACATAAGTGGAACTGCAATATATTTGGCAGCTAAAGCATTTGAAATATCTGGGTCCAACATATAGACTGCAAGTCTGCTTTCTATTCTCTTGCATTCAAATTTTTCGCATGTGAACTTAACTGGGTCCCAAGCATCTCCAGCAGCATTGAAATAATAGTTTACTTCAGTGTTGAGGTTTGAGAAACCAAAGTCTAAGTCAACTTTGTTTTTGCAAAATTCGGCGAATGATGTTTGATTTGTTCCCTTTACGTCTGTAATAGTGAATGGGTCTTGTGTTGGTGCAATGACTAAGTTATTTTTGCTTGGAGTAAGTTCGATAGAAATTTTTCCTGCCCAGTTTGGCAAGTATCTTAAAAACCTGAAGATGAGGAAAGATGACAAAGGAACTCTAAGTTTCAGTTTTACTTTGGTTACTGCTGCTGCAGTTTGTCCAGAAAGGTTAACATAAACTCCTGGAACGTTAGGGTCAAGTCTTCTTATTTTCTCAATAGTTGCATACTGGTCTGTTTGTTCTCTAGCTTGTGGTTGTACTGAGTTTCTTAAAGCGAACCATTCATAGTTTGCCCATGTTACTGTTTGAACTAAGTCAGAGTTAGAATATATCTTATATCCCATGAAAACTTCTGGAGCATATTGGTATCCGACATAGAAAATTCCATTGCAACCTTTCTTGTCAGACAACTTGGCAGAAGGTTTTATTTCAATGTCTTGTTCCACTTATAAGAATGAGTTGTCAATAGAAATAATGTGAAACCTGTCGCAAGCAATATCTATTGTTGTTGAAGAACATTCTCCAAACTCACCTACATTTCCATAAGAAACAGCAGTTGTATATTCGTAAGTTCCAGGAACTATTTCTGACCTTCTAATGGCATTGTCGCATTCGTTATACCATTCGGAAACATTTCCGTTCATGGCATCCAAAACTGTTGGCGTAATATTCTGAGCGGCGTACATTTCATATGGGTAAAAATATAGAATAGTTGGATTTATGTGTCATAATAGAACCCACTCGGACCAAGCTTTACTTTCTTCCTGGCTGAGTTTTTAACTGAATCTTTAACTCTTCTTTTTCCTTCATTGCCACTACTTTCACTAGATGAAGTTACTTCTTCACTACTTTCACTTTGTTCTACTCTTCTCTTCTTCTTTGGTGTCGCTTTTGGTAACTTGCCCTCTGCTTCAAGTTGTAGCATCTTTGCCTCATGTTCACCTAGTATGTTGTAAATTTCCCATGTCCTTTTTGCCTTTGGGCTCTGGTCGTCCATCTCAGGTAACCTATATCCTAGAAAGATTTTGTCATAGTTTGTATTTGAGTCTTTGCTTATTGTTTGCATGACTCTTTCCTGAGTTTCCGGTTCAAGCTCTTCAAACAGAGCTTGTCCATATGGAATAAGCTCGTTTCCAAATATATGTTTTTGTAGCCATTCTGGTTTTCTTTCCATGTTACCAATAATATCTTTTGTGAATGGGAAAGCTTTTACCCAACGCTTCAGTCTTGCGTCATTTATTTCTGTAGTTGGTTTTATTTTGTCATGGAACATGTTTTTCAATACTAACATTTCATTTGGTACTGTCCATTTGAGTTTTCTTAAATATTCATCCATTCTCGGTTCATTGTCTGCAAAGTAAGTTTTTATGACATTTTGCAAACTTTCGTTTGCAAGGTCATGTACAATAGGTTCTCTTCCTTCTCTCTCCCTAACTTTCTTTCTAAACTCTTCACCAAATATACCATCTCTATGGTTCTGTGTAGTTCTTTGAGATAAATGTTCTAGAACGTCAGGTGTTATAACAATGTCAGTTGAAGCTTTATTAATGGCAATAGTAAGAGGACAACCCTTAAAGGAAAATATATATCATTTAATAATGATTGATATTAGTTGAAAGATAATTCCTTATAATAATGATTGATAGTAAATTAATTTGAATTCTATGAGGATCTGCATATTTCATACTGGTCCAAAATATCTGCATATTTCATATCTTTCAATGGCATTAAAGCCGCGCTGAAAATACCAGCTATATCTGGTTCACCATTCACTTCCATTGCGTCTACAACTTCTTGGAATTGTGGTTGTAAGTTTATGAACCACCTATCCGGATTAGCTTTATGACCCCATCTCATTGTAGTTCCATAGTCTGCAGAAACAAAAGTATGTTTGTTTCCATATTGGTTAGGTTCTGAATGAACTTTAAACAATGTTTCATTTCTATATGTTTTGTTGAAATTTAACCTTTTATTTTCACCGAGTTCAGCCAAAGATTGAGCGTTATATGGTCGTAAATAAAAAGGATTATTGTATTTGCGTACATTATCTTTCAGTACTTCCATTCTATGCTGAATATTTTCATCTGATGTTGGAGTCTTTTGTATGTCGGTGAACATTTTTCGATATTCTTCTACTATGTCAGCCGAATTTTTCTTAGACTCTTGGAAAGATTCCATATTCTCCTCATACACTTGTTGAGGGTCAAGATTTTTCGGCTGTTCCAAATCTTCATCTAGTTCTGTGAAGTTAGTTTCCAAAGGAGGGACTTGTTCGTTTCCTTCAGGCTCTTCTAGCTGTTGTTGCTGAACTATTTCTTCCATGTCTGGTTGTATCTGAACTTCTTCCTGTTGAGTTTCTTGTACCTCATCTGCTGGCATTTCATATATTCCGAGACCGTTTTTAACAAGTTCCCTATCTAAGTCATCCGGACTCATAAGCCTTTCTTCTTTCGTTCCGTCTCTATTTTTTACGCGTTTCATGAAGAGAGTTGAATTATCATTTAGCTCTGACATCAAATATCTCGGAGTAAATTCATCCATGTCATTTGGATGATATGCTATTAAATCATATCCCTTAGCGAGCTTATATTTTCCAGGTTTGAGATTATATCCCATTTGATGCTGAACCATAAAGCTAAATAGGTTCGGGTCAGTATTTCCTTCCTTAAACTTTCTAATAGCTTCTTTATATCTGTCACTAAAGTCAAGAGTATCTGGGTAACCATAATCTTCCTTAAGCATTTTTAAGAATTCTTGGTTTCCTTTTTCTCTACTTCTTTTATGTCCTTGCTCTTTTTGTGGTTGTTGTTGTGCAGGGTTTTGAACTGTTGGTTGTTGTGTTGGTTGTGGTTGTTGTTGTGCTGGTTGTGGTTGTTGTGCTGGTTGTGGTGCAGGTGCAGGGTTTTGAACTGTTGGTTTTGGTTGTTGTTGCTGTGCTGGATTTTGAACTGTTGGTTGTTGTGTTGGTTTTGGTGCATGCCTGTGTCTGTGTCCATGTGACGATGTAAACGTTTTAGGTAGTCCTGGTGCAGGTGCTTCTCTTGGAGGGTTTGGTGGTATATAAGTTCCACCAGCTGGCACATATGTTCCATCTGCAGCATAATGTCCTACCTGACTTTTCGTTTTTAAGAAAGCATTTACTAGGTCTGTTTTGGTCTGTTGTAACTCTTTTTCTTGACTTTCCACAACAGTTGCTCTAACGGCGTCATAGGCACTTTGAACTGCCTGTCTCGTTGCTGCATCTGTTATTTTCGTCATATTTTGTGCTACTTCTCTTAACTCTTTGTCGAAACCTTCAGACTTCAGTTTCTTTCCAGATGAGAAGTCGTTCACTAGTTTCACCTTACTATGAAGAGCTTCGAAGGCATTCTTAAAGTCAGCATTCATTAAAGCTTCATTTGAACTGTCTTCATCCGCTTGTATTTTTGTCCTTATTGACCCTATAAGTTGGGCTGCTTTAGCGTTGGCTTGGGCATCTAACCAGTCATTATTAGCTTTTATATATTCTGCGCTTTTCATTGCCTTTTGCATGGCTGCGTCGTTATTTTTACTTTCTTGTGCTAAGTTTTCATACTGTACGGTTTGGTTTTGCAACTGTAAAAGTTTTTCTGCCTTTACATTTGCTTCAACTTCTTTTTTATACTCATCGCTATCCATATATGTCTTCAGGGCTTTTTGTTTTATCTCTTCATCTTTCAGTACTTTATATTGAGTAGTATGGTTTTTCAAATTTATAACATCTTGTTCCATTTTTGCTACTTCTGCTGCTTTTTCTGACACTTTTTTCGCATATTCCTCTGTACTTAGTTCTTTCAGTTGTTCTTCTTTCTTCTTTTCTCTGTGTTTTAACTCATTTAGTTTCTTTGTGTTCTGTCATATTCTAGTTTCTTTTCGTTTCACTTATTTGTTTCTGTATGTCTATGTTTGTTTTTGAACATCTGTTATTTGATTTTTGAGTGAACTCAAATTCATTTGACTTTGAGGGTTATAAGCTGTTCCGTCTGCAGCTCCACCATAGCCTGCCATTTTCGCTAAAAGTGCCGCTCTTAGACCTCCACTCTGTGCACCAATAACTCGGTTTAAAAGCATAGGGTTGCTTGACATTTGTTGCAACATAGTGGGGTCATTCATCATTTGTTGTTGCAACTGTTGTTGTGGTGTCAGTTTTACTATTGGATGTTTCAATGCTCCTTCCTCTTACGTATATTCTTACGTAGCTTACGTGGCATTTTAAGTGAAGTTAAAAAGCGGTTTTTGACAGATGTTTATATGACACTTTTTGTTCAGCTCAAAAAACTATCCGGTCAAAGTGTTGTCAGTTTTGTAAAATAACCGTCCTATCTCATTCTATAAGGGGGAAAAGGCTTCTCAAAGTGTACTTCCTTGGAACGCCTGTAACTTTTCCTGTAGCGACGATAGACCCTTACTTGTCCGGACAAAGTTATACTATTTTGAGTGCTCTACAAAAAAGTCAACGGCGACGACTCTCAAAAACCGTTGTGCAAAAAGTTTTACCGTTGGACAAAAAAGTATATATAGAAAACAAAAAACGTTTATAGTTCATTCAATATTTGAGATGGAACGGTTTCCAATGGTAACTATTAAATAAAATAAAAAATAGAGGGGGTCTCCGTTGACGAAAACGGTTTATTTTAAACTTTTCTATGAGTGGTCCGAAAAAAACAGTTCATTTTTCATAATAGAAGGAAGAAAAAGTGTCGCAAACAATTCGTCGACTACCTCTGCAGTTAAAGTTCCTACAACTTATGTCTCACCATTCTCAAAACCCTTACGACCTCCTATAATACCAAAGCAACTTCCTCATACAATTCAAGACAAATTGTCCAACAATTTGAGTTCTTCTTCTTTTCAAAACACAACAGAAACATCTGAAACAGTTGTCCAAACAGCACCAGAACAAGTTTCACATAGTTCTACAATTCAAGACAAATTGTCCAACAATTTGAGTTCTTCTTCTTCTCAAAACACAACAGAAACATCTGAAACAGATTTACAACCAATAGAACAAGATATAGTCTCTCAAACTACAAGTATGTTAACAAGAGCACAATTTCAAGATTTAATTTCTCTTGAACAATATTCGAGTAACAAAACACAAAGCGACGACTGTAACCTCTCGCTACCCGAATCCATTCAAAGAAAATACGCCATGAAAAGACTGAAATTGTTGTATAAACTTCTTAACAATTGGGGGGTCGAAGACAACTCAGATTATAGTGAAATGTTTAACAAAGTCATAGAATCTCTTAAACCAATTGAAAACGACATAAAAAATCCCGGTGTTCTTGTAGACCTTTTCGCCTCAAAATTACCAGTTACAACTAATCTAAGAGCAACACAAGCTATAGAGCAATTTATTTTATGTTTTCCCAAGCAATATAGACAACACCTGAGGGAAACAAGAATAGGAAAATTTCAATTGGTGTATCCTACAACATACAACTATTTCGAAGAAGCAAATGAATATGGAGAACTCTCATTCCATTTCACACTTTCAGTTCCTGAGGGAGAAGAAAAAGCAATCTATCATGTACAATCTCTTGCAGGATGTGAAGGAAAACCTCACATAATAACTACTGTTGCAATTGACAAACCTGCAAGAGTCGAAGACGATGTTTTGTTCGCGTCCATTGCTGGTTTTGGCATGGGAGAACCAATTTCAATTTCCCATTTCACAGAATACTCAGCACAACATTTTCAAAATGTAGAATTTGTGTTCTACGACCATCAAAAGTTCCTGCTAACAAAACCAAAGAAACAATTTGTCTCAATATTTGTTGCTGGTCATGTGGCTGACAAAGAGCCATCAGATACTGACTATGAAGAAGAGGAGGAGGAAGAAGAAAACGATAGCGATGTCGTTCTTATCGAATAAAAACTTTAATTTTTTACTATATAATTTTTTAGTTCTCCTCTAGGTTTTTTTAGGGGCTAGAAGGGGCGCAGCCCCTGGAAGCCCCACTCACCTGACCTTGATCTATGTATGATAGTAAAAACAGTTTTGAGCTTCCGATGCAAAGTTGCTGTAAAATCAATCCGAGAGAAATAAATTTTATGTCAAATTCAATTTGATCAAAACTGAGAAAAGATGCAAAATGTTCGTTCAATTTTGCATACTAATTCTGTAAAGTTTGCATATGTCATGCGTAAGCGTGAAAACAGAAGACAAACGTTTATTCGCGATGTAGAAGAACCAATTCGAAAATTTACCATAGGTGTTCATCAGCGTCCAATTCCAGAACAAAAGACAGTCAAAAAAGAAAATAACAATGATTCTCCATCGGTATCCAAAACATTTAACTTGTCTTTAGGAGTTTATATTTCAAATATGAATAATAAAAAGGTAAATAAAGACGCCATTTCGAATGTCTTTTACTTAGATTTCACAAACACACAAAACTTAGAATCAGCTTTCTTAAAACCTTTAAATAACTTTGCAAATTTACAAATTATTTCTCTTTCTAACACCGGATTAAAATAGGTCCCCAAGGCAATACTTAATATGCATGGAACCTTCAGTACATCGATCTTTCGCATAATTTTATCTCAGAAATTCCAATCAAAGCAAAATGGTCTCACATTCGAGGCTTAAATCTGAAAAAGAACGCATTTATTAGATGGCCTGATGCAATATCTCAAGCTAATATGCCGAAAATAGAGTTCATTGATCTTTCTTATAACAATTTGTACGCTGGAATTCCTGCAACGCTAAAATTCGAAAACCTTGAACATTTAAGATTGGTATACTGTTGTTTGATCAAGTTTCCGCAAGTAGCAAACAACACTCAGTCTTTGAAATCTTTAGACATAAGTGGAAACCAAGATTTACGTAATTTCTCGCTTGGTGATATCGCTTCTGACTCCTCTTTAGAATTTATTAATATACAAGGCATTAAAGTGAATGATTCCGGAAATATTTCTCAATTTCCTCCAAACTTAGTTGTTGCTAGCGAAGGTAAGAATGTTCAGATCCCACCTTCTTCAAATTCATTGTTTATATTTAAATAAACCTATAACTTTGTTTGATATAAATTAATTATTTATATTTTTATTACGATTTTAGACAAAATATAGTGTGGAGAAAGGTGAATTCACTATTTTTGACAAAATTTTATAATTTAATAAATGTAGGGGTGTTACATTTTGTTGTTATCACCTTGTATGTGATAAGGAACTTTTATAATACAAATATTAGAATGTATATAGTATTCACTGAAATCGATAATATAAGATCCCATACTCCCACATATATATGTGGTCCTAATTTGGCCCCTTAATCAAGATTGTGAGAGTTGGACTACTTCTTCATAAACTCTCACCAAAAAAAAATCAAACGTGATTAAAACGGCTAGTAAATCATTGGTCGTCGATAAGTATTTGTATGAAATTTTTTTCCAACTTTTTTTGCCTACAAAAATGTCAAATTTTCATTCAAAAAAAATGTCATAATTATTATAAATGGCTGAAGAAGAAGAAGTTCTTTATATAGAATACGAAGAGGAAGATGAAGAATCCAGTAGTAGTGTTGAAATTGAGTTTGATACAAATACTACACCGAGTTTTCATAGAGTCTTAACAGATTCAGATATCACAAGGATGGCAATGAATGACATTAAAAAGAAATACAACGGAAGTAGTAATTCTTCTGTAGATGAGAGGATTGTTCGTGACTTTTATACAATATCAAAGAGGCATCCAAAAGAACTTGGATTTACAGTGCTGCCTTATAACAATGACATACATGTGTGGGAGGTTCGTTTATGGAGTTTTGATAAAGACACTCCAATCTACAAAGATATGCAGATATTTGAAGCTAAGACAGGAAGAAATTATATTGAATTAAGAGTCTCATTTCCACCAAATTATCCAATTCATCCGCCTTTCATTCGTGTAGTCTACCCACGCTGCACAGGAGAAAGAGTCTTAAATGGTGGAGCATTTTGCATTTCTGCTCTAACATTGACTAAAGAAGATGGCTGGTCACCAATATATGATTTTGAGGATCTGCTTTCTAGTATACTTGTAGAAATGCGCTCTCAAACCGTAAGTGATCCTCTGCGTATTAATTTTGAAAATGATACACCGTATTCTGTTCAAGAAGCAATTAGTACGTATAGACGACTTGCAGGTATTCATGGTTGGACAGCTGTTATTAAGGGATATACTCCTCAATAATTATATTTATTTTAATTTTCTAGATAAAACAATAAAAATTTGCGTTAATGTATTAATTCGATAAAATAATATCAAATTTTTGATTCATCAAATCAACAAAAATTCTATCAAAATTACAATAACTTTTTGCTGTCTGGCCAGATATTTTAAATACTAGAATGTCACAAAAACATATGATATTTGTATGCTTAAAGAATGGAAGCAAATAATCCCAATAATCGAGATCCAAAAAACATCCTTTGTATAAAGTTAACTCATTTTGTGATAATATAAATACAAGTACCTCATTTAAGCAATACTAATTCAATAAAGCTCTAAAACAATATATATAATTTACAAAAACAGGTAAATACATGATAAAGTAATAAAAACATCTGAATTCATGAGAACTTAAAGAAATGAATTACTTTTTCTTTCCTCATATTGCAATATGAAGCAAAAGGGAATAATTATTTGCTAAGCGTAAGTCGAATACATTTATGCTCTTGTTCCAGAGCATAGGTTAATGCACGAATCTTTGCCAGTTGTATTGAAATTGCCTTATCTCTTTCTTCCATTTTGGAAACTTCTTCTTTGGATGATTCGTGAATTGATTGTAATGAATTTACTTCTTCTTTCTCATATATTTCAAATCTGTGCGCTTTTTCAGCATTTTCTGATTGCTGAAGTATGAATTCTGAAAATTTATTGAGTTTTTCGTTTGCAAATGGAACAATAGTTTCTTCAATTGAATGATATGATACATCTGAGAACTGATGTCTAGTTATTATTGGTTTTGGAATGTTACAACGTCGAAGAGAACTCATTTTTATCTTCTACTGTACGTTAAAATTCAATTTTCCAAATATTCCTTACATGCTTTTGGATGAATAGAAGGGTAATATTTTAAAAAAAAAATCAAAATATTTGGGATAGCTTGCGTAAAAACTACTCATCCCTGATAGTAATGAAGCAGCTAGCTCTTTAATTTTTATTTTACAATAAATATCCTTTCTTTTACAAGCTCTAACCAAAGATTTTGGATTTAATCAGTCGCATATAATGGTACCGCGGCCTATTTTTCATATTTTTATGGATTTTTTAAAAACAAAATTCTTTAAAATGTGCACGAACTTCAAAAGTAGCAATTGGAGTGTGAGTATATCCCATTGTCTAAATATTATCATTTGAGCAATTATAAATGTCACTTTTTGAAAAATTTGAAACGGAATCTAAATTAATTATTTTATTTTGAAACTTTATTGATTGAGATGAATTTTATATGTTGTGGCGTAATTTCGAAAATTGAAATAAGTGAACGGTTATAAATGGCCGACCGCTTTTTTATTTTTCACTGATGTCTGCTGAAGTCGAAACACTTGAGTTCCAGGCTGAAATCAACCAGCTCATGTCACTCATTATCAATGCTTTCTACACAAACAAGGAAATTTTCCTCCGTGAGTTGATTTCCAACGCATCTGATGCATGCGACAAGATCCGTTATGATTCTCTCAAGAACCAGGCCATCCTTGGCAACCAGAAGGAATTCTTCATCCATATCCGCCCAGATAAGGAGAACAGATGCCTTTCCATCATCGATTCTGGTATCGGCATGACAAAATCCCATCTTATCAACAACCTTGGTACAATCGCTCGCTCCGGCACACGCCAGTTCATGCAGGCCATCGAAGAAGGCGCTGACCTTTCCCTCATCGGTCAATTCGGCGTCGGCTTCTTCTCCGCTTTCCTTGTTGCCGACCGCGTTGTTGTCACATCCCACCACTCCGATGATGACCAGTACATCTGGGAGTCCGAGGCTGGCAAGAACTTCACAATCCGCCGTGATCTCGAAGGTGAAGACCTTATCCGTGGTACACGTATCGATCTTTACCTCAAGGAAGACATGACAGAATTCCTTGAAGAGAAGAAGCTCAAGGAGCTCATCAAGAAGCACTCTGAGTTCATCCAGTACCCAATTTCTCTTTGGGTCGAGAAGACAAAGGAAGAGGAAGTCTCCGATGACGAAGAGAAGAAGGAAGACGAAGAGAAGAAGGAAGACGAAGAAAAGAAGGACGACGAGATCAAGGAAGTCGAAGATGAAGCAGAAAAGAAGGATGAAGAAAAGAAGAAGAAGAAAGTCACAATTGTCGAACACGAGTGGGAACTCATCAACAAGAACAAGCCACTCTGGCTCAGACCATCAAATGAAGTCACAGAAGACGAATACGCCGAATTTTACAAATCAATCTCCAACGATTGGGAGAAGCACCTTGCTGTCAAGCACTTCCGCGTTGAAGGTGATATTGGCTTCACAGTCCTTCTCTTCGTTCCACGCCGTGCTCCATACGATCTCTTCGAGCCAAAGAAGAAGCTCAACAACATCAAGCTCTACGTCCGCCGTGTCTTCGTTATGGACAACTGCGAGGACCTCATCCCAGAGTGGCTCAACTTCATGAGAGGTATCGTTGATTCTGATGACTTACCACTCAACATTTCCAGAGAAACACTCCAGCAGAACAGAATCATCAAGCTCATCCGCAAGAACATCATCAAGAAGTGCTTAGAGCTCTTCAACGAGATCGCCGAGAAGAAGGAAGATTTCAAGATCTTCTACGAACAGTTCTCAAAGAATATCAAGCTCGGCATCCACGAGGACACACAGAACAGACCAAAGCTTGCCAAGTTACTCCGCTTCTACTCCACACAGTCAACAGAGGAACTCACATCTCTTGATGAGTACATCGAGAGAATGAAGGAGGGACAGAAGGGCATCTACTGGATCTCCGGCGAAACAAAGGAGGCAGTCATGAACTCTCCAATGCTCGAAGTCTTCCGCCAGAAGGGTATCGAAGTTCTCTTCTTAATTGACCCAATCGATGAATACTGCTTCCAGCAGTTGAACGAGTACTCCGATCACAAGTTGATGTGCATCACAAAGGAGAACTGCGAGATCGACGAGACAGAAGACGAGAAGAAGCAGTACGAGGACCTCAAGGCCAAGCTCGAACCAATGTTCACAAAGATCAAGGACTTGATCGGCAAGGACTGCGAGAAGGTCGTCCTCTCAAAGAGATTGGTTGTCACACCATGCGTCATTGTCACAGGTGAGTACGGCTACACAGCTAACTTCCAGAGATTGATGAACGCTCAGGCACTCAGAGATAACACAATGTCTCAGTACATGCAGGCAAAGAAGACACTCGAAATCAACGGAAAGCACCCAGTCGTTACAAAGCTCGTTGACATGCTCGAGAAGGATGAGACAGACAAGAACGCTAAGGAGATGCTCTCAATGCTTTGGGACACAGCTCAGCTCGCTTCTGGCTTCACACTCGCTAACCCAGCTGCTTTCTCTGCTAGAATCAACCGTATGGTCGCTGTCGCTTTAGATGTCGCCGGTCAACTCGAGGAGTTACCACCACTCGTCGAAGAGAAGCCAAAGGTTGAAGAGGCTAAGGAAGGTGAAGCTGCTCCAGCTGCTGACTCTGCTGACCTTAATAAGTTTGATGATGTCGATTAAAATAAATCTATATTTATTATTCTTATTAATTGATATAATAACTTTTTACTAAACAATAATCTTTTTCAAATATATGATATCTGATTCAAAATTATAAATTAAGTCTCTGAATGAATGTTGTAAAATCAATACCTTTTAATTATATAAGTATATGTTTGTGTAAATATATTGTGTTCTGCTTTCTTTGCTCGATATTGAATCATAAATACTTCAAAGTTATTGATGTGATATCAAATTATGAAAAAAATAAGCGATATCTTTCATATTTTTAAAATATAACCATTATACCGTTCAATCATAATAACTAAAATTCTAAAAAAATTGAAAAAAAAATAAGAATTCATTTGTTAAAATGATGCTTTATAAGTTGAATTTCCAAAATTTCCAAAATTTGGAAATATAGATATGTTTTATAATTCAAGCTTTGTGCTATGGTTTACATGTTTTGATGATCATTATTGCGAGGAGCTTATTCCAAAATATTTTTTAAGTGAAAGTTCGACTCACAGCGTTTTTTAATTGACATAGTGTAGCATTTGGCACACATAGAAGTTTTCCATCTAAACTAGTTCTGAGTGATCGCAAGAGAGGGAGCGAAATAGCAATATTATTATAATATATGTCACTTTTTAATCCACTCTTTAATTCTAAATTGTGATCTAGAACTGATAAATAACATTTTCTAAAACAAAAAATTCTGATCGAAAATTTGATAACTTTTTTATGCAAAAAATGTCGGATAAAGCAAGAGTTGTTGAGTTTCAAGTGAAATACATATACGTCCTTTCAGCTGTTGTGCCTTTCATAACTATCGGCTTGTGCTGGGCCTGCTATTACGGTCTCAAGCACAACAAAAATCGAATTTATCCGGTTCTCACAATCTCAGAAACGGTAGAGCTTATTCCAGAGTCAAGAATATTCAATATCGGAATGACTATTGAAGCCTTCCTGCAAGGAATTGTATTCGTTCTTCGTCAACATTATTTACATACAAAAATTAGGAGAGAATCTTCGCATATAAGGAAAGGTTTGAAGTACGTGACAACATTTTGTTCATTTTTCAGCCCATTTTTACTTATTGGATTGGCTAATTTCGTTGTTTCCGAGTTCTTTTTGATTCATATGTCAACAACAATATTATATTTCGTATTGACATTATTATACTTCTTTTTGTATGACATTTTGCTTTACTTAATTGGTCCGAAACCAAAGTTTTATAGCTATTTTGTCGTCCTTCTCGCAATGATTGCAAGTATCTGCAGTGTTGCGTTTCGAAATGCAGTAATTGTTAGCAAAGTATCATTTGTTACCATTTCTTCAATATCTCAATACTTGGCTGTGTTTTTGCTTTGCATTAAGTCAAGTCTTACAATTTTTGAGATACCATCACATGGAATTCGATTCTTTAGCAAGTAATTCATAGTATTTCGAAAACTATACCGTCTTTTACTTATTTTTTTGTTTAAAATTTTATATTATTTTAAATTTTATTTGTTATTTTTCATATGATGTAGTACGCATTTGTATAAGTCTCATGAGAATTGAAATAATTCAGATTTAATAATAATGCTTTTTTTTTTAATTGAATGGCATATTATAAGTTTTCATGCCTTATTGGATGGAACTACTATTATTTGATTGACTTGAATTACTTTTAACATATAATTGTAATAATTTAATTTTATTCAAGTATGCTTTGTTTGCGTTAGACATATTTATCATATGAAATAAGTAGACTAACAATATTATTATAATTATTTTCAATTGCAATGCAAAGGGGCGTTTTTCCATATTCATCTTTGATATCAGGATCTGCACCCTTTGAGATGAGAAACCTAACAATCTTTTTACGATTATGCTGTACTGCAATATGAAGAGGTGTTCTTCCATTGATATCTTTGGCATCGATATCCGAACCATGCGTAACAAGAAAATTGATGAGTTCAATACGATACTTGATTATTGCATAATGGAGAGCTGTTTGCCCTTTTTTATCAGTGGTATTCACATCATATGAAATAAGAAATTCTACCGCTTTAATGTCATTATACTTAATGGCATAATGAAGTATTGATTTTTCATTAATATCTTTTGCATTGATATCAGCACCATTATTAATGAGAAACTCAAAAATTTCCTGACTATCCAAAGATGGTTCTAACATTAACGAGAAATGAAGAACTGAGCAACCATTTGTTTCAAGTCTACAATTGATATCAATTCCATGTGAAATGAGAAACTCCACCATTTCTTTATCACCATAAGATATTGCAGAATGAAGAGCTGTTAATCCATTTTCTACGCTTGTGTTTACATTTTCTCCATATAATATGAAAATTTTGATAATTTCTTTATAATAATTTCTTATTGCATTTTGAAATGGGGTATAATTTTCCTTATCTTTTACATTTAAATTGGCTCCATGCAAAATAAGAAATTTAACAATTTCACATGAATTTTGAATTACTGCCATATGGAGAGAAGTCAGACCATCTTTGCGTATTGAATCAATATCAAGTTGATATTTCATATTATTTGAAAGAAGAGATTCCAATACTTCTTCATTATTTACTTTTGTTGCTAAATGAATGGGATAATACCCATCAATATTTTTGATATTGGGATTTGCACCATAAATATTTAGAATCTTTATAATATCTTTATTGCCCTGCATAACTGCATAATGAAGTGCCGTATTATTCATTCTATCTGTTGCATTGACATTAGCTCCGAATAAAATTAAAAGTTCAACAATTTTTTGACTATTATCTAATGTTGCATAATGGATCAAAGATTTCATATCGGAATCTTTGAAATTAACATCAGAACCATGCAAAATTAATAGTTTTGATATATCCACATTTCTGTTTTGAATCGCATAGCTAAGGGGAATTTTATTGTTCATATCAGCAATTGTATGATTAGTGCCATTCATTAATAGAAATTCGGTCATCTCTTCCAAATTTTTGCTTACTGCGATATGAAGCACCGACCCTTTAAGTATTTTTTTATTAATATCTGCACCATTAGCAATCAACAGCTTAGTCATTTTAATATTATTATCTTCAACTGTAGAATAAAGAGGTGATTTCAAAAACAAAATATCATTTTCGATATAATTATTGATAATTACTCCTTTAGAAATGAAAAGCTGGGCGGTTTCGGTAAATCCTTTTTTAAGATGTCGGAGAAAACACTACTACAATCACTATAATATGTCTTGACATTTGAACCGTGCGAGATGAGATAATCATATAAAGGCGGAAAGTTAATTAACATCTTATGAAGGAGTGAATCTTTAAAATCCTTTGTCTGATCTAAATAGATAAAAAACCCTTTATTTAATGGAATATTATATGTGTTCATTAAATAAAGGACGAAATCAATGTTATGTAAAATGATTGATAGCATCATACAATTCTGATCTGGTATTTGATATTTCAAACATTCACCAATAATATCTGCGTTACAAAAAAAAAAAAAAAAAAAAAAAAAAAAAAAAGGTAGTGGGGCTTCCAGGCACTTCGTGCCTTCTAGCCCTGAAGATGTTTAGTATAAATGAAGTCTTAGAGGACAAACATGACTATGAGTTTTGATATGACAAGATAGAATATGAGAGAGGTCCTATAAACCGGAGAAAGTGTTATATAAACATCTGTCATATTACTCAGAATATTATACAGAATTCAATAAAATATATTTTAGGTGAAGAGGTGAGATTTCACCTGTTTTTTCACCTCATTTTTCACCTCTTGAATTTTCATGAATTTTATCGTAAAGACTTTGTCAAGATTTCATCGTAAAGACTTTGTCAAGATTTCATCGTAAAGACTTTGTCAAGATTTCATCGTAAAGACTTTGTCAAGACTTCTTCGTAAATGTTTTGTCAAGACTTCTTCTTCGTAAATGTTTTGTCAAGACTTCTTCTTCGTAAATGTTTTGTCAAGACTTCTTCGTAAATTTTTGTCAAGACTTCTTCTTCGTAAATGTTTTGTCAAGACTTCTTCGTAAAATCAGACAAAAATATATTTTAGGTGAAGAGGTGAGATTTCACCTGTTTTTTCACCTCATTTTTCACCTCTTGAATTTTCATGAAATTTACACCAAAAATAATGTTTAGGTGAAGAGGTGAGATTTCACCTGTTTTTTCACCTAATTTTTCACCCTCTTGAATTTTCATGAAATTTACACCAAAAATATACTACTAGGGTCATTTACGAAGAAATCTCAACAAAGTCTTTACGATGAAATCTTGACAAAACATAGACAAGAAAGTTCATGAGAAATTAGATGAAGAAGTCTTAACAAAGTCTTTACGAAGAAATTCATGAAAATTCATGAGGTGAAAAAAGAGGTGAAAAAAGAGGTGAAATCTCACCTCTTCACCTAAAATATATTTTTGGGTCATTTACACTCATTTACGAAGAAATCTCAACAAAGTCTTTACGAAGAAATCTCAACAAAGTCTTTACGAAGAAATCTCAACAAAGTCTTTACGAAGAAGTCACAATAAAACGTCTGTCAAAAACCGCTTTTTAACTTCACTTAAAATGCCACGTAAGCTACGTAAGAATATACGTAAGAGGAAGAGAGCATTGAAACATCCAATAGTAAAACTGACACCACAACAACAGTTGCAACAACAAATGCTGAATGACCCCACTATGTTGCAACAAATGTCAAACAATCCTATGCTTTTAAACCGAGTTCTTGGTGCACAGAGTGGAGGTTTAAGAGCGGCACTTTTAGCGAAAATGGCAGGCTATGGTGGAGCTGCAGACGGAACAGCCTATAACCCTCAAAGTCAAATGAATTTGAGTTCACTCAAAAATCAAATAACAGATGTCAAAAAGTCAAACATAGACATACAGAAGCAAATAAGTGAAAACGAAAAGAAACTAGAATATGACAGACACACAAAGAAACTAAATGAGTTAAACGTAGAGAAAAAGAAGAAAGAAGAACAACTGAAAGAACTAAGTACAGAGGAATATGCAAAAAAGTGTCAGAAAAGCAACAGAAGTAGCAAAAATGGAACAAGATGTCATAATTTGAAAAACCATACTACTCAATATAAAATACTGAAAGATGAAGAGATAAAACAAAAAGCCCTGAAGACATATATGGATAGCGATGAGTATAAAAAAGAAGTTGAAGCAAATGTAAAGGCAGAAAAACTTTTACAGTTGCAAAACCAAACCGTACAGTATGAAAACTTAGCACAAGAAAGTAAAAATAACGACGCGGCTATGCAAAAGGCAATGAAAAGCGCAGAATATATAAAGCCAACAATGACTGGTTAGATGCCCAAGCCAACGCTAAAGCAGCCCAACTCATAGGGTCAATAAGGACAAAAATACAAGCGGATGAAGACAGTTCAAATGAAGCTTTAACAAATGCTGACTTTAAGAACGCCTTCGAAGCTCTTCATAGTAAGGTGAAACAAGTGAACGACTTCTCATCTGGAAAGAAACTGAAGTCTGAAGGTTTCGACAAAGAGTTAAAAGAAGTAGCACAAAATATGACGAAAATAACAGATGCAGCAACGAGACAGGCAGTTCAAAGTGCCTATGACGCCGTTAGAGCAACTGTTGTGAAAAGTCAAGAAAAAGAGTTACAACAGACCAAAACAGACCTAGTAAATGCTTTCTTAAGAACGAAAAGTCAGGTAGGACATTATGCTGCAGATGGAACATATGTGCCAGCTGGTGGAACTTATATACCACCAAACCCTCCAAGAGAAGCACCTGCACCAGGACTACCTAAAACATTTACATCGTCACATGGACACAGACACAGGCATGCACCAAAACCAACACAACAACCAACACAACAACCAGCACAACAACCACCTCCACAACCAGCACAACAACCAACACAACAACCAGCACAGCAACCAACAGTTCAAAACCCTGCACAACAACAACCACAAACAGAGCAAGGACATAAAAGAAGTAGAGAACAAGGAAACCAAGAATTCTTAAAAATGCTTAAAGAAGAGTGTGGTTTCCCAGATACTATTGACTTTAGTGACAGATATAAAGAAGCTATTGGAAAGTTCAAGGATGGAAATACTGACCCGAACCTATTTAGCTTTATGGCTCAGCACCAAAACGGATATAATCTCAAACCTGGAAAATACAAGCTCGCTAAGGGATATGATTTAATAGCATATCATCCAAATGACATGAACGAATTTACTCCGAGATATTTGATGTCAGAGCTAAATGACAATACAACTTTCGTCATGAAACGCGTAAAAAATAGAGACGGAACGAAAGAACAAAAGCTTATGAATGCGGATGACGTAGATAGGGAAATTGTTAAAAACGGTCTCGGAATATATGAAATGCCAGCAGATGAGGTACAAGAAACTCCACAGGGAAGAAGTTCAGATACAACCAGACATGGAAGAAATAGTTCAGCAACAACAGCTAGAAGAGCCTGAAGGAAACGAACAAGTCCCTCCTTTGGAAACTAACCTCACAGAACTAGATGAAGATTTGGAACAGCCGAAAAATCTTGACCCTCAACAAGAGCATGAGGTGAATATGGAATCTTTCCAAGAGTCTAAGAAAGATTCGGCTGACATAGTAGAAGAATATCGAAAAATGTTTGCCGACATACAAAAGACTCCAACACCAGATGAAAATATTCAGCATAGAATGGAAGAACTGAAAAAAAATGTACACAAATACAACAACCCTTTTTACTTACGAGCATTTAACGTTCAATCTTCGGATGAACTCGGTGAAAATAAAAGGTTAAATTTCAAGAAAACATATAGAAATGAAACATTGTTTAAAGTTCATTCAGAACCTAACCAAGATGGAAACAAACCTACTTTTGTTTCTGCAGACGATGGAACTACAATGAGATGGGGTCATAAAGCTAACTCGGATAGGTGGTTCATAAACTTACAACCACAATTCCAAGAAGTTGTAGACGCAATGGAAGTCAATGGTGAACCAGATATAGCTGGTATTTTAAGCGCGGCTTTAATGCCATTGAAAGATATGAAACATGCAGATATTTTGGACCAGTATGAAATGAACATGGCTGATGGAAATATAACACCTGACGTTCTAGAACATTTATCTCAAAGAACTACACAGAACCATAAAGATGGTATATTTGGTGAAGAGTTTAGAAAGAAAGTTAGGGAGAGAGAAGGAAGAGAACCTATTGTACATGACCTTGCAAACGAAAGTTTACAAAATGTCATAAAAACTTACTTTGCAGACAATGAACTGAGAAGGGATGAATATTTAAGAAAACTCAAATGGACAGTACCAAATGAAATGTTAGTATTGAAAAACATTTCCTTGACAAAATAAAACCAACTACAGAAATAAACGACGCAAGACTGAAAGATTGGGTAGAAGCTTTCCCATTCACAAAAGATATAGTTGGTAACATGGAAAGAAAACCAGAATGGCTACAAAAACATATATTTGGAAACGAGCTTATTCCATATGGACAGGCACTGTTTGAAGAGCTTGAACCAGAAACTCAGGAAAGAGTCATGCAAACAATACGCGAAGACTCAAATACAGACTATGACAAACTCTTTCTAGGATATAGGTTACCTGAGATGGGCGACCAGAGCCAAAAGGCAAAAAGGACATGGGAAATTTGCAACATACTAGATGAACATAATGCAAAGATGCAACAACTTCAAGCAGAGGCAATGAAGGAAAAAGAAGAGTTAAAAACTCAGTCAGGAAGAAAGTAAAGCATGGTCCACGTGGGTTCTATTATGACATATAAATCCAACTATTCTATATTTTTACTCATATGAAATGTACGCCGCTCAGAATATAACGCCAACAGTTTTGGATGCTATGAATGGAAATGTTTCCGAATGGTATAACGAATGCGACAATGCCATTAGAAGGTCAGAAATAGTTCCTGGAACTTACGAATATACAACTGCTGTTTCTTATGGAAACGTAGGTGAGTTTGGAGAAGGTTCTTCAACAACAGTAGATATTGCTTGCGACAGGTTTCATATTATTTCTATTGACAACTCATTCTTATACGTGGAACAAGACATTGAAATAAAACCTTCTGCCAAGTTGTCTGACAAGAAAGGTTGCAATGGAATTTTCTATGTCGGATACCAATATGCTCCAGAAGTTTTCATGGGATATAAGATATATTCTAACTCTGACTTAGTTCAAACAGTAACATGGGCAAACTATGAATGGTTCGCTTTGAGAAACTCAGTACAACCACAAGCTAGAGAACAAACAGACCAGTATGCAACTATTGAGAAAATAAGAAGACTTGACCCTAACGTTCCAGGAGTTTATGTTAACCTTTCTGGACAAACTGCAGCAGCAGTAACCAAAGTAAAATTGAAACTTAGAGTTCCTTTGTCATCTTTCCTCATCTTCAGGTTTTTAAGATACTTGCCAAACTGGGCAGGAAAAATTTCTATCGAACTTACTCCAAGCAAAAATAACTTAGTCATTGCACCAACACAAGACCCATTCACTCTTACAGACGTAAAGGGAGCAAATCAAACGTCATTCGCCGACTTTTGCAAAAACAAAGTTGACTTAGACTTTGGTTTCTCAAACCTCAACACTGAAGTAAACTATTATTTCAATGCTGCTGGAGATGCTTGGGACCCAGTTAAGTTCACATGCGAAAAATTTGAATGCAAGAGAATAGAAAGCAGACTTGCAGTCTATATGTTGGACCCAGATATTTCAAATGCTTTAGCTGCCAAATATATTGCAGTTCCACTTATGTTCCCTATACACCAAATATCTGTCAAAGACTTTGCAGGTGAAGTTGGAAACCAAAGTGCTGACCCAGGTGCAAGAACAGATATTGCTTTAACAACTGCAATGAAACATGCAGATACTATGTTTGTACTGTTCAGACGAACTATAAATGACTATTCTTGCTTCTACAACCCTGGTATTAAATATCATATAAACATAGATGGCAAATACTATCCAAGAGAAGAATATTCTACAGTTGAGGATATGAGGTCATACAACTTGACATTAGATGCTATGAACTTTAACAACAACTTCACAACAACCATAAACCCTGAAATGCAAAGTTCTATTATGCCATATGTGAAAGTATGGACTCATACAGGAGGTCAAAAAACTCAATATACAAATGGAGACCGTTCAAACTTTTGGCTTGGCATTCCATTTGCTGACTCAGAAGACTTTATGGGTGGTATTTCAACTGTTGGTACTGTACAAATACAATATACTGGTGACAGAGACGGTCCAGATGAACTGAGAGCAAAGAAGTTTACAAAACCAATAGCACTTTTCACGGAAGATGCTCTTTTGAAGATTCGTTCGATGAAACCTGCTGGGGCTCCTCAGATTGGCATAACGACAGCTTCCATCGAGCAGATTTTGGCAGCAGGTCAGTAAGTTGTTCTTGAACTGACTTCTCTCCGTCAAATATTGACAGTACGCCAGTTTTTGACATAAAATTGTATTATAAACTTTCCTTTAGAAATATCGGTCAGTTTTGTTGTTATATTTTTGTCTGCTTCAAGAACTTTCACCATTTCAGTTATACCAACTTTCTTTGCTTTATGAAAATATTTTGGTTCAGCAAAGACTGCTATTCTATAACATTTTCCATTGTTTGTATAAAGAACTATTCTGTCAATGTATTTGTATTGTTTGTGTGTGTAAACTTTGTTCTGCTTCAATTCGAAGAGATACTCGAATACGTCCATTTTTTATTCTAAGTAAAATGTCATTTCCGAAAAATAGAAGCGTGAGTGTTTCAAAAGGTTTAATGGCGGTGGCAGATGTGAAGTTAAATTCACCAACTCAAACAAACAGTCAAAGTGTTGTTGTCAATGTCAAAGACAGAGATGTTGAAGTGGGGAAACCATACGAAGACGAAGATGGTATAACAATTGTTCCTGTAAAAGAACAACCAACATATCCTGAAGTTAGCAGAGACTTAAGTTCTGTTGCAGATATTCGAAACGACTACCAACAACTGAAAGACAAACTTCAAACTCAGGAGAAGATTTGTCAAGCTTTAGGTATAATGTTAAACTTGGTCGAACACAACCCTGTAAAAGTGAACTCATATGTCATTGCACCTCATGAAATTTTGAAAGAACTATTGAAACTTTTGACAGAGGCAGACGATAAAACATCAAAGAAATAGAACCCGACATTGCTTGCTGTGGTGTTTCATATAATGTCATTGACAAGATATACGTTATGAAAGGAGGTGAAACGTTGAACTTAAAGTATAGTTTCCCAGACGTCATAAAAATATTTGACGACCACAACATTTCATTAAAATTTAGTTGCTAAGTAAATGGCAGAAGACATAGTGGTTTATACTATTACGACTAAAAACCCTGAGTCATATAATTCTATAACAACAAACTTACAAAGTCCTCAAGGACGATATTGTAAACTGACCTTAAACACGATGACGACTAAAGCCTGTTTTGCTCTTTTGACACCAGAAGACTTTGTTGTTGTGAATGGTAAAAAATACTTCTTTGAAGATACTTACTCAGATATACCACCAACAGGTTTTGTTGACTTATTTAATACTTTAAGGACGGATGTAACATGTGCTGCAACTAGAGCAGGTTTCATTATGTTTGGATGTCCGACCGAGTTTAGTATAAACGATATGAGCTATAATACAAAACTTATATCTGGTTTTTACTACCAACAGTTTCCTATAACAGGAAAAGGTGTCATACAAGGAATGTCTGTTCCATTGACTTTAAGTACACCTATTTTATATATTGTTTCAAACTTAGGTTCAAAGTGCTATTCGAATGTCGACAGAAACTACTATGACCAAAAGATACTTATGCGTATAAACAATACTTTCTCTGCTGGTTTGCCTATTGTTCATTCGAATGCAGAGTTTTCAGCTTTAGTAAACTCAAACACTTTGGCAAACATAAACTTAACCTTAGTTGACGCAAACTTTGTTCCTGTAAAACTTTTATGTCCTATGTATTTGTCAATGACGGCAGAAAGTTTCGAATTGGAAGATGCAACTGGTGAAAGTATTGTACTACAAGAACAACTTCAACAACAAATAGCTCAAGAACAACAAATGCAACAAATGCAACAAATGGAACAACAAGCTCAAGAATAAAAAAATATTTTTTTTTATTTTTATAAAAATGTACAGAATAGACGTTTCAGATTTTTATGACTTCCAAGCGTTCAGAAATATGTGTCCATTTCGAGACTATAACAAAGCAGTCGAGAATTTGAAACGTTTAGTCATTTATGTCGACTCTGCCCCAGAATGTTATGTCATGAAAGAATGGGATGTTGTCTTTAACAAACCAAGAGCAACAATAGTTTCAGAACAAGAATGTAGACAGAAACTAAGAAAATAAAAGTCGTACAAGTTGGAATGAAGATGTTAGATGCTTGGGATATCTTATTGTCAAAGTTAGAAGATTTTTCAGTTCGAGGTATAAAGTTCTATACACCTTCTCCAAACTTCTATTCTATCTTCACTGGATATAAATACGAACAAGTAGAATGGAAAGAAAATATTATAGAAGCTTGGTTAGACCATGTCAAAGAAATTATATGCAATGGAAACGAAAGAGTCTATGAGTATATCTTATGTTGGTTTGCAAATATCTTACAACATCCAAGTGCTAAAAATGAAACTGCTCTCATTATAATTGGAAAACAAGGAACAGGTAAGAACACTTTCTTTACAGATATTTTGTGCAAACTGTTAGAAGGTTATTCGAATCCGAATATGACAAACTTAGAAAACATCTGCGGTAAATTTAACTCTTCAATAGAGAATATGAAACTTATAGTTTGCAATGAACTTCAAAGTATAGATACAACAAAAGTTTTGAACTCAGATGCTTTGAAGAGTCTTATAACAGATAAAGTTGGAGTTGTTGAAAGAAAGTATAAAGACCAAAGAGTTTGTGAAAATGTTGCAAACTTCATTATGGTTTCAAACAATGTTGTTCCGATGAAGTTAGAAAGTTCTGACAGAAGATATGTAGTTGTCAGAACGTCAGATTCTCATATGCAAGATACAGAATATTTTGACGACTTAGCAGAAACTTTGACATCTGACTTTTACAACCACTTGTTCTCATATTTCATGACATTAGATATTTCTAAGTTCAATCCAAGACAAATTCCACATACCGAAGAGAGACAAACATTGTTAGAAGCAAACAAGAGTGTATATGAACTGTTCATAGAAGAAAGCGACTTTGTGTCATTAGATGAAAGGTCTTTATATGATGAATATAAACAATATTGTCAAGAATATGGTTATATGGCAGCTTCTAAACGAACATTCTTGGCAAATGTCAAAAATCTTTTAGACGTTCAGAACGGCGTATATACAAAGAAAAATTTTTATGAGTAAATTTTAAAAAAATATTTTTTTATCCGATAGAAAAGATGACGAAATTCATCTCAGTAAATAAGTACATGACAGAAGTCAAAGAAGAACTAGACCCATTCGCTTATTTGAATGTTTACTTCTACCATTTTGAAAAGTCTACATTTGACAAAGTTTGGAACATCGAACCAGTTAAGTTTGCTATTGTGACTAAAAATGGTGCGAAATTTGAAGACTTAGACATAGAAGGTTTGTTAACAGTCAAAGAAAATTTTGACAGAAGGTTCTCAAACCTTAAAGAAGGCAAAGCATACAAACTTGTTATACCTTATGAACCAAAGAAGACAGACGACTATGAATATTATGAGTCTAAGATAGTTGAAGTTCAAGGTAAGTTGGGTAAAAAGATTTTAGAGTCTAAGCCAGTGTTTGCCCCTAAAGAGGAAGAGAACATTGACATTGACCCAGAAATGTTCTAAAAATAAAATTTTATTTTTACATGTCAAATTTCTTTTTCTCTGGAATTGGTTCAGGTTCTTTCTTCTCTTCTTCTACTTTCTTTTCTTTCTTTTCTCTCTTCTTCTTCTTCTCTGGTGGAGTTATGTCAAATTTCTCAGAACCATATTTATGTAAAAGTTCTTTGTCCTTTAATAGCTCATCTATTCTGTTTTCTATTTCATCTTCAAGAACAGCGCATGTGTCTTCTTTGCATTCTAAGAACTTTTGTTGGACTTCATCTTTCCAATCGGCGTCATCTCTGTCAACAAGTCTGTCATTGACAAACTTAAAGACTTCTCTGCCTAATGTTTTATGGTTCTTGTCATATTCCCAGAAACAGAACTTTAGAACAAATTCACCTTTCTTGTTTACACTATGTAAGATTTTATGGTCGACAGATGTTTTGCTGTCGAAAAGTTTGTCTCGAATATAGATAGCGAAATCGCTAGACATTTTCTAAAAGATAAAATTTTTAATTTTTCTAAAAATATGTTAGAAAAAAAGTTTGCTGACATTGACAAGAAATTTGAGAATGTTTTGAAGAAGAACAAGAGGAAGTTAGAAAATGCTCAGATAAAACCCATACATGACAAGTTCCTATTTGCTCAGAATGGTATAACAGGTCTAATTGCACCACCTGGGTCTGGTAAGACTTTCACTTATCTTAAAATGGCTGCACAACAACAAGAACTAGATGAGAAGAACCCATTCTATGAGTTAGTTGTTATTTGTAGTACTTCGGGTCAATTTGACCAAACCGTCAATTCGTTCAAAGATATTATAAAGAAGTCTAAGTTAGTATGTATAAAAGACTCTGAGTTGTTAGATTGGATAAAGAAGTACCAAAGAAGAGTTTTGAAGTACAATGCTATAAATGAGTATGTCAATTCGAAGTTTAAAGACCCAAATGAGGAAATGCAGAGAATATTAGAGAAGAAACACTTCAGAAACAAACAGAAAGAGATAGAATACATTTCGAAGAAATTGCAATCTTACGATTGGAAGACTTACCCTCATAGATGTCTTCTTATCTTAGATGACTTTGCTTCTCATCCTTTGTTAAAGAACAGAGAACAAGATATGTGTCGAATTCTTAAGAAGCTCAGACACTTTAACATCTCAGTTGTCATTTGTGTACAGACAGCAAAGAGTTTAAGTAAGGATGTTAAAAGAATACTTACTGATATCATACTTTTCCCTGGATTGTCCGAAGACGATTTCATGGAACTTATGAAAGAGTCCATGGCAGGTAAGTTTGACAGACATGAACTATGGGAGAAGTACAAAGTCATACAAGACCCTCATACTTCTTTCAGAATTCATATCTACGCAAACAAAGTTCAAATTGTAAAAAGTCAAGCTTGAAAAATCTAAGTGTTTAGTCTTAGTCTGTTGTGGTGCTGGGGCTGTCGGTTCTTCTGGCTTTGGAAGACATTCAGGAAGAGGAACGTCGGTCATCCGTTTGTGTCCTGTCGGAAGGAAGAGTTCTTCCAGTTGTCGGGAAATTTTTTTCCTGTCGGATGGAAAAAATTTTCCTGTCGGATGGAAAAAATTTTCCTGTCGGATGGAAAAAAGTTCTCAATTTTCGAAAATTTGAATGGTTTACGGACGGACAACTGGAAATTTTTTTCCTGTCGGAAGGAATTTTTTTTCCTGTTGTCGGGAAATTTTTTTCCAGTCGGATGGAAGGACTCGGAATGCCAGAAGGATTTGACAAGACAATTTACCTTATAGAGCTACCTGAGCCATCTGAAGTCAAGCTTGAAAAATAAAGAGTTCATTTACTCTGCTTGTTTGAAGTTGTCAAAATACTCTGTTTTTTCTTTCAGTAGCGGCAAATCTTCTTTGAATGTAAGTATTGTACAACCTTTAATATCATAGTGTGTTTGAGGTAACGTATCTTGAACTATTTGTTTCACATCTTCATTCGGTGTCATTGAAATCGGTAAGTTTTCGCGATAGAACCAATTTCTGTCAGATTTGTAAATCTTAGCAAGGTCGTAAAAGCTTTTGTTGTTTCTTCTGACTAAATGCAACATAACCATATCTCTGTCTTCTTCATTTTCCATCTCTTCAGTATAAATCATATACTTATAGTTCTTTTCCTTTCCTTTTGGTACCGAACGTGGTATTCTTTTCTGTATGTTTTTGTCTTTTGCTTCAAGCTTGTTCTCTAGCTCTTCACGTTCTTGTCTATGAAGTTCATCTAACATCATGAAAATATAACAAGCATAGCGAGGTGAAGCCCACATTGCAACAGCATTTACGAGAAGTCTATGTACATACCAACCTCTCAAACCATTTGGCAAATTTTGACGATTTTCGTACGGAATCTCGACCCGCGGTTTTCCGCGGGTCGCAAACATATGAGGAAATTCTTCTAAAAGTTCTTTTGTCTGTTGGTTTTCAAACCAATGATGTGCTTGCTTTGTAGAACGAAGAGCATTCAAAATACTTTGCATTTGGTACATGTCATCTTTGACCGAACGAATGAGACGTAACTGTTTGTTAAACTGTATGTACTCATATTCTTCATTTATAGCTTCATGGACTATAACTGTTGTTGTGTTCTCTGTTGTTGACATATCTGTCTTTACATTCCGGATAAAAAAATATTTTATAAAAAACTAGCGTTATTTTCTGACTTTCACAAAAGACCAAAAATAAACGCTTTACATGTATTTTTCAGCAACTTCGTCAAATAATTTTATAGCTTTATCTATCTCATCTACTTCAAACGTTTCCCTACCTTTCGTGGGAGCACCATACATCTTCTCAAACTTTTCAAGTAGTTCTGTTTCAGCAGCTCTCATATCGTTAACAAACACAACCCTGACTCTATTGACTGTACTGTCATATCTTAGAGTTATATTATATGTTCTTCCTATCTTATATCTTTTTGTGTTGAAGTCCTTCGGTTTCTGAACGATGTAAAGTAAGCCTTCACTGCAACGTTCTGAGTCGAATGAACCATATGTTATGAAGTTATATCCAACAACTGGGTCTAACCATAACAAAACTATTGGTATAAGACTTTTGTCGATGAGATATGCTGTAGTTCCATGAAATCTTACCGATATCAAAAGCTCAGGATTTCTTGTCAAAATTTTCTGAGTAGAAGCAATTCTAACCCAGTCCTTTGGTTGCTTTCCAGAAGGTGTTATAATGTCTGACAAAGAATATTTGTTGTATTTCTTTGAGTATCTTACGTTTAAATCACCTATTCTAACCACTTTGGTGTCATTGTCTATCTTTCTAACTGTTTCAAACTCAATGTTTGACATATCTGTTCTTACATACAAAATAAAAAATATTTTTTTTAAAAAACTAACTTTATTTTTTCTGTCTTAAGGAAATTCATGAAATTTCATACGGAATTCAGCAAAAATATATTTTAGGTGAAGAGGTGAGATTTCACCTCTTTTTTCACCTGTTTTTTCACCTCATGAATTTTCATGATTTCATCGTACATGTTTTGTCAAGACTTCTTCGTACATGAATTTTCATGATTTCATCGTAAATGTTTTGTCAAGACTTCTTCGTAATGAGCGTAAATGACCCAAAAATATTTTTAGGTGAAGAGGTGAGATTTCACCTCTTTTTTCACCTGTTATTTTATAAGCGTTTTACATGAATTGTACGATGTATATTTGAAATCCTAAACAATTTCGTAGCTTCTATTTCTTCGCTGAGGATATCGAATGTTTTAACGATACCGAAAGTTTCTTTATACTTCTTCTTGACGTCAGATAGAAGGAAATCTTCTGCTGTTGGATAGTTTTTGTTCAGAAATTCTAACATGTTCATTTTATCTTCTGCTGGCTTTTCTGCTTCTTTCTTTAAGTCAGCATAGTCGTTTCTCATTCTTTCTATCTCTTTGACGGAGTAGTTATATTTCCTCATTGCTGCTTTACATTTTGAACATTGCGGGTTCATTTTTGCGTTATATTCTGAAACCTTACCTGCAAGTATGACTAAGGCGTCAATGGTTTTCTTTAACTCAAAAGTTGCTGGTTTTATCTGTTCGTTCCATACCTTACCTCTTCTATCTTTATCTCTTATTTCCCATACACATTTTGCAACTAATGAAACAAAGTTGTCGTAGGTCTTAAATTCTTCAGATTTATATATGTCAGAAACATTCTTATATACCATATCGCAGTCTTTGTCCATAACCTTATGGTTGCAATGAAATCCAAGAAACTCATAGTTAACCTTTCGTATGAACTTCTTTATTTCTACTGAGTCAGTTGCTTTGACTTCTATTTCATCGAATTCAGGAATAGTAAGCTTTTGTTGTTGGATTTCAGGCAATTTGGGTAAATGGTCAATAATATCCTGCATTTCATAAAGATACTGTTCATTTGTTTCATCTTTTGCAGTGCAATCTAAATTACTTGTTAAAAGTTCTTGCTTTATCTTCTGGATTTTTGTTTCGAAAGTATATGAAGAAGGAATGAAGCTTTTCATCTCTACTAACATTGAAGTTGGGTTCATGACTAACGAGTTTGGTGCTGTAGTTGCTAACATGTTCTTACAATAAAAATAAAAAAAAATATTTTATAAAAAACTAAAATATATTTTTTATCTTAAGGAAATTCATGAAAACTCATGAGGTGAAAAAACAGGTGAAAAAAGAGGTGAAATCTCACCTCTTCACCTAAACATTATTTTTGTCTGATTTACGCTCATTACGATGAAATCATGACAAAACATTTACGAAGAAGTTTTGACAAAACATTTACGAAGAAATTCATGAAAATTCAAGAGGGTGAAAAAACAGGTGAAAAAAGAGGTGAAATCTCACCTCTTCACCTAAATTATATTTTTGCTGAATTTAGCAACAAAAATGAACGAGGTCAGGATGTATGTTGCTGAATTCATTCATAACACCCTTTGTAAGCTCATAAAATGCTTGTTTTGAGGTCGAGCCACTTTTGGCTCCACCGTATTCTTTCAACCAAAACTCAAGAATTTCCCGCATGAATTTTGTATAAAAAGCAACCCGCTGTTTTCCGCGGGTTGGTATATTCTTCACAAAACATTTACGTTTAGTTTACGAAGAAGTCATGACAAAACATATACGAAGAAGTCTTGACAAAACATATACGAAGAAGTCTTGACAAAACATTTACGATGAAATCATGACCTTCTACCCTAAATTATATTTTTTGGTCTGGGAACAACTTTCTCTCAATTGGAGCTGTAGCATACTCTTTGCGTAAGCGGTTCAGACCTTCTTCGAACTCTTGGTCTCTCTTCGATTTGTATTGGAATTGGTAGTAATTTGGACTGGAATTGGAATTGCTGGAACAACCAAGGGTTGGAGCTGTAGCATACTCTTTGCGTAAGCGGTTCAGACCTTCTTCGAACTCTTGGTCTCTCTTCGATTTGGATTGAGATTGGACTTGCTGGAACTGAGGTGCAGGGGCTGGTGCTTTAGGTTCCTCTGGTTTGGGAATGGACTCGGTTGGTGGGACGTCGGACATTCGTCTGTGGCTTAACCGTCGGACCACAACGATAAAAATCTCTGCTCCTAGCAGTACTGCTACTGACAGTAGCAGTACTTTTACTGACAGTAGCAGTACTTTTTCTGACAGTAGCAGTACTTTTTCTGACAGTAGCAGTACTTTTTCTGACAGTAGCAGTACTTTATCGTCGAAAACCCTCTCAAATTTTCCTTTTTACTGCTCCTAGCAGTACTTTTACTGTCAGTAGCAGTACTTTTACTGACAGTAGCAGTACTTTTTCTGACAGTAGCAGTACTTTTACTGACAGTAGCAATGGACAACATCGAGCCATTAGATGAGGCAGTTTACCTAATTGAAATTAACGAGCTTGTTAAAGACTTCCTCAGGCAGAATGTAAAAGGCAAGCTTGTTAACTGTTGGATAACGGGAAGGGCTGCCTTGAATCTCGAGACTTCGACTGGAATTCCAATTCAAATACCAGACGGGACAGCCTACGATGGCATAAAGGACGCCAAAGAGAAGCTCTTCTCAAGTTCTTTGCCAAGCGTCCTTGGATACAACTTCCAAACAGAGAGAGTCCAATTCCACGAATTATACAAATTCTCAGAGCACTGTTCCACTTCTCAGGTCAACCATTCTACATAACTACAGAAGGCGACATCCAACCAGTTCAGTAAACATCTCATTTTAACTCACTTTTTTATGTTTTTTGTGAAAGTGTCAAAAATAAATTGTTTTCATGAGTTTTCTACGATGTTAGAAAACGTGTTATTTTCTAATATCTTCACATTCAATACTTTTTCAGCACTTTTCCGTAGTTGTATATGAAAGACAATTCGAGATGAAATTTCTTCATCTGATATTGCCCTACCGGCATTTGTAAAGATATAGTCTAACGGTTTTGTATCTGCTACTTTTGTTCTTTGTTTTTCAACCTGAAGCATTTAATATATGTAAAAATATACTGTTTTAAAAACGTTTTAAAATGGTATGCCATATAGCTTCTTGAATTTGTTAAGATATAGTCTAACGTATTTTCCATCTGTATCTCTAGCGTTTACATAAGCATAGCCCGCCTTAGTAAAACATACTTGTAATTTCCTATAGTTTACGCCGGTATAAAAGTAGAAAGAGTCCTGTTCTTCGCTATAGTAGTAAAACTCAAACGTATGCTTGCCATAGTCTGTAATTTCAATTGCTTCATCTTCTAGTTCGTCGACAAATTCGAATACTATATCTCCAAATTTGCCTTTGTTCTTATTGTTTTCAGAACGAGTGACCCAACGTAAGTTTTCAAGTCTATTGTCGTTTCTTATACGGTTTATATGGTCTACAAAAGGTAAATTGTTAGGGTTCGGTATAAAATGAGTTGCAATGACAATATGTTTAAAATAGTTTTTTCCACTCATATCCATAAGAGCATATCCGTCATTTCGCTCCCATCCGCTTAAAACTCTTTTTGTCTTTTTGTTTCTGACTTCAAATGACTCACAACAGTGAATTTCATATTTCTCATCTAACAAACAAGTTTCCCAACGGTCTGTTCCAACAAACTCAGCGTACATTTCAAATAAAATAAAAAAATATATTTTTTGAAAAATGTTTTTTCCTTTACTTAACATAACCACCAGCTACCATAAGTCTTTGACGCCAACCCATACCAGCTAATGAAGGTTGACTTGGTTTAGTCTGGAGACTAACCTTTGGTTTTGGTTTATCTTCAGTTTTTGGTTTTTCTTCTTCTATTGGTTTTTCGTCACTTTTCGGTTCTTCTGGCTTTACCTCACTTGCAGGTATGGTTGTGTCGTCAACATCTTCGTAAATATCATATGCCATTTGTTTTTGTTTTCCTTTCAACTTTTTGTGTTTGTTGTAAAGTTTAGAATATTTCGACTCTAAGTCAATGAGATGTTCTATAATGAACTGTTCGTCAGTGAAGTATACCTTCCCATCTGTTGTCTCTTTAAACTCCTTCAGACTTCAATATTTTATTTGTGAGAGTCTGTTTCTTTTTTGAGATACTAGCCGTTCCATTTCTATGAAAAGTGACTTTATAGTTAGGGTTTGTATTTCCAGACCTGGCACTTTCTATTATTGAATTTTTCTCTTCATCTGTAAGTCTTTGACAGGTTTTGACAATGGTTCTGAACTTTTTTTGTTTGTGGTGTCAAATCTACCGTTTCAACTTCTTCGGTCATTTCATCTCAGTAAAAAATTTTAGTTTGGTTTGTTTTTCAACTGGTTGTTTAGGTTTTTTAAGTCGGTCTAAAACTTCCTGAGGTATAGGAAGAACTTGACAAACACGTGGTTGTGTAACTGCTGGAAGTCGACAAATCCATCTTGAACCCATTTGTCTCAATGCTGTATTGTTCATTTCATCTCAGTAAAAAACTTTACATTCCCCAAGTTTGAGGTGGTTGCGGTTGGTTATTGTTTACCCACTGTTGTGCATGGTTATATCCTCTGTTTAAAGAATCTTTCACCTTGGTCCATATAGTGTCCTGCTTGGTTATAGTAGTCATTTGCTTTGTTATAGTAGTTTCCTGCTTCTCTTCCTACATTGTCCATCCATCCTTGAACTTTTCCTCTTGTTTCAGGATTTGGAATAAGATTTGTTGCATCTCGTGCTACATCCCAACCTTTCTGTACAGTTTGTATAATAGGTTGTGCTTTCTCTTTAAGTATACCTAATGTACTCAAAATCTTCCTTCCAACTCCAAATACACCTCTGGCTATTGTTCCACTGCGGGCAAAAAATCTGGATGCAACTCCTGCTAATGCGCCAAATAAACCCATTTCTTATGGGTTAAAAAATGACGAATCCAAACAAGGACCCCTATGTTTCTAAGGCAACAAAAAAAGCACTCATGATAAAAATCTTTAGTTCAACACCAAATGCTTGGTTTATGGATATCTTGGAAAACATTCCGAGGTATAGAGAAGATGGACCTCCATACTGGCTAATATTTGTCGGTCAAAACACAAGATACTGTGAAGCCATACCATTACAGTCCAAAAATATTTTAGATGTGAAAACTGCTTTGACAATATTCGTTGACAAATACCATCCAACAAAACTGACATCTGACTGTGAAAGTTCTTTCAAATCAGACGATATTAAAAACTATCTGCGTTCAAAAAATGTAAACCAATATTTCATTGTCGACCAAAACCATTCTGCTCTTGGTGTCATTGACAGTTGTATAAAAATCTTAAGAGACTTAAACCAACCACAAGGTGGTGAGGTAGATGAAATGTCATATGACGACAAGTATAGACACTTCTCCATGGCAAAGATGAGACAAGTTTTAAATATTTACAATAGCCGTAAACAAAAAGGTTTGGGAAACCACTCCCCCGAAGAAATGAAAACAACCCCGACTTAGAGAAAAGACTATATATTTAATAGTTTAGTCAAAAGAGACAAACAAGAAAGAATGCCGGGCTTCAAACTTAAGAAAGGTGACAAAGTAAAAATAGAAATACCTAAACGCGACCCATATGAAAATACTATTGACTATGACAACAATGGGAACTCGACAGGTACTCGCATTCGTGTTCGTAAAAATAGAAGAAAGTATACAAGAGAATATTATGAATTTTTAGGCAAAACATGGCAAAATGTACAGACTGCAAGCAGAAGATAAAACTACTATTGTCAGACCTCGTTTCAAACTTGTCAAAGTTCAAGGTGGTATACTTTCAAAGACAGTTCCTAACAAATATAAGACAACTCCTGACGAATATGCTAAAGAAGTTGAAAATGACGACTAAGCAATTCTATACCATGCGTAAACTGTCATGTAAGGTGGCATATATTCTTTACTTTGTCCCGTTGTTGTGTATATCCTGAAACGAAATGTGTATGGTTTCCTTCTCCCTGCGTGTCATCCCAGTAACAATTTATAGCAAAACTTAACGTCGTCTTTAACATCATATCCTTTACCTTTTGTCATTCCTGACCAATCCCAATATCTATGCTTATGCCAACCTGCTTGAGATGTACTTAAATCTATGTAGTGACTGTGTGCAGGTAAATTTTCACCTGAAATCGTTTTACTTCCACCTGTTTCCTTTGAAGAGTTTGCACAATACAAAAACCTGTCGACTATTTGTTCCCATGCACCAACACCAAAACATTACTTGAGGACCTCTTGCTTCCATAGATGTATAAATAGAAACCTACTGGGTTCATTAAATCAAACATATGAGACATTATAGGATTGTCTCTTTTGAACTTAAAATATAGTGCAACTATTTCAGGTTTCTTCTGGTTTGTGTCAGAATATTTTTTATAATATAATCTTATGTTTTCAGGGTAGGTAAAGTCTTGACTATAATATTTATTTCTGTCATCTTCATAATAGTATACTATTTCTCGTTTTTTCTATTGCATTATATCTTTTATATCTATAAAAATCTAAATATAATGTTAGCTTTTGTTCATCTACATGTGGTGTTCTGACGTCATCTCCATAGTCATAATAATATGGTGCTGGAGCTGGGTCAGGCAATGTCATATCTGCCATTTCATAAACTCTTAAATATTTCTTTTGTTCGTCTCCATATAAGTTTAAGTAGCAGTTGTTGTCTAATGGAACTTTAACTTGTGTACCATCATTCTTTTTATAGCTTACATACATTTCATTGTTATTTTTCGGAATGAGTTTATACCGTGTACCATTTTCTAAGGAATGTACAAACTCCCATCTAAAATATTTGTTTTCTTCATTGACAGAAAAGTCACCAACCATAGTTTCAATATTTTTTGTTCCAACTAAACTTTGGTATATTTCATTGACATATGTTTTATCTGCTTTCTTTTCAAGGCTAACGTTTAAGTCTGTTATTTCAGAAGATGTATGTGTATGTCCAACGTCACTTTTCCTGTTTAAGGTTTCTTGTAAGTTTGTAATATTTGCAATGGTATGTGTATGTCCAACGGCACTTTTCCTGTTTAAGGTTTCTTGTAAGTTTGTAATATTTGCAATGGTATGTGTATGTCCAACGTCACTTTTCCTGTTTAAGGTTTGCTTGTAAGTTGTAATATTTGCAATGGTATGTGTATGTCCAACGGCACTTTTCCTGTTTAAGGTTTCTTGTAAGTTTGTAATATTTGCAATGGTATGTGTATGTCCAACGTCACTTTTCCTGTTTAAGGTTTCTTGTAAGTTTGTAATATTTGCAATGGTATGTGTATGTCCAACGGCACTTTTCCTGTTTAAGGTTTCTTGTAAGTTTGTAATATTTGCAATGGTATGTGTATGTCCAACGTCACTTTTCCTGTTTAAGGTTTCTTGTAAGTTTGTAATATTTGCAATGGTATGTGTATGAGTCTTATTTGCTTTTGTCTCTAAGGTTTCTTGTAAGTCTGTTATTTCAGATATAGAATGTGTATGAGTCTTTTTAGAATATTCGTTTTCAGCTCTTGTCACTTCACTTGACATTTTATTGTCAACATATTTTTTGTCTGCTAGTTCAGGATGAGTATGTTCTTTTGTTGCATAAGCTTTGTTAGCTCTTTCTTCTTCTTTTGCTATTGCATCGTCTACATATTCTTTGTCAGCTTTGTTGCCAACATCTGCTTTCAAAAGAAGTTCATTTATAGGTTTCTCGTTTAAAGTTCCTTTTGTTGGATTTATACAGACAGTATGGTTCTTATTGTCTTGAAACAGAAACTCATCTGTCATTGGGTTTAATGTCAGTTTTAAGTTTCCTTCTTTCAATGACTCAGATATCTTAGAATAGTTTGAAAAGTTTGTTGTGTTCTTATTTAGAGCTTGTATAATGAGTTGTCGGTTGTGTTGTATTTCTCTCATAGACGCTGTTTCATTTGACATTTTTATTCTAGATAAAATATGCTTCCAATAAAAAAGAAAATTCAAGAGTTGCTACAACTAAACCATTAGATGAACTTTTTACTAATGTCGGTCAAAAGTTTGAGACAGAGACCGTAAAGCATGAAGGCTATCGTTTTGACTACCCATTAAGATGGCTAAGAGACCCATCTGTCACAAAAGCTATTGCTTTCGTAGAATGAAGTTTGTGTCTGTAGAAGATAAAAGTTTTCCATTTATTGTAAGGTTTCATATAGATTATATATCTGAAGGGAAACGAAAAATGTGGAAGAAATTGAGCTAATACAAGTTGACCTTTCATCTTCTCTACAGACTGCGTTAAAAAATATAGAAGATAAAATAAATTCATGTTATGCAAAAATATGCTGATGAATATGCAAATACCGAGAGCACACTTTATGTGAGAATTGTATATGACAAACAAAATTCACAAGTGTCATTTCAAATCTACGAAGACAATCCAAAGAAAGACGAACAAATATATACAGAATTCACTGCAATGTCATGGTATTATTTGCAAAGAATGTTAAATCAGAAAGTCGAACTTCCTTTAGCAAATATTTACAGTCGATATGCAAGAGATGAACCATATTTATTTAAAGATGTTTTCGACCCAGCTGCTATTATTGTTCATGCTTCATTTTCTGGCGCCCAAAACTCTTTCTTATGCTTGGCAAATGACTTTTACGAAAAACCTACAAAGTTATATGAACCACCAAGTGGAAGTATTTCAGACTTTCAAGTATGGTTTACTACAGATGGAAGAAAAAGAATAATTCCATTATACCATGCGTTTTACTTAGAACTTAGTTTCATATACAACTACTATCGAACGGTAAAAATATAATTTTTTAATACGGTTGAGGTGTTGGATTTGGTTGCCAACTAGACTGTGGTGCAGGTTCAGGCTGTTGTATAACAGGAGCTTGTTCTTCTGGTTCAGGGTCTTTAGGTATAATACCAACGAACTGACCTACTCTTTTACCAATATTTTTGACTCCGTTCCAAAATTCCTCTTCCTACGGTTTTTATTCCATTCCATATACCTCTTCCAACATTTCGAAAGAAGTTTCCTATCTTACTGAAGAAACCCATTTTACTATATGTAAAAATCTAATGTCCACCTAGTCTCTTACGTTTCCTGTTGAGTTCCATAGCATTCTTTAACTGGAGCTCATACATTCTGTTTCTCCTCTGGTAGAAAACATACTCTGGGTCAACTCCTGTGTTCGCGTCATCTGCATAAAGTTGTTTATATCCCACTTCAGGGTTTGTATAAAACTCTTTCCATCTCATATTTGCATACCATGGTGGCAAACCTAACGCAGCGTCATTTGACATGGCAGTTTGCATTTGTACATCTGTTGGCACTTGACCATAGTTTGCCATTGCAGTTTGTATTCTAACTTCATTTGGAATATTCTCTGGGTTTGGTTGTCCAGGTTGCTGTGCATTCGCTAAGTTCTGTGCGTCCATTTAATATTAGATAAAAATATCTCTTACGAGTACATATACTGAACATTTGCAGGCATTGGTTCATCTTCATATTCTCTATATCTTTCTGCCACGTCAAATAAGTAAATGACACAATGGAAAAAACCTAAAACAAGTAGTCCTATTTCAAACCACATTTAGTTACCAATAAAATTTCTTTGTTATGACACATTTTTCCGGTTTATAGGACCTCTCTCATATTCTATCTTGTCATATCTAAACTCATAGTCATGTATATCCTCTAACCATCTCATGACACTTTCCAAACCACTTTTATCGGATGTAAAGTAAAAGCATGGATGGTTATGTAAAACGTCTAAAGTTTCTAAAGAGTCTCTCAAAGTCCAGTCTACTTGGTATTGAAAATCGTATGTGTTAAAGAACGGCGGGTCTACTATAAAGAAAACATTTTCCTTGTTTTTATATTTTTCATACAACTCTGTCCAACGACATCTCACAAACTCTATACCCTCAATATATTTTTCTATGTCCTCTTTGAAAACATTTGTATAGTTAAGATATAAAACGTTTGACATAAGTGTTTCAATGTCATGAACTCTTATAGAACCACTATATAATAGTCTAGAAGATATACTATCCCAGTCAATATATTCTGCTTTTTTCAAAACCTCTCTGACAATATTTTTCTTATCTAATGGTATACGTTCCATCTTACCTATAGGTATCTTTTCTTTCAACTCACTCAATATTTTGTTTGTGTCTGGTATATGTTTGAGACGGTTCATATAGTTGTCGAAGTCATTGCATATAATCTTTGAGTCAGGAAATATTGTATGGCACAAATGAGATATATAGAAACTTCCACCGAACAAGTCTACAAATGTTAGACCATTCGGTAGTTTCTTAAGTTCTCTCAATATAATATCTTTACATCTACTCTTATTTCCAAAGAACGGTAACGGTGGTTTTGTAAAATTCATTTATATATAATAATAAAAATGTTTTTTCCTGAAAAGTGACAGATGTTTTATTGTGACTTCTTCGTAAAGACTTTGTTGAGATTTCTTCGTAAATGAGTGTAAATGACCCAAAAATATATTTTAGGTGAAGAGGTGAGATTTCACCTCTTTTTTCACCTCATTTCTCACCTCTTGAATTTTCATGAATTTCTTCGTAAAGACTTTGTTAAGACTTCTTCATCTAATTTCTCATGAACTTTCTTGTCTATGTTTTGTCAAGATTTCATCGTAAAGACTTTTGTTGAGATTTCTTCGTAAATGACCCTAGTAGTATATTTTTGGTGTAAATTTCATGAAAATTCAAGAGGGTGAAAAAATTAGGTGAAAAAAACAGGTGAAATCTCACCTCTTCACCTAAACATTTTTTTGGTGTAAATTTCATGAAAATTCAAGAGGGTGAAAAATTAGGTGAAAAAACAGGTGAAATCTCACCTCTTCACCTAAAATATATTTTTTGTCTGATTTTACGAAGAAGTCTTGACAAAACATTTACGAAGAAGAAGTCTTGACAAAACATTTACGAAGAAGTCTTGACAAAACATTTACGAAGAAGAAGTCTTGACAAAAACATTTACGAAGAAGAAGTCTTGACAAAACATTTACGAAGAAGTCTTGACAAAGTCTTTACGATGAAATCTTGACAAAGTCTTTACGATGAAATTCATGAAAATTCAAGAGGTGAAAAATGAGGTGAAAAAACAGGTGAAATCTCACCTCTTCACCTAAAATATATTTTTATTGAATTCTGTATAATATTCTGAGTAATATGACAGATGTTTATATAACACTTTCTCCGGTTTATAGGACCTCTCTCATATTCTATCTTGTCATATCAAAACTCATAGTCATGTTTGTCCTCTAAGACTTCATTTATACTAAACATCTTCAGGGCTAGAAGGCACGAAGTGCCTGGAAGCCCCACTACCTTTTTTTTTTTTTTTTTTTTTTTTTTTTGTTACGACCTATAAAAGATAGTTGAAGACATGTAAGTGTAATTTCTAATTTGAATTCTGTTCTTAAATATTTGAAACATTTTACAGATCCATACCTACAACAAAATTCAAGTATATGGTTTTCTGATAGAATTTTTTCAAACGAATTTTCATTTAATTCGATTTGTTTTTGTCGGTACATATTAGACTCTTCCGTTGTTATTAGATCAATAAATAAATGCAAGTCAAAAAAAAAAAAAAAAAAAAAAAGGTAGTGGGGCCTCCAGGCACTTCGTGCCCTCTAGCCCTGAAGATGTTTAGTATAACTTTGTCCGGACAAGTAAGGGTCTATCGTCGCTACTGGAAAAGTTACAGGCGTTCCAAGGAAGTATACTTTGAGAAGACTTTCCCCCTTATAGAATGAGATAGGACGGTATTTTACAAAACTGACAACACTTTGACCGAGTAGTTTTTTGTGCTGAACAAATAGTGTCATATAAACATCTGTCAAAAACCGCTTTTTTAACTTCACTTAAAATGCCACGTAAGCTACGTAAGAATATACGTAAGAGGAAGAGAGCATTGAAACATCCAATAGTAAAACTGACACCACAACAACAGTTGCAACAACAAATGCTGAATGACCCCACTATGTTGCAACAAATGTCAAGCAACCCTATGCTTTTAAACCGAGTTATTGGTGCACAGAGTGGAGGTTTAAGAGCGGCACTTTTAGCGAAAATGGCAGGCTATGGTGGAGCTGCAGACGGAACAGCTTATAACCCTCAAAGTCAAATGAATTTGAGTTCACTCAAAAAATCAAATAACAGATGTCAAAAAGTCAAACATAGACATACAGAAACAAATAAGTGAAAACGAAAAGAAACTAGAATATGACAGACACACAAAGAAACTCAATGAGTTAAACGTAGAGAAAAAGAAGAAAGAAGAACAACTGAAAGAACTAAGTACAGAGGAATATGCGAAAAAAGTGTCAGAAAAAGCAGCAGAAGTAGCAAAAATGGAACAAGATGTCATAAATTTGAAAAACCATACTACTCAATATAAAGTACTGAAAGAAATGAAGAGATAAAACAAAAAGCCCTGAAGACATATATGGATAGCGATGAGTATAAAAAAGAAGTTGAAGCAAATGTAAAGGCAGAAAAATTTTACAGTTGCAAAACCAAACCGTACAGTATGAAAACTTAGCACAAGAAAGTAAAAATAACGACGCAGCCATGCAAAAGGCAATGAAAAGCGCAGAATATAAAAAGCTAACAATGACTGGTTAGATGCCCAAGCCAACGCTAAAGCAGCCCAACTTATAGGGTCAATAAGGACAAAAAAAAGCGGATGAAGACAGTTCAAATGAAGCTTTAACAAATGCTGACTTTAAGAACGCCTTCGAAGCTCTTCATAGTAAGGTGAAACAAGTGAACGACTTCTCATCTGGAAAGAAACTGAAGTCTGAAGGTTTCGACAAAGAGTTAAAAGAAGTAGCACAAAATATGACGAAAATAACAGATGCAGCAACGAGAACAGGCAGTTCAAAGTGCCTATGACGCCGTTAGAGCAACTGTTGTGGAAAGTCAAGAAAAAGAGTTACAACAGACCAAAACAGACCTAGTAAATGCTTTCTTAAAAACGAAAAGTCAGGTAGGACACTATGCTGCAGATGGAACATATGTGCCAGCTGGTGGAACTTATATACCAGCTGGTGGAACTTATATACTAGCTAGTGGAACTTATATACCACCAAACCCTCCAAGAGAAGCACCTGCACCAGGACTACCTAAAACATTTACATCGTCACATGGACACAGACACAGGCATGCACCAAAACCAGCACAACAACCACCTCCACAACCAGCACAACAACCAACAGTTCAAAACCCTGCACAACAACAACCACAAACAGAGCAAGGACATAAAAGAAGTAGAGAACAAGGAAACCAAGATTTCTTAAAAATGCTTAAAGAAGACTATGGTTACCCAGATACTCTTGACTTTAGTGACAGATATAAAGAAGCTATTAGAAAGTTCAAGGAAGGAAATACTGACCCGAACCTATTTAGCTTTATGGCTCAGCACCAAATGGGATATAATTTCAAACCTGGAAAATACAAGCTCGCTAAGGGATATTTTAATAGCATATCATCCAAATGACATGAAGGAATTTACTCCGAGATATTTGGTGTCAGAGCTAAATGACAATTCAACTCTCTTCATGAAACGCGTAAAAAATAGAGACGGAACGAAAGAAGAAAGGTTTATGAGTCCGGATGACTTAGATAGGGAACTTGTTAAAAACGGTCTCGGAATATATGAAATGCCAGCAGATGAGGTACAAGAAACTCCACAGGAAGAAGTTCAGATACAACCAGACATGGAAGAAATAGTTCAGCAACAACAGCTAGAAGAGCCTGAAGGAAACGAACAAGTCCCTCCTTTGGAAACTAACTTCACAGAACTAGATGAAGATTTGGAACAGCCGAAAAATCTTGACCCTCAACAAGAGTATGAGGTGAATATGGAATCTTTCCAAGAGTCTAAGAAAAATTCGGCTGACATGGTAGAAGAATATCGAAAAATGTTTGCCGACATACAAAAGACTCCAACATCAGATGAAAATATTCAGCATAGAATGGAAGTACTGAAAGAAAATGTACGCAAAATACAACAACCCTTTTTACTTACGACCATATAACGTTCAATCTTTGGCTGAACTCGGTGAAAATAAAAGGTTAAATTTCAACAAAACATATAGAAATGAAACATTGTTTAAAGTTCATTCAGAACCTAACCAATATGGAAACAAACCTACTTTTGTTTCTGCAGACTATGGAACTACAATGAGATGGGGTCATAAAGCTAACCCGGATAGGTGGTTCATAAACTTACAACCACAATTCCAAGAAGTTGTAGACGCAATGGAAGTGAATGGTGAACCAGATTTAGCTGGTATTTTCAGCGCGGCTTTAATGCCATTGAAAGATATGAAACATGCAGATATTTTGGACCAGTATGAAATGAACATGGCTGATGGAAATATAACACCTGACGTTCTAGAACATTTATCTCAAAGAACTACACAGAACCATAAAGATGGTATATTTGGTGAAGAGTTTAGAAAGAAAGTTAGGATAGAGAAGGAAGAGAACCTATTGTACATGACCTTGCAAACGAAAGTTTACAAAATGTCATAAAAACTTACTTTGCAGACAATGAACGAGAAGGGATGAATATTTAAGAAAACTCAAATGGACAGTACCAAATGAAATGTTAGTATTGAAAAACATGTTCCTTGACAAAATAAAACCAACTACAGAAATAAATGACGCAAGACTGAAACGTTGGGTAAAAGCTTTCCCATTCACAAAAGATATTGTTGGTAACATGGAAAGAAAACCAGAATGGCTACAAAAACATATATTTGGAAACGAGCTTATTCCATATGGACAAGCTCTGTTTGAAGAGCTTGAACCGGAAACTCAGGAAAGAGTCATGCAAACAATACGCGAAGACTCAAATACAAACTATGACAAAATCTTTCTAGGATATAGGTTACCTGAGATGGGCGACCAGAGCCCAAAGGCAAAAAGGACATGGGAAATTTACAACATACTAGGTGAACATGAGGCAAAGATGCAACAACTTGAAGCAGAGGGCAAGTTACCAAAAGCGACACCAAAGAAGAAGAGAAGAGTAGAACAAAGTGAAAGTAGTGAAGAAGTAACTTCATCTAGTGAAAGTAGTGGCAATGAAGGAAAAAGAAGAGTTAAAAACTCAGTCAGGAAGAAAGTAAAGCTTGGTCCACGTGGGTTCTATTATGACACATAAATCAAACTATTCTATATTTTTACCCATATGAAATGTACGCCGCTCAGAATATAACGCCAACAGTTTTGGATGCCATGAATGGAAATGTTTCCGAATGGTATAACGAATGCGACAATGCCATTAGAAGGTCAGAAATAGTTCCTGGAACTTACGAATATACAACTGCTGTTTCTTATGGAAACGTAGGTGAGTTTGGAGAAGGTTCTTCAACAACAGTAGATATTGCTTGCGACAGGTTTCATATAATTTCTATTGACAACTCATTCTTATACGTGGAACAAGACATTGAAATAAAACCTTCTGCCAAGTTGTCTGACAAGAAAGGTTGCAATGGAATTTTCTATGTCGGATACCAATATGCTCCAGAAGTTTTTATGGGATATAAGATATATTCTAACTCTGACTTAGTTCAAACAGTAACATGGGCAAACTATGAATGGTTCGCTTTGAGAAACTCAGTACAACCACAAGCTAGAGAACAAACAGACCAGTATGCAACTATTGAGAAAATAAGAAGACTTGACCCTAACGTTCCAGGAGTTTATGTTAACCTTTCTGGTTCAGATGGAAATGCTGTCACTAAAGTAAAACTGAAACTTAGAGTTCCTTTGTCATCTTTCCTCATCTTCAGGTTTTTAAGATACTTGCCAAACTGGGCAGGAAAAATTTCTATTGAACTTACTCCAAGCAAAAATAACTTAGTCATTGCACCAACGCAAGACCCATTCACTCTTACAGACGTAAAGGGAGCAAATCAAACGTCATTCGCCGAATTTTGCAAAGACAAAGTTGACTTAGACTTTGGTTTCTCAAACCTCAACACTGAAGTAAAGTATTATTTCAATGCTGCTGGAACTGCTTGGGACCCAGTTAGGTTTACATGCGAACAGTTTGAATGCAAGAGAATAGAAAGCAGACTTGCAGTCTATATGTTGGACCCAGATATTTCAAATGCTTTAGCTGCCAAATATATTGCAGTTCCACTTATGTTCCCTATACACCAAATATCTGTCAAAGACTTTGCAGGTGAAGTTGGAAACCAAATCCAGGAACCGCAGGTGCAAGAACAGATATTGCTTTAACAACTGCAATGAAACATGCAGATACTATGTTTGTACTGTTCAGACGAACTATAAATGACTATTCTTGTTTCTACAACCCCGGTATTAAATATCATATAAACATAGATGGCAAATATTATCCAAGAGAAGAATATTCTACAGTTGAGGATATGAGGTCATACAACTTGACATTAGATGCTATGAACTTTAACAACAACTTCACAACAACCATTAACCCTGAAATGCAAAGTTCTATTATGCCATATGTGAAAGTATGGACCATACAGGAAGTCAAAAAACTCAATATACAAATGGAGACCGTTCAAACTTTTGGCTTGGCATTCCATTTGCTGACTCAGAAGACTTTATGGGTGGTATTTCAACTGTTGGTACTGTACAAATACAATATACTGGTGACAGAGACGGTCCAGATGAATTGAAAGCAAAGAAGTTTACAAAACCAATAGCACTTTTCACGGAAGATGCTCTTTTGAAGATTCGTTCGATGAAACCTGCTGGGGCTCCTCAGATTGGCATAACGACAGCTTCCATCGAGCAGATTTTGGCAGCAGGTCAGTAAGTTGTTCTTGAACTGACTTCTCTCCGTCAAATATTGACAGTACGCCAGTTTTGACATAAAATTGTATTATAAACTTACCTTTAGAAATATCTGTAAGTTTTGAAGTTATATTTTTGTCTGCTTCAAGAACTTTCACCATTTCAGTTATACCAACTTTCTTTGCTTTATGAAAATATTTTGGTTCAGCAAAGACTGCTATTCTATAACATTTTCCATTGTTTGTATAAAGAACTATTCTGTCAATGTATTTGTATTGTTTGTGTGTGTAAACTTTGTTTGCTTCAATTCGAAGAGATACCGAATACGTCCATCTTTTTATTCTAAGTAAAATGTCATTTCCGAAAAATAGAAGCGTAAGTGTTTCAAAAGGTTTAATGGCGTGGCAGATGTGAAGTTAAATTCACCAACTCAAACAAACAGTCAAAGTGTTATTGTCAATGTCAAAGAAAGAGATGTTGAAGTGGGGAAACCATACGAGACGAAGATGGTATAACAATTGTTCCTGTAAAAGAACAACCAACATACCCTGAAGTTAGCAGAGACTTAAGTTCTGTTGCAGATATTCGAAACGACTACCAACAACTGAAAGACAAACTTCAAACTCAGGAGAAGATTTGTCAAGCTTTAGGTATAATGTTAAACTTGGTCGAACACAACCCTGTAAAAGTGAACTCATATGTCATTGCACCTCATGAAGTTTTGAAAGAACTATTGAAACTTTTGACAGAGGCAGACGATATAAACATCAAAGAAATAGAACCCGACGTTAGTTGCTGTGGTGTTTCATATAATGTCATTGACAAGATATACGTTATGAAAGGAGGTGAAACGTTGAACTTAAAATATAGTTTCCCAGACGTTATAAAAATATTTGACGACCACAACATTTCATTAAAATTTATTTGCTAAGTAAATGGCAGAAGACACAATGGTTTATACTATTACGACTAAAAACCCTGAGTCATATAATTCTATAACAACAAACTTACAAAGTCCTCAAGGACGATATTGTAAACTAACTTTAAACACAATGACGACTAAAGCCTGTTTTGCTCTTTTGACACCAGAAGATTTTATTGTTGTGAATGGTAAAAAATACTCCTTTGAAGATACTTACTCAGATATACCACCAACAGGTTTTGTTGACTTATTTAATACTTTAAGTACGGGTGTAACATGTGCTGCAACTAGAGCAGGTTTCATTATGTTTGGATGTCCGACTGAGTTTACTATAAACAATATGAGCTATAATACAAAACTTATATCTGGTTTTTACTACCAACAGTTTCCTATAACAGGAAAAGGTGTCATACAAGGAATGTCTGTTCCATTGACTTTAAGTACACCTATTTTATATATTGTTTCAAACTTAGGTTCAAAGTGTTATTCGAATGTCGACAGAAACTACTATGACCAAAAGATACTTATGCGTATAAACAACACTTTCTCTGCTGGTTTGCCTATTGTTCATTCGAATGCAGAGTTTTCAGCTTTAGTAAACTCAAACACTTTAGCAAACATAAACTTAACCTTAGTTGACGCAAACTTTGTTCCTGTAAAACTTTTATGTCCTATGTATTTGTCAATGACGGCAGAAAGTTTCGAATTGGAAGATGCAACTGGTGAAAGTATTGTATTACAAGAACAACTTCAACAACAAATAGCTCAAGAACAACAAATGCAACAAATGCAACAACAAAGTCAAGAATAAAAAAATATTTTTTTTATTTTTATAAAAATGTACAGAATAGATGTTTCAGATTTTTATGACTTCCAAGCATTCAGAAATATGTGTCCATTTCGAGACTATAACAAAGCAGTCGAGAATTTGAAACGTTTAGTCATTTATGTCGACTCTGCCCCAGAATGTTATGTTATGAAAGAATGGGATGTAGTCTTTAACAAACCTAAAGCGACAATAGTTTCAGAACAAGAATGTAAACAGAAACTTAAGAAAATAAAAGTCGTACAAGTTGGTATGAAGATGTTAGATGCTTGGGATATCTTATTGTCAAAGTTAGAAGATTTTTCAGTTCGTGGTATAAAGTTTTATACACCTTCTCCAAACTTCTATTCTATCTTCACTGGATATAAATATGAACAAGTAGAATGGAAAGAAAATGTTATAGAAGCTTGGTTAGACCATGTCAAAGAAATTATATGCAATGGAAACGAAAAGGTTTATGAGTATATCTTATGTTGGTTTGCAAACATCTTACAACATCCAAGTGCTAAGAATGAAACTGCTCTCATTATAATTGGAAAACAAGGAACAGGTAAGAACACATTCTTTACAGATATTTTGTGCAAACTGTTAGAGGCTATTCGAACCCTAATATGACAAACTTAGAAAACATCTGCGGTAAATTTAACTCTTCAATAGAGAATATGAAACTTATAGTATGTAACGAACTTCAAAGTATAGATACAACAAAAGTTTTAAACTCAGATGCTTTGAAGAGTCTTATAACAGACAAAGTTGGAGTTGTTGAAAGAAAATATAAAGACCAAAGAGTTTGTGAAAATGTTGCAAACTTCGTTATGGTTTCAAACAATGTTGTTCCGATGAAGTTAGAAAGTTCTGACAGAAGATATGTAGTTGTCAGAACGTCAGATTCTCATATGCAAGATACAGAATATTTTGACGACTTAGCAGAAACTTTGACATCTGACTTTTACAACCACTTGTTCTCATATTTCATGACATTAGATATTTCAAAGTTCAATCCAAGACAAATTCCACATACCGAAGAGAGACAAACATTGTTAGAAGCAAACAAGAGTGTATATGAACTGTTCATAGATGAAACTGACTTTGAGTGTTTAGATGAAAGGTCATTGTACGACTCGTATAAACAATATTGTCAAGAGTATGGTTATATGACAGCGTCTAAACGAACATTCTTGGCAAATGTCAAAAGTCTTTTAGACGTACAGAATGGTGTATATACAAAGAAAAATTTTTCTGAGTAAATTTTAAAAAAAAATATTTTTTTATCCGATAGAAAAAGATGGCAAAATTCATCTCAGTAAACAAGTACATGTCAGGACTTAAAGAAGAACTAGACCCATTCACATATTTGAATGTTTACTTCTACCATTTTGAAAAGTCTTCATTCAGCAAAGTTTGGAACATCGAACCAGTTAAGTTTGCTATTGTGACTAAAAATGGTGCGAAATTTGAAGACTTAGACATAGAAGGTTTGTTAGCAGTCAAAGAAAGTTTTGACAGAAGGTTCTCAAACCTTAAAGAAGGCAAAGCATACAAACTTGTTATACCTTATGAACCAAAGAAAGCAGACGACTATGAATATTATGAGTCTAAAGTTGTAGAAGTTCAAGGTAAATTGGGTAAAAAGATTTTAGAGTCTAAGCCAGTGTTTGCTCCTAAAGAGGAAGAGAACATTGACATTGACCCAGAAATGTTCTAAAAATAAAATTTTATTTTTACATGTCATATCTCCCCTTCTCTGGAACTGGTTCTTTCTTCTCTTCTTCTACTTTCTTTTCTTTCTTTTCTCTCTTCTTCTTTTCTGGTGGTGAGACGTCAAACTTCTCAGAACCATATTTTTGTAAAAGTTCTTTGTCCTTTAATAGCTCTTCTATTCTGTTTTCTATTTCATCTTCAAGAACAGTGCATGTGTCTTCTTTGCATTCTAAGAAGTTTTGTTGGACTTCATCTCTCCAAGAGGCGTCATCTCTGTCAACAAGTCTGTCATTGACAAATTTTAAGACTGCTCTGCTTAATGTTTTATGGTTCTTGTCATATTCCCAGAAACAGAACTTTAGAACAAATTCACCTTTCTTGTTTACACTATGTAAGATTTTATGGTCGACAGATGTTTTGCTGTCGAAAAGTTTGTCTCGAATATAGATGGCGAAATCACTAGACATTTTCTAAAAGATAAAAATTTTAATTTTTCTAAAAATATGTTAGAAAAAAAGTTTGCTGACATTGACAAGAAATTTGAGAATGTTTTAAATAAGAACAAGGTGAAATTAGAAAATGCTCAGATAAAACCCATACATGACAAGTTCTTATTTGCTCAGAATGGTATAACAGGTCTAATTGCACCACCTGGGTCGGGTAAGACTTTCACTTATCTTAAAATGGCTGCACAACAACAAGAACTAGATGAGAAGAACCCATTCTATGAGTTAGTTGTCATTTGTAGTACTTCTGGTCAATTTGACCAAACCGTAAATTCGTTCAAAGATATTATAAAGAAGTCTAAGTTAGTATGTATAAAAGACTCTGAGTTGTTAGATTGGATAAAGAAGTACCAAAGAAGAGTTTTGAAGTACAATGCTATAAATGAGTATATAAATTCGAAGTTTAAAGACCCAAATGAGGAAATGCAGAGAATATTAGAGAAGAAACACTTCAGAAACAAACAGAAAGAGATAGAATACATTTCGAAGAAATTGCAATCTTACGATTGGAAGACTTACCCTCATAGATGTCTTCTTATCTTAGATGACTTTGCTTCTCATCCTTTGTTAAAGAATAGAGAACAAGACATGTGTCGAATTCTTAAGAAGCTCAGACACTTCAACATCTCAGTTGTCATTTGTGTACAGACAGCAAAGAGTTTAAGTAAGGATGTAAAGAGAATACTTACTGACATTGTACTTTTCCCCGGATTGTCCGAAGACGATTTCATGGAACTTATGAAAGAGTCCATGGCAGGTAAGTTTGACAGACATGAACTATGGGAGAAGTACAAAGTCATACAAGACCCTCATACTTCTTTCAGAATTCATATCTACGCAAACAAAGTTCAAATTGTAAAAAGTCAAGCGTAAAAAATGTAAGTGTTTGGTCTTAGTCTGTTGTGGTGCTGGGGCTGTCGGTTCTTCTGGCTTTGGAATGGACTCGGTTGGTGGTACGTCGGACATTCGTTTGTGTCCTGTCGGAAGGAAAATATTTTCCTGTCGGAAGGAAGAGTTCTTCCTGTCGGAAGGAAAATTTTTTCCTGTCGGAAGGAAAAAATTTTTCTGTCTGAAGGAAAAATTTTTTCTGTCGTTCGACCAAAAAGTTCTCAATTTTCGAAAATTTGAATGGTTTACGGACGAACAACAGGAAATTTTTTTCCAGTTGGAAGGAAGGACTTTTCCAGTTGTCGGGAAATTTTTTTCCTGTCGGATGGAAGGACTTGGAATGTCGGATGGAAGGACTCGGAATGTCGGAAGGAAGGACTCGGAATGCCAGAAGGATTTGACAAGACAATTTACCATCTAGAGCTACCTGAGCCATCTGAAGTCAAGCTTGAAAAATAAATGGTTCATTTACTCTGCTTGTTTGAAGTTGTCAAAATACTCTGTTATTTTTTCTTTCAGTAGCGGCAAATCTTCTTTGAAGGTAAGTATTGTACAACCTTTAATATCATAGTGTGTTTGAGGTAAAGTATCTTGAACTATTTGTTTCACATCTTCATTCGGTGTCATTGAAATCGGTAAGTTTTCGCGATAGAACCAATTTCTGTCAGATTTGTAAATCTTAGCAAGGTCGTAAAAGCTTTTGTTGTTTCTTCTGACTAAATGCAACATAACCATATCTCTGTCTTCTTCATTTTCCATCTCTTCAGTATAAATCATATACTTATAGTTCTTTTCCTTTCCTTTTGGTACCGAACGTGGTATTCTTTTCTGAAGGCTTTTGTCTTTTGCTTCAAGCTTGTTCTCTAGCTCTTCACGTTCTTGTCTATGAATTTCATCTAACATCATGAAAATATACCAAGCATAACGAGGTGAAGCCCACATTGCAACAGCATTTACAAGAAGTCTATGTACATACCAACCTCTCAAACCATTTGGCAAATTTTTACGATTTTCATAGAGTTTTGGCGACCCCGGAAAAAGTCGGGGTCGCTGTGCTTCGCTCAAAAGTTCTTTTGTCTGTTGGTTTTTGAACCAATCGTCTGCGTGTTTAGTATCTGGAGCAAAACATGCTGTCAAAATACTTTGCATTTGGTACATGTCGTCTTTGACCGAACGAATGAGACGTAACTGTTTGTTAAACTGAACCCACTCGTATTCTTCATTTATGTCTTCATGAACGATAGCAGTTGTTGTGTTCTCTGTTGTTGTCATATCTGTCCTTATATTCCGGATAAAAAAAATATTTTATAAAAAACTAACTTTATTTCCTGACTTTCACAAAAGACCAAAAATAAACGCTTTACATGTATTTTTCAGCAACTTCGTCAAATAATTTTATAGCTTTATCTATCTCATCTACTTCAAACGTTTCTTTACCTTTCGTGGGAGCACCATACATTTTCTCAAACTTTTCAAGTAGTTCTGTTTCAGCAGCTCTCATATCGTTAACAAACACAACCTTAACTCTATTGACTATACTGTCATATCTTTGAGTTATATTATATGTTCTTCCTATCTTATATCTCTTTGTATTGAAGTCCTTCGGTTTCTGAACAATGTAAAGTAAGCCTTCACTGCAACGTTCAGTATCGAATGAACCATATGTTATGAAGTTATATCCAACAACTGGGTCAATCCATAACAAAACTATTGGTATAAGACTTTTGTCTATAAGATATGCTGTAGTTCCATAGAATCTTACCGATATCATAAGCTCAGGATTTCTTGTCAAAATTTTCTGAGTAGAAGCATTTTTAACCCAGTCGTGGGATGTTTTCTTTTCTGATAGTGTTAGAATGTCTGACAAAGAATATTTCTTGTATTTCTTTGAGTATCTTACGTTTAAATCACCAATTCGAACCACTTTGGTGTCATTGTCTATCTTTCTAACTGTTTCAAACTCAATGTTTGTCATTTTCTGTTCTTACATACAAGATAAAAAATATTTTTTTAAAAAAACTAACTTTATTTTTTCTATCTTGTATAAAAGATATGATTTCAGGGATTTTTTTTACGAAGTGCAAAAGTTCTCTTCGTCAAAAAATAACAGTTATATAATGAAATTTGGTCATTTTTTCACGATTTTCGTACGGAATCTCGTTCCTCGGTTTTCCTCGGGTCGCAATTTTTCACGATTTCAGGGATTTTAGGCGACCCCGAAAAAAGTCTGGGTCGCAATTTTTCACGATTTTCATGAGTTTTAGGCGAGTAAGATTTTGTCCGTACTCGCTGTTTTTCACGATTTCAGGGATTTTTTTACGAAGTGCAAAAGTTCTCTTCGTCAAAAAAATACAGTTATATCATGAAATTTGGTCATTTTTTCACTGTTTTCATGTGTTTTATGCAAGACCGAAAAAAGTCGGTCTAGAGAAATTTCACTCAAAAATTCTTGTGTGCTTTGGTTTTTGAACCAGTCGTCTGCGTGTTTGGTTTCTGGAGCAAAACATACTGTCAAAATACTTTGCATTTGGTACATGTCATCTTTGACCGAACGAATGAGACGGAGTTGTTTGTTAAACTGAACCCACTCGTATTCTTCATGAATTTTGTATAAAAGATATGATTTCAGGGATTTTTTTTACGAAGTGTAAAAGTTCTCTTCGTCAAAAAATAACAGTTATATAATGAAATTTGGTCATTTTTTCACGATTTCAGGGATTTTTTTACGAAGTGCAAAAGTTCTCTTCGTCAAAAAATAACAGTTATATAATGAAATTTGGTCATTTTTTCACGATTTCAGGGATTTTTTTTACGAAGTGCAAAAGTTCTCTTCGTCAAAAAAATACAGTTATATAATGAAATTTGGTCATTTTTTTCAGCAAAAATATATTTTAGGTGGAACCAGGTCCCTCGGTCCCTCGGTCAACTAACATCTTTTTGAAAATGGTGACAACATGACATTTTGACAACAACACAGGAAATAAACTTCTTCGTATATGTTTTGTCAAAACTTCATCGTCAATGAGCGTAAATGTTTTGTCATGATTTCATCGAAATGAGTGTAAATGTTTTGTCAAGACTTCATCGAAATGAGCGTAAATCAGACAAAAATATATTTTAGGTGAAGAGGTGCGATCTCACCTGTTTTTTCACCTGTTTTTTCACCTCTTTTTTTTATAAGCGTTTTACATGAATTGTACGATGTATATTTGAAATTCTAAACAATTTCGTAGCTTCTATTTCTTCTGTCAGTATGTCAAAAGTTTTCACAATATTGAATGTATCTTTATATTTCTTCTTGACGTCAGACAGAAGGAAATCTTCTGCTGTTGGATAGTTTTTGTTTAGAAATGTCAACATGTCCATTTTATTTTCTGCTGGTTTCTCTGCTTCTTTCTTTAAGTCAGCATAGTCGTTTCGCATACGTTCTATCTCTTTGACGGAGTAGTTATATTTCCTCATTGCTGCTTTACATTTAGAACATTGTGGGTTCATTTTTGCGTTATATTCTGAAACCTTACCTGCAAGTACAACTATAGCGTCAATGGTTTTCTTTAACTCAAAAGTTGCGGGTTTTATTTGTTCGTTCCATATTTTACATCTTTTATCTTTATCTCTTATCTGCCATACACATTCAGCAACTAACGAAACAAAGTTGTCGTAGGTCTTAAACTCCTCCGATTTATATATGTCAGAGATGTTCTTATATACCATGTCGCAATCTTTGTCCATAACCTTATGGTTGCAATGAAATCCAAGAAACTCATAGTTTACCTTTCGTATGAACTTCTTTATTTCAACTGAGTCAGTTGGTTTCACTTCTATTTCATCGAATTCAGGAATAGTAAGCTTTTGTTGTTGGATTTCAGGAAGTTTAGGTAGATGGTCAATAATATCCTGCATTTCATAAAGATATTCTTCATTTGTTTCATCTTTTGCAGTGCAATCTAAATCTCCTTGGAGAAGTTCCTGCTTTATCTTCTGGATTTCTGTTTCGAAAGTATATGAAGAAGGAATGAAGCTTTTCATCTCTACTAACATTGAAGTTGGGTTCATGACTAACGAGTTTGGTGCTGTTGTTGCTAACATGTTCTTACAATAAAAATAAAAAATATTTTTTTAAAAAAACTAACTTTATTTTTTATTTCGGGAAAATTCATGAGTTTTGGTTGAAAAATACGGTGGAGCCAAAAGTGGCTCGACCTCAAAACAAGCATTTTGTGAAGAATATACCAACCGCCGGAATTCCGGCGGTTGCTTTTTATACAAAATTCAACGGGTGACAAAACATATACGATGAAGTCATGACAAAACATGTACGATGAAACCTTGACAAAACATTTACGATGAAACCTTGACAAAACATATACGATGAAACCTTGACAAAACATTTACGATGAAACCTTGACAAAAACATATACGAAGAAGTCTTGACAAAACATATACGATGAAGAAGTCATGAAAATTCAACAGGTGAAAAAACAGGTGAAAAAGGAGGTGAGATCTCACCACTTCACCTAAACTTTATTTTTGGGTCCTTTACGCTCATTACGATGAAGAAGTCATGACAAAACATTTACGATGAAGAAGTCTTGACAAAACATTTACGATGAAGAAGTCTTGACAAAACAGTTACGAAGAAGTCTTGACAAAACATATACGATGAAACCTTGACAAAACATATACGATGAAACCTTGACAAAAACATATACGAAGAAGTCTTGACAAAAACATATACGAAGAAGAAGTTTATTTCCTGTGTTGTTGTCAAAATGTCATGTTGTCACACTTTTTCAGAGAAGTTAAAATGACCGAGGGACCGAGGGACCGAGGGACCTGGTGACACCTTCAGTTCTTCAAAACATATACGATGAAGTCTTGACAAAACAAGCATTTTGTGAAGAATATACCAACCGCCGGAATTCCGCGGGTTGCTTTTTATACAAAATTCAACGGGTGACAAAACATTTACGAAGAAGTCTTGACAAAACATATACGAAGAAGTTTATTTCCTGTGTTGTTGTCTAAATGTCATGTTGTCACACTTTTTCAGAGAAGTTCGTTTAACCGAGGGACCGAGGGACCGAGGGACCTGGTTCCACCTAAAAACCATCTACCCTAAAATATATTTTTGCCGAATTCAATAAAAATAAATGGTTCATTTACTCACAATATTTTTGTACAAAACGACCCCAAACTTTTAACTTCTTTTCTGCAGCTTCAAATGCTATCTTAGCGAGTTCATATTCTCTAAATTCTCTCTTTAAATCTTCTTGTTCCCATTGGTCTAGTTCGTATGGAGAATCTTTATAACCATAACACATCTCATGTTCATGTTCTATTTGTTTTTCATGCATTTTTCTAACTTCTTGTTCGAACAAAGGTTTAGCATTCTCTACTGTATCTTCGAGTTCTTCTTCATCTAACTTCTCATGAACTTTCTTGTCTATGGAGTCCATAATTTTTCCAACTGCTATACAATATTTTGGAGAAGCCCACATTGCTATATAGTTTACAAGTCTTGGGTCTACATACGTTCCTCTAACCTGTTTGATTTCATCTGGAATTCCTGCATGAATTTTGTATAAAAACCAACCGCCGGAATTCCGGCGGTTGCTATATTCTTCACAAAATGCCTTATAATACTCTTCCCAGGACTTATTTTCCAACAACTTTCTAAAGTCTTTCCTAAACTGCTGACACATATTTGTTACATTTATATAACCATCCTTGTCTCTACGTAAGACTTCAATACCGTTGTAAGTGCCTTTTGTGAATGTTTCGCCATTAGATTTGTTCGTGAACGTTTTTGCTTCGACTGACATTACTGTTCTTACAATAAAAATAAAAAATATTTTTTTTAAAAAACTAACTTTTTATTTTATTTCGGGAAAATTCATGAAAATTCAACGGGTGAAAAAACAGGTGAAAAAAGAGGTGAGATCTCACCACTTCACCTAAAATATATTTTTTGGTGGTACGTCGGACATTCGTTTGTGGCTTAACCGTCGGACATTCGTTTGTGGCTTAACCGTCGGACCACAACGATAAACACTCATTTTAACTCACTTTTTTTCTATCTTAAGGAAATTCATGAAAATTCAACGGGTGAAAAAACAGGTGAAAAAGGAGGTGAGATCGCACCTCTTCACCTAAACTTTATTTTTCAATACTTTTTCAGCACTTTTCCGTAGTTGTATATGAAAGACAATTCGAGATAAAAGTCATAGTACAATGGTATTATATGCTGCACACCATTTGTTGTGAACCAAACTTGAAAGTCAGAGAAACTGTTACTAGGTGGTTCGTAGAATTTAGAAGCAAAGTCATAAAAGTCCTTACCGATACATAGAAAACTATTGTTGCTTGAACTGAAACTTGCATGGCACATAACATTTTGAGGGTCAAACACGTTTCTATAAACTGTCAAATCTGCTGGTGGAAGTATAAATTTAAATGGACCATCTGGTGGTAATGGTTCGTTCTGGTTTAGTAACCGAAGAAATTGTGCCCAAGAACGTTTGTCTACTTGCCAAAATAAAAACTCTGTATCTCTTGGAGGGTTAATTTCAATCTTTTGAAATGAAACGGTGGAGTTCATCTTGTCATATTCTAGTTTCAGATAGTATGTTCCATTTAGTAAAGAGTCGTATTTTTCTTGAAATTCCCAATAATATTTGTTCATTTGAGTTTGAAAGTCATTTAGAGTTTTCTCAAGACTTTCGTCTGAACGAACTGTAAAGATCCTCATTTCATCAAATTTGTCTATAAGACCATCAGAACCTTTATACTGCCCATGAAAATATACTGCGAACATAAATGCGTTAGTTCTATTTGAAAACAAAACTCTTCTAAATCCTATTGCCTTTGCATCTGAAGGACTTTGAAGCCAACGAACTGGATAGTCAAACCTGTATGAACGGGATAAAATTTCTTCATCTGAAATAGTCCTACCAGCATTTGTATAGATATAGTCTAACGGTTTTGTATCTGCTACTTTTGTTCTTTGTTTTTCAACCTGAAGCATTTAATATATGTAAAAATATATGGTTTAAAAAACGTTTTTACTTCATGCAATTTTTTATTTCTCATCTAACAAACAAGTTTCCCAACGGTCTTCTCCAACAAACTCAGCGTACATTTCAAATAAAATAAAAAATATTTTTTTCTTTACTTTACATAACCGCCTGAAGCCATAAGTCTTTGACGCCAACCCATACCAGCTAATGAAGGTTGACTTGGTTTAGTTTCCAAACTAAACTTTGGTTTTGGTTTATCTTCTTCTATCGGTTTTTCGTCACTTTTCGGTTTCTCTGACTTTACCTCACCTGCAGGAACAGTTGTGTCGTCAACATCTTCATAAATATCATATGCCATTTGTTTTTGTTTTCCTTTCAACTTTTTGTGTTTGTTGTAAAGTTTAGAATATTTCGACTCTAAGTCAATGAGATGTTCTATAATGAACTGTTGGTCAGTGAAGTAAACTTTTCCATCTGTTGTCTCGAAATCTCCTTCAGACTTCAATATTTTATTTGTGAGAGTCTGTTTCTTTTTTGAGATACTTGCCGTTCCATTTTTATGAAAAGTGACTTTGTAGTTAGGGTTTGTATTTCCAGACCTGGCACTTTCTATTATTGAATTTTTCTCTTCATCTGTAAGTTCTTTGACAGGTTTTGACAATGGTTCTGAACTTTTTGTTTGTGGTGTCAAATCTACCGTTTCAACTTCTTCGGTCATTTCATCTCAGTAAAAAATTTTAGTTTGGTTTGTTTTCAACTGGTTGTTGTTGTTTTTTAAGTCGGTCTAAAACTTCCTGAGGTATAGGAAGAACTTGACAAACACGTTGTGTAACTGCTGGAAGCCGACAAATCCATCTTGAACCCATTTGTCTCAATGCTGTATTGTTCATTTCATCTCAGTAAAAAACTTTACATTCCCCACGTTTGAGGCGGTTGAGGTTGGTTATTGTTTACCCACTGTTGTGCATGGTTATATCCTCTGTTAAAGAATCTTTCACCTTGGTCCATATAGTGTCCTGCTTGGTTATAGTAGTCATTTGCTTTGTTATAATAGTTTCCTGCTTGTCTTCCTACATTGTCCATCCATCCTTGAACTTTTCCTCTTGTTTCAGGATTTGGAATAAGATTTGTTGCATCTCGTGCTACCTCCCAACCTTTCTGTACAGTTTGTATAATAGGTTGTGCTTTCTCTTTAAGTATACCTAATGTACTCAAAATCTTCCTTCCAACTCCAAATACACCTCTGGCTATTGTTCCCACTGCGGGTAAAAATCTAGATGCAACTCCTGCTAACGCGCCAAATAAACCCATTTCTTATGGGTTAAAAAATGACGAATCCAAACAAGGACCCCTATGTTTCTAAAGCGACAAAGAAAGCACTCATGGTAAAAATCTTTAGTTCAACACCAAATGCTTGGTTTATGGATATCTTGGAAAACATTCCGAGAGTTAGAACAGATGGACCACCATACTGGCTAATATTTGTCGGTCAAAACACAAGATACTGTGAAGCCATACCATTATGGTCCAAAAATATTTTAGATATCTTAGCAGCTTTGACAATATTCGTTGACAAATACCATCCAACAAAACTGACATCTGACTGTGAAAGTTCTTTCAAATCAGACGATATTAAAAACTATCTGCGTTCAAAAAATGTAAACCAATATTTCATTGTCGACCAAAACCATTCTGCTCTTGGTGTCATTGACGGTTGTATAAAAATGTTAAGAGACTTAAACCAACCACAAGGTGGTGAAGCAAATGAAATGTCATATGACGACAAGTATAGACACTTCTCCATGGCAAAGATGAGACAAGTTTTAAATATTTACAATAGCCGTAAACAAAAAGGTTTGGGAAACCACTCCCCCGAAGAAATGAAAAACAACCCTGACTTAGAGAAAGACTATATATTTAATAATTTAGTCAAAAGAGACAAACAAGAAAGAATGCCGGGCTTCAAACTTCAGAAAGGTGACAAAGTAAAAATAGAAATACCTAAACGCGACCCATATGAAAATACTATTGACTATGACAACAATGGGAACCCGACAGGTACTCACATTCGTGTTCGTAAAAATAGAAGAAAGTATACAAGAGAATATTATGAAGTTTTAGGCAAACATGGCAAAATGTACACACTGCAAGCAGAAGATAAAACTACTATTGTCAGACCTCGTTTCAAACTTGTCAAAGTTCAAGGTGGTATACTTTCAAAGACAGTTCCTAACAAATATAAGACAACTCCTGACGAATATGCTAAAGAAGTTGAAAATGACGACTAAGCAATTCTATACCATGCGTAAACTGTCATGTAAGGTGGCATGTAGTCTTTACTTTGTCCGGTTGTTTGCGTATACCCTGAAACGCGATGTGTATGGTTTCCTCCTCCCTCAGTGTTACTCCAGTAACAATTTATAGCAAACTGAACGTTGTCTTTAACATCATATCCTTTACCTTTTGTCATTGCTGACCAATTCCAATATCTATGACTATGCCAACCTGCTTGAGATGTACTTAAATCTATGTAGTGACTGTGCGCAGGTAAGTTTTCACCTGAAATCGTTTTACTTCCACCTGTTTCCTTTGAAGAGTTTGCACAATACAAAAACCTGTCGACTATTTGAGTCCAAGTTCCAAAACCCAGAACTGTTTCTGGTCTGGTAGAGTTCATTGACGTATAAATAGAGCCTATAGGATATAATGTTTGAAGTATTTCTGTCTTTAATGTTTGAAGCTCTGTTTTGTCTGCTTTCTTGTCATATAAATCTTGAGCAGTGAATTTAATATTATGTTCATCCTTCATGACATAAACATCTTTACATCTAATGTTTTTCATCGTCGTTATGTCGTCATCCGATGTTAAACCTTGTGGAAAGTTAGGAGGTTTACAATATAATACATCCCCATCAGGTTCTTCAACCGTTCCTTCAATATTTTCTATAGCAACAGTTGTAAAACTTGTATGTGTATGAGTCTTATTTGCTTTCTTCTCTAACTCATCGTTAACATAAGTTTTATCTGCTTTAAGGTCTAAACATCCTGAAACCCATCCTGTATCGGCTTTACTTTTTAAAATCTTCGATGTCCATTCATGGTACCAGTCAACCCTTTCTTTCATTTCGTTATCTTTTTCATCCACATATTCCTTATCCGCCTTCTTCACTAACACACTAGCCACCCATTCCTTATCTGCTTTCTTTTCAAGGCTAACGTTTAAGTCTGTTATTTCAGATATAGAATGTGTATGAGTCTTTTTAGAATATTCGTTTTCAGCTCTTGTCACTTCACTTGACATTTTATTGTCAACATATGTTTTGTCTGCTAGTTCAGGATGAGTATGTTCTTTTGTTGCATAAGCTTTGTCAGCTCTTTCTTCTTCTTTTGCTATTGCATCGTCTACATATGTTTTGTCTGCTTTGTTGTCAACATCTGCTTTCAAAAGAAGTTCAGATATAGGTTTCTCGTTTAAAGTTCCTTTTGTTGGATTTATACAAACAGTATGGTTCTTATTGTCTTGAAACAGAAACTCATCTGTCATTGGGTTTAATGTCAGTTTTAAGTTTCCTTCTTTCAATGACTCAGATATCTTAGAATAGTTTGAAAAGTTTGTTGTGTTCTTATTTAGAGCTTGTATAATGAGTTGTCGGTTGTGTTGTATTTCTCTCATAGACGCTGTTTCATTTGACATTTTTATTCTAGATAAAATATGCTTTCAATAGAAAAAGAAAATTCTAGAGTTGCTACAACTAAACCATTAGATGAACTTTTTACGAATGTCGGTCAAAAGTTTGAGACAGAGACCGTAAAGCATGAAGGCTATCGTTTTGACTACCCGTTAAGATGGTTAAGAGACCCATCTGTCACAAAAGCTATTGGCTTTCGTAGAATGAAGTTCATTTCAGAAGCCATACATGGTTTCCCATTTACAGTCGGTTTTGAAGTTCGATACTATAACAAAGAAAAACGTACGTATGAGAAATTTGAACAGGGAAAACTTTTACAAGTGAATTTGCTTGTAAACTTAGAAACAACTCTTCAAGCTTTTCAAGAAAAATAAACGACATCTATATCGAATATGCAAACCAGTATAACATTGACGAGGGAGAGTACCATCTCGATATTATATATGACAGGAAAAATGCAACTGTTAAAATCAATAGAATAGAAGACCTTGGAGAAAACGTTTATATTTCTACAAAATATAACAACTTGGCATGGTATAGATTTATGAGGATGTTAAATCAGCCTGCAGAATATCCAGTACACCCGGACTTTTATGAAGTCGAAAACCCTAATGGAACATATGAAAATGTTTTCGACTCAGATGCTATTATCGTTCATGCTTCATTTTCTGGTGCGCAAAACTCTTTTTTATGCTTGGCAAATGACTTTTACGAAAAACCTACAAAGCTATATGAACCACCAAGTGGAAGTATTTCAGACTTTCAAGTATGGTTTACTACAGATGGAAGAAAAAGAATAATTCCATTATACCATGCGTTTTACTTAGAACTTAGTTTCATATACAACTACTATCGAACGGTAAAAATATAATTTTTTAATACGGTTGAGGTGTTGGATTTGGTTGCCAACTAGACTGTGGTGCAGGTTCAGGCTGTTGTATAACAGGAGCTTGTTCTTCTGGTTCAGGGTCTTTAGGTATAATACCAACGAACTGACCTACTCTTTTACCAATATTTTTGACTCCGTTCCAAATTCCTCTTCCTACGGTTTTTATTCCATTCCATATACCTCTTCCAACATTTCGAAAGAAGTTTCCTATCTTACTGAAGAAACCCATTTTACTATATGTAAAAATCTAATGTCCGCCTAGTCTCTTACGTTTCCTGTTGAGTTCCATAGCATTCTTTAACTGGAGCTCATACATTCTGTTTCTCCTCTGGTAGAAAACATATTCTGGGTCAACTCCTGTGTTCGCGTCATCTGCATAGAGTTGTTTATATCCCACTTCGGGGTTTGTATAAAACTCTTTCCATCTCATATTTGCATACCATGGTGGCAAACCTAACGCAGCGTCATTTGACATGGCAGTTTGCATTTGTACATCTGTTGGCACTTGACCATAGTTTGCCATTGCAGTTTGTATTCTAACTTCATTTGGAATATTCTCTGGGTTTGGTTGTCCAGGTTGCTGTGCATTTGCTAAGTTCTGTGCGTCCATTTAATATTAGATAAAAATATCTCTTACGAGTACATATGCTGAACATTTGCAGGCATTGGTTCATCTTCATATTCTCTGTACTTTTCTGCCACGTCAAATAAATAAATGACACAATGGAAAAAACCTAAAACAAGTAGTCCTATTTCAAACCACATTTACTTACTAGTAAAATTTCTTTGTTATGACACTTTCTCCGGTTTATAGGACCTCTCTCATATTCTATCTTGTCATATCTAAACTCATAGTCATGTATGTCCTCTAACCATCTCATAACGGTTTCCAAACCAATTTTATCGGATGTAAAGTAAAAGCATGGATGGTTATGTAAAACGTCTAAAGTTTCTAAAGAGTCTCTCAAAGTCCAGTCTACTTGGTATTGAAAATCCCATGTGTTATAGAACGGCGGGTCCACTATAAAGAAAACATTTTCCTTGTCTTTATATTTTTCATACAACTCTGTCCAATAACATCTCACAAACTCTATACCCTCAATATATTTTTCTATGTCCTCTTTGAAAACATTTGTATAGTTAAGATATAAAACTTTTGACATAAGTGTTTCAATGTCATGAACTCTTATAGCACCACTATATAATAGTCTAGCAGATATACTATCCCAGTCTATATATTCTGCTTTTTTCAAAACCTCTCTCACAATATTTTTCTTATCTAATGGTATACGTTCCATCTTACCTATAGGTATCTTTTCTTTTAACTCTTTCAATATATTGTTTGTGTCTGGTATATGTTTGAGACGGTCCATATAGTTGTCGAAGTCATTGCATATAATCTTTGAGTCTGGGAATATTGTATGGCACAAATGGGATATATAGAAACTTCCACCGAACAAATCTACAAATGTTAGACCATTCGGTAGTTTCTTAAGTTCTCTCAATAGAATATCTTTACATTTACTCTTATTTCCAAAGAAGGGTAACGGTGGTTTTGTAAAATTCATTTATATATAATAATAAAAATGTTTTTTCCTGAAAAGTGACAAAACATTTACGAAGAAGAAGTTTATTTCCTGGACTGTTGTCAAAATGTCATGTTGTCACCATTTTCAAAAAGATGTTAGTTGACCGAGGGACCGAGGGACCGAGGGACCTGGTGACACCTTCAGTTCTTCAAAACATTTACGAAGAAGTCTTGACAAAACATTTACGATGAAATCATGACAAAACATATACGAAGAAGTCATGACAAAACATATACGAAGAAGTCATGACAAAACATGAAAACATATATAATTTGTGAAAAGCGAAACATTATATAATGTTTTCGACCCAGAAGAAGGCTTCTCAAAGTATACTTCCTTGGAACGCCTGTAACTTTTCCAGTAGCGACGATAGACCCTTGCTTGTCCGGACAAAGTTATACTAAACATCTTCAGGGCTAGAGGGCACGAAGTGCCTGGAGGCCCCACTACCTTTTTTTTTTTTTTTTTTTTAAGTCATCATTAAAAATTGCCCTGTGCAAAATGTTAAGTTTATTTAAGGGTGCACCCGTATGTACGTTTATTTGAGAGGAGGATTACCCTCTCAATTTTGAGGGATTCGTTAGTTTATTTTCTCGATGAATATGCAATAAAATTTGATTTTTACCTTATCAATATACTTCATATAATATACACATGTTCATGTAAAAACTTTTTTCCAAAATCCTCAGGAATTAAGGGATTTTTGAATTTTAAGAATTTTTTTCGAATTTTTTCGAAAAAAAAATATTTTCAGAACAGCCTTAACGGCTAAGATTTAGGAACAATGTTAAGTATCAAAAAGAAAGGAGGTCTGATATAGACAACATATATCGTTGAAGGTTGAAAAATCTCTAATATTTGAGCCCAAAATTTCAAATTTTAATTTTTTGAAAAAAGAGGCCACCCGTATGTACGTTTATTTGAGAGGAAGAGGATTATATTTTTGAAAGGGTGAAACATTATGAATATGTTAATTATATAATAATATGTATTATTATAAAAAAGAAAAAATAAAGCACGTTAAAATTTTTCTTTCTTGATTTTTTACAAAATCTACTTAGAATTATGCAAAATATGACTAAATAATTATAAATTTCAAGTTAAATTTTAATTTTGATAAATAATTTAAAAAGTTTCAAAATATCAAGTTCAGTTCGACTATGTATGTAGTAATTCCTCAATAAAGTGCCAAAACCCTATTAAAATATATGAACATTTTCAACATTTGAATGTTTTTATTTAAAAATTTGATGGAATATGAGCTTCAAACAATTATTATGTAAATAAAAATAATTAAATATATGTATTTATTCGTATTACAACCGTAGTAAGTCGATTCTTCCTTTCTTCTACTGAGGTTTGAATTTGATTTCGAATTGTAAAGAGATTCAAAGGGAAAATACTAGCGGAGAAAAACTACCTCCATGAAAGGGTCATAATGGACTCAAGTTGTATTTTTTGATATTTTTTGCTTTTCGAGCCTAAATAGGTAGCCAAGATAATGCCTAAAAATAAGGTTCTAAATTCTGAAGTTTACATGATCCTCTCGTGTGCACCCTTAAGTATGTTTCAAGATAATATGAAACTGAATATGTATTATTTTCATTAATTCTACCAACTAAAAATTCATATGATGGATAATATTTATCACTGCACTTTAATGATTCATTAATTAATGAGATAACTTGCGATCGATCTAATATTTTGGGTTCAAGAATTTTTGTTTTAATTTCCATATACAACCTTTCTATTTTTCCTTCATCATATGTAGCGAGACTGAACAATGAGACCAAGACATCATTTTTATCAGAGCATAAATTCATTAGATCATAATATATCTTATGATTCATGAATAAATATGTTAATCTATAAAAATGACTTTACAAAACCGTCAAAGATATTGTAAATAGAGAAAATTATTTTGATAGTGAATTGATATCAATGATATAATAAGATAACAAGGCCGAAATATAAAAAACAAAATTATTTCTCATAGAAATATGTATATTCCATTATGAAATAGACATTATTCCATAAATGTTCACAAAAAGCCATTTTTTATCGAAAAAACTAGCTAGCAGATGAGATAGTTTGTAGTAGCACACTTTAATCACTGAGCAAATATTTGAGATTGTATTTGACTGTATTCATTCAAGAAAATTAAAAAAATTATATTACCCGATTTGTTTGAAAATAAAATTGTTTATTTTTGATTTTAAACTAAATGATTTATAGATCATATTCATATTCAGGTTTTGCTTCTTCGGGTTGGACTTCACAACTTTTAACTCTTTCATTATGCATTCTTTTATACATAATAAATCCAATAATAGAAGCAACTACAATAGCAATCAATGCTGCAAGTACTCCAACTACTATTCCTACAGTTTTCTTGTTATCTGTTTTGCCGCTATTTAGTTTGTCATCATTTGGTGCTACTGATTTTGTTTTATAAGGCTTATCACCTGGTTTTTCATATGGTTTGTTATCAGGTGTTGGCTTATTTGGTTTAATTTCAGGTGTTGGCTTATCTGATTCATGGCTTGGTTTACCTGAATCATCGCCTGGATCAACAGGTTTTTCAGGAGTATTTTCATTTTTGTTTAATTCTGAAGATGAAACTGACTTGTAAGCGCTGTTTTCTGAAATGATATATGATTTTTCAACACTATGCGGATTATCTACATTAATTGTGAAAGTTGATTCATCATTGGCGTTTTCTGGATCAAGTTTAATTACCACCGGATCTTCAAAAACATCATTAACATCTCTAATATATCTTGGAGATTTTTCCCCAAATAAATACCTGTAATCGGATAAGATTCTTCCATCATTTGCAACATGAATCCTAGTGTGTTTGTAAGTGAAGAAAACATAAACATTTCGACATTTTCCATTCAAAGCTTGAACGTTATACTCTGTATATCTTTGAGAATTTTTGAATACCCAATTTGCAGTGCCATGAACAATTACATCAGTGCAACCATTTGCTTCTTTTTTGAAGAAATACACGTAAATGCATTTGGAAAGATAGAGACCATCATACCTTAGAACCAATTGACCATTTACTGTGTAATCAATATTCATGATTCCATGTTTCAGTAAATTCTTTTCAAAATCTCCTTTCTTGTAAATTGCAACAACTCCTGTGAAATCATCACAATACAATGAAACTGATGTTCCTGCTTCAACATCAAAAGTTCTATTTTCTGTTGTTAATCTAATGAAATATTGACCAATTGTAGGATAATCAAAATCATGAGATTGCATAGGCGTATGAGATTCACCATTAGTTTTAAATAAACTATCAGCTTTAATTAATTGGAATTTATATTCCTGATATACTGGATTTTTGTAATATTGATAAACTTCCAAATTCCAATTCCAGGGGTATAATGTACTTAAAGGTAATGCAACTGCATATCTTACATTTTCGATTTCTTTAACATCCTGGTAATGAATGTAATCTTTTTCAAATATTCTCATTCTATAATTAGTAAATCTAATGGAACAATTATATGGATTTACGATTACAATCAGATTATCTGATTCCACATATCTTGTATTACAAATAACATTGCCGTTTTCTGTCAAGAAATTGATAACGAAACTTGCCGTCGCTTTTTCCATAAATGGCACAAATAAGTAGTGAATTTGACTGTGATCATATCTTCTTCTTGGATTTCTTTGAATTTTGAATGTTTCTGGTTCATAAATGAGGTAATAGGAATCAATTGAATTATAGTTTTCATCTACAAAGTTTTCTGCATTCGTGAAAACAACATATCCAAATTTGAATGTAATTGTTGTTAATCCATTTGTAGGAACGTCAAGAAATTCATCATGAATATTATAATCACTGCGTTCCATTACATTACCAGATTTCGATGTATCTACATAAGCAAAATCTATTACAGATTTTTTGGGGTCAATGAAAGAATAAAAAAAGATTTTGTCATCTGAATCCAAAATGAATGTTTTGTCAATTTTTTCTGTAAAATCACTAGTAAAGCCATTATAATAGCCATAGACGCAAAAGCCTGGTTTTGGATCTGGTGGAATGACAGGAACAAATAAATATTTTTTGCCAGGTTCTAATTCCTTATTTAAGCTAAAAAGTTTTGCTCCTGAAAAGTCAAGAAAGTCAACATAATCAACTTTTCCTGTTACATCATAGTATTTCAGATTCATTTTCCAATTTTCTCTCTCCTCCAGAAAGATTGGAGAATTCTTGGATATTGTTATGACTTTCTTGTCAGCATAAGCAGTTAATAATTTATTTCCATTCTCATCAATAAATTTATCATGATTATATATGAGTAATGGAGTTACACTATCTGAAGAGATAAGGATATCTGTATCATAATCATTATTTAATTGTAAAGCGCCATCCTCGGCAGAAGATATATGAATCTTGTTGATATTAAAGTAAAAATCTTTCTCGACATTAGTAATTACTTTTTCTGTAATCATGTTATTCGCCCTTAATTTGTTTTGAACAAAATCAAATTCACCATCAACTGACCTAGAAATAATAAGATAATCCTTAAAATATAAGCATGCTGGACAAATAACATACTTTCTAAGTCGATATCCGAATACTTTAAAATTATCATAATTGGGACTTATATTTGTTGATCTTAATTTTATATGATAAGTTTCATCTGGACCATATATATAGTAAATGGCAAATTTTGTCACACTGTAATTAAATGTCCTATAATCAAGGGTTATATCTTTGTCAATTGTATTATAGATAATTATATATTGTTCATCTTCTGTAATATCAATCATTACAAATTCAAATACTCTAACGTGATCTGAAGCCTTAATGATAATGTCGTGATCTAAGTTTTCGATTTGAGTATCAATTTTTTGATCATTTTCATCATAGAAATCATCCTTGTTTAATGATAAATAAAGTAGTTTTTGGGCTGATGGTCTAACAATTGTTACTTGTTGACCAGGTAGAATGTATAAAGAATTTAACCCAATTTTAGAATTGAAAACATTTGTGTCATCAGCTAAATTATTTTCTGAACTATAACACATTCCTTGCTTCAACAAATTATTGTAAAATGAGTTTTGATCATTTGGTGTTGCAGTGATGGAGATAAGAAAACTATTTCGACTCATACTTAGAAATGAAACATCAGTAAATGTTGATGATCCTTTTGTTAATGTTTGTGTATTGCCGTTTATTTTAACATTTGTAGTTGCATCATCATATAATTCAATGTTAATTGTCACCTTTTCATCAAAGAAAAGTTCAATTGAATTATATCTGAGAATAAATAGTTTTTCAATCGCATTTTGCCATATAGTACCAGGATTGGAAATAATCGTTATCGGATGAGATTCTCCATCAACTGATTCCAAATAAAGTTTTTCTTATCCCTTGAAAACTTTTTGTGGATGTGACCAATTGAAATGAACAAAATTCCTTGTATCACTAATAAATACATTATAGCTGCTAGAAATATCTAAGTATACTCTAGCAGTATTTCCTGAATAACTACTACCTGATTCGAGTTCTCTTGGACTGCATCCAATGCATGATCCTGTTTCAACTAAAGGTTGTAATTCAGGAACACTAAAAAGTTTCTGTGTTTCTGTAGTGACTTTTGGAGAATTTACAGAAAGAAAACCGATTTTACGCTTTTTAGGATCATATCCACTCCACTGAATATTGTTATCCATTGCAGTAGTTGTTGTATATGGTTCCTTTGGATATTGTACTTTTTCACGGCTAGTGACTGAATTAAATCTTGGTGTAGAATATACTTTTCCTGAATCGGTTTCAACAGTAACTGTATGAGGGCGTTCATCGTAAGAAATCAAACAGTACTGTCCTGATGGGATGCTAGTTCTTGTCCAATAACTATATCCGCCTGCATGGTATAAAATAGAAAGATATTTGCAATTTTTTGCCATAAAGGCAACAATATAAATTGATTTAGGAGGGCCATCATATGCGAGTTCCTTTCCTTTTACATTTAAAATAAAATTGGAAATATCATCTCCATTATACTTAAGTCCTGTTGGATCTGAAATGTATAAGACACAGCTTCTTTCTTCCACTTGATTATTGAAAAACACACCTGGAGATGATAAAATTACTTCTGTTGGTTCTCCAAGAGGAGGGATCAGGACTTGGTTGTCTCTGAATCCTGTGTATTCTCCATTAATTGATCCTCCATCACTATGATACATACCAGGTTTGTATCCTTCTAGTTTGGGAATTTGATTTTCAGATAATTTTAAAAAAGATACTCCATAATGGGCTCTGGACTCTCGATTTGAAATTGATTTACCAGATATCAACCAAACATATCTTGTATTTGTAATTTTCCTGAAAATTTCATTTCTCCCTTGAGTTGAATCAGTATAAACGTAGTCAACATCATAGTTTATATAGCAAAAATCATAGTCACCGGTATAATCAAATGTATGACAACCGAAAAACTCGAAGTCGCAATTTGTATATGATAAAACAATTAAATCCAATCTTTTTTTACTACTTGAAAATTTGGAATAATCTATCATGTATTTTTTATTTGGCTCATCAAGAACTACAAATGTTATTCCATATGTTTTCGAATATGATGCAAAAAATAAATATAATATTTTTGTGCCTGAAATTGATTTTACAGTTAAGGAATCTATATTGGCATAGAGCGAGCTTAAGGTGTAGCCCCTTTCATCTTGAAAAATTGTTGGGTTTAAAATGCAAATTTCAAAGTTTTTTTCTTTTGTGCTAAATGAAATTGTTATCGATGATTCTGAAATCGGAATAGTATACATTCCTCTTTCTGATATATGAACTTCATCGCATAATGAAAAGCTGAAAAGAAGTGCGAGCATTTAAAATTTTATGATTTGAGAGGAATTTGAATTTAAAATTTTCAAAAGTCGCTGAACTTTGTTTTGGTTTTTTGAATATATTTCGTCAATACTTTTTTTTACACTTCAATTCAATTTTTTTACCCTTTTAAATTTCCGTATCCAATTTACTTCTGTGTCCAATATAAATACCAATTTATCATTTTTACAATTCGAGTCGCAGGAAAAAATATATATTCATATATAATGGATGCAGATCATGTTAATTAATATGTAATTTACTTGCGACTAGGAATTTTTTTTAATTTTTGTATTCAAATTTTCAGAACTTTTAACGTTCATGAGAATTATAGTCTGCAAAAGATTAATTCGGTTAAGAAACGTAAGATTTGTTCATTCAATATCTTATTCTTTTTCTAATTAGCAGCGGTTTATTTGAATTTACGACAATTGAGTTAAATTCTCAAATTCAGAACCATAGGTGTGATTCATTGAATATTCATGCATTCTCAGCTTATGAGTATTACTTGATATATGGAATGAAATGCAGGTGCATATGCAATCCATTTGTTTCAAAAAAATCTCAAAAATGATTGTTGAAGAAATTATTATATGATGAATTAATGTACTCAAGATGAAGAACATGCACAAACATTGCACGTCATCTCATTTTAGAACAAAAAATTAAGTTTTGCATTAAGATTTAATTCCTAAATTCACTACTGGTAACAATCTCAATTTTATGTGACTATGGGTGTGAGCACTTGTGAATTTCGCCGAATTCGAAAAATTGAACTTGACATTTATAAATTCTTTACAATACGTAAAGTTCTCAAATTTAAGATTGCAATTTCAAAATTTCGTATTACGAATGATCTAACCTTATATTGCTCATTAAATTAAAATGTGAAATAAGTATTTGAATATATGCTTCAAAAAATGCAATATACTGAAAAATTCCATTGATACTTGTAGATATTGAGAATCCAGTATCCGAATACGTTGTTGCATCTGATGTTGAAAGTATTGCTAATGGAACATCAAGTCAATACTTTGCCTTAAAATCAATTAAAACATTTAAAAAAGTTTTCTTCGAAAGTCCCTCATCTCTTAAATTTTTTGGACACTATTCATTTTATCAATGTGCATTACTTAAAGAACTTGATTTCTCTAATTGCACTTCCCTAGAAAATATAGGATCATTTTGTTTCTTTGAATGCACTGGAATAGAACGCATAACCTTTCCAACACAGTCTAAACTAGAAATATTAGATTACGCGTGCTTTTGTTCAATGCATTCTGTTGAATCCTATTCGCTTCCTTCATCGTTGAGATACATCAATGGCAATGCTTCTGAATTTGGTTGTTTTAGAGGTTTTTCAGGAAATGAATTGAGATTTAACGAAGGATTATTATCCATTGGTCCATGCGCTTGCATTTATATAAGATGTCATTATGTTTACTTACCATCATCTCTCATAGAATTGGATTCGAGTGTACTTAGATGCAATGATAATTTGATAGAGATTTTTACTGGTCAATTGAATGCTTGCGTGGTAGTCAACAAAGCATTACTTAGTTATGATCAAACTCTCTTGTATGCTTTCCCTTCTCTTATAAGTGGGACTTATTATGTTCCTAACACTGTACAAATTATTTGCACAGACGCTTTCTGCTATTCAATGTTGAATGAAATAATCCTTCCTGATTCATGCACTGAATTAGAAACACTGGCTTTTTTCCATTTGAGAAACCTAGTTTTTATGAAAATCCCAAAGAGTGTCGTCAAAGTTCATGATGATTCCATCAATGACTGTCCAAATTTGAGAAATTTAACAATTGAAATGGAGAGAATCCCAAAACTTCATTATCAATCTGTGGAAATCATGACTCTCGGAAATGAAACAAAAGTCATAGAAGATTATGCTCTAATCAATGCTGTTAATTTGCAATCAATTATCATTCCACCTTCAGTTGTAAAGATTGGGGCAGAAGCCTTTCGTGGCTTAAAGAAACTCAGATGTGTAAGAATATATGGCCAGCCTTCTATTGGCTCGTCAGCTTTCAAAGACACTAGAATTTCTTGTGGTATTGACTGCTATTCTTCTCTGATCGATCCTCTCATGATCTCGGGTGTGAATAGTAAGTCATTTAATTATTGCTGTATGACTGCTGTCGTTCAAAATGCAGTATGCTTCAGATCCCTATTAGATTTTCAATGTTTAGTTTTTAATATAGTTTAAAAAAATTATATTGCTTAAGACTATAAAATAAGATACATTCAACTGTATAGAATAATGTATTTGAGATGTGAACCAAAATTCGAATTGGAATGTGGGACAGCACTTCAATGAAATCAATCTCATCAATTACATTTGATTTCATTATGTTTTATTCTAAGACCATCACCACTTATGAAATTAATATTAAAATTTATCCAATAAAAAGCCATTCATGATAAAATTCCAGAAATTTTGAATTTGTGTTGGAACGATTTCAAATTTAATCAAGAAAAAATTTCATTTCGATAACAATGCCTATTTGATATTGCATGTGAGGTTAAGTGATCGAACAATCTGTGTAAAATTTATTTTTTTATGGGCGCTTCAGACTCAATCCCAAAGCCAACAAAGGAAGAAGTCAATGAGCTTACAAAGACAACCCACTTCAATGCAGAAGAAATCAACAAATTATACGCTGCTTTCTTGAAGATTGCAGGTACTCCAAAGAATCAAGATGGAAAGATCCAGCCACAAGAGTTCTTCGATTCCCTTGCCATCACAAACGAAGAATACGGTCTCAAGGTCTTCGAAGCATTCGATTCAACTGCTGATGGAGATTTGACATTCGGCGAATACGTCAAGGGAGTTTCCCAGCTTTGCGAACGTGCTACACAAGAAGAGAAGGCTAAGTTCTGCTTCGGTCTCTTTGACTCAAACAAGTCTGGAACAATTTCCAAGCCAGAATTCCTTTCATTCATCGAAGCTTCACTCGGTGAAATGGAAGGCTCAAGTCCAGAGCTTGCCCGCAACATCGCCCTTCAGCTCTTCACTGAAATTGACCATTCAAAGGATGGCAATATTACATATCCTGAATTCTTCAAGGCCGTTCAGAAGAACAACAACATTGTTAACTGCGTTAACGTCCACGTCGAATATATCTTCAAATAAACCTCTTGTATTTTTTCTTATTAAATATTATTTTGTTTTCTAATCCTTAACTTACAGAACATCAATCTACCTTAATCAAGATAAACAAGTTCTTCCACTTATGGCCATTTCGGAGGATCAGATTCTTTTATTTTTTTAATTACTTTTTTATTATTAACTAACATTAGCCTGAGAACACTATCATTCTTGTCATATTATACAATGTATTAAAATAAAAGAAAACCATTTAAAATTTCAAATTTCATTTCGAGAATTTGGAAATTTAGAGATTACAAATGAGCCGAAGGTGCATAATCAGTTCAAAAAAGATGTAATTTTTTATCATGACCTATAATTATTGTCTCAATACTGATATATCTTGATAGATCCTAATATGAGCCATTATTTAATTATCAATCGCCAAAATATGATTGCCATCCATATAATGAACTAAATGGAATGTTATGATATCTAAATTACAATCAATATAAAATTAAATTCATATTTTTCATCGTTTGAGAAAAGAAAGTTTTAACATTTTATAAATATGTGTGATAATAGAATCAAATGAAGAAGAAAAAAATTTGAATTGCAAAAAATTATTTTTAGAATGTTCGTAAAAAAAAAGAATAAAATATATGAATAAAACACTATTCCTTACATTAACTTGCAAGGGATGTAGTTGATTGATTCGCAGAATGAAACGACTTGTTTAGGAACTTCTGCGAGAACTTCTGCTGGTAATGATCCTGCGTGTGCTCCCAAGTATTTCCTGAAAGGAACGAACTGTACGATATCGCGTCTGCATGGTTGTCCCATTGAATTTCTCAATCCCTTTCCGTCGTCGCCATCAAGGTCGTCCATTGCGCTGAAGTCAGCATTGCCGACACCAACGATGATGATAGACAATGGTGCATCTGATGCAGCAACGATTGCATTTGCTGTTTCTCTGAAATCGTTGATTGCGCCATCAGTAAGTATCATAAGGATGGTATATGTCCTTGACTGGTTGAAGGCCTGGCGAGCTACGTATGCTGCGTTCTGGATCATAGGTGCGAAATAAGTTGGACCGTACAATTGAACGGATCTGAGAGCATTTCTGTAGACATCGAGGATACCCATCATGCCTGGAACGTATGGATGCTCAGCGCTGAAGGTAAGTGGGAAGCAATGGTCGACTTTTCCGTTGATTGCACCTCCGAAACCGTAAACAGCGAATTGCTGGTCTGAATCGTATGGGCAGACGATCTCACCGATGGAGCAGATGCATTGCTCGTACTGGTTCATGGAACCTGGGTTGATGAAGTGAAGTGAATTTGGCTGTGTTGCCTCCTTTCTTTCTGTGGGAGTTGATGGCGAACTCTTGCTTTTGCTCGAGGTGGGAAGCCATAGCTTGTACATCGGTATCGACTGTGCCGATTAAATCGTGATCTGAAAGCTTATTCTTCTTGGAATCAGCATCGTAAACAGCGAATCTGATTGGCTGCATTGTTTCGAAGATGTATGCAGCTTGGAGTGTCGTGACGAACGCTGGATTTGGATTGTTCCAGATAACTTCGGTTCTAGCGATTTCTACATACTGGCCGTTGATTGGGACCTGCATGACAACCATTGAGTCTGATGGGCTGCCGACATCTAAGCGTGGTAAGTCAGAACAAGAAATATGCATGTTAATAATCGGCTGATCGGTCTTAATATCCTTTGTTCCGACATCTGATACTCTTGCATTGTCTTTGTTGAGCTTTCCCTTCTCGGCAAGCTTTGGATTTGGGCAATAACCTCAGTAAGCTATTGACATTTGTGAAGTTAACAGAATTCAATAGTTTACGCGGAAATTTATAAAATTTCGAACAATTTATGATATGAGTTTGAATCAGAATCATATGTCATTGTTATTGATTATTGTTGTAAACAGAAATTCATCAAAAGTGACAGCTCTCAATTTTTTGACATTTGTAAATTCTAAATTGAATGAGAAAAATGAAATAATACTAAGCATAATACAATATTCTAGATTTAATTATAATTAGGGAAAAGTTAGTTTTGAGAGTACTTTTCATAGGCATATAGAATGAAATCTTCTGAAAATAATATCACATAAACTCATATTATTTTCTAATATATAACTATTTTATATAAAAATCAAATTCAATGATCTTAAAAGCGAATGATAAACCTCAAAATTTACGAATATAATGAGTGAAAATATAATGCTTATCTATCATAAAACCATATGAAATATTAATTTTTGCTTTACGCCTAATTTTTGACGACAATTAGCAAGAAGAATTGCATGATAAATAAAAACATTTAATCAAAGTCAATTTTATTTTTCATATTCAAATGGACTGAGTGTTAACATTTAACATTTTTTGCTAATTGTCGTCAAAAATTAGGCGTAAAGCAAAAATTGATATTTCATATGGTTTTATGATAGATAAGCATTATATTCCCACTCATTATATTCGTAAATTTTGAGGTTTATCATTCGCTTTTAAGATCATTGAATTTGATTTTTATATAAAATAGTTATATATTAGAAAATAATATGAGTTTATGTGATATTATTTTTCAGAAGATTTTGTGTTCTTCTTCAAAATTTTATTTTTTTATTAAAAAGAATCTTTACAAAATATACATTTACTTTAATTAATATTTAAAAACGTGCTCTATCAAAAGTTCCAAAAATTCAATATTTTAGCTTTTCTGAGGTGTCACTTTTGATGAATTTCTGTTTACAACAATTATTAATTGTTAGCAACGTCAAAAATGATAGTTCAAATCCTAATGGAATCTAGCGGTTTTTCAGAAATTGGAGGGAAATTGAATACTAAAAAAGTTAGATTGGTTTATGCGACGTTGCAGAACTTGTATTTCAAAGATTTTCAATAGAAATCAATGATATTTTGATTACAGTATCAAGTATTCTCTTCGCTATTAGACTAGGACTAAATTTCTAGAGGTTTTTAAATAATTTCGAATCTTTATAATGCCTATACAATAGAGAAAGTTGAACCATATAGTTTCCACAACACTTGTGATTGAATATTAATGAGTGAATCGAATAAATATGATTTAATGAATTTGGGCTCATATATCAAAATATGAACAAGGGAAATGAAAATTTAAAAAGTATAGACGATTTTTGATAAAAAAATTCATCATTTCAATCGTCATTTGTGAGTAATAAATGAACATTTTATATAGGTTGTATTATTGAAATGGAAATTAAATAGTGTTGAAAGAAATTTGATCTGGTAAGGTATATTAGCTTCTAAATAAACAATTATAAAATAATGAGATATAATCGTAATTCATCAAGTAAAAAGAAATTTGTAATTACAGTGTTATAAACTGCGGAAATATGAAAAGATCACAACAAGTTAAGAAAGAATGTTTGAGTGTAAAATCAGTAATAAAGAAAAGAAAAGGGATTTACATTGTTTTGGACTATAACCATTTAGATTTTAGTCTAAAGAGTGATATTGAAAAATGAATAATAAGAAGAAATTGGTCAGTTACTTTCTTAAAGTTATATAATACATATTTGCAGCAAGCCCCAGTAGCATAGTGGTTATTGCGTGTGCCTCGTAAGCGCAAGGTCGCCGGTTCAACTCCGGTCTGGGGCATGCACTTTTTAAAATTTTATTTCTCAAATATTTTTTGTAATTGCAAATAAATTTAATTTTTAATTTGGAAATACTTATTTATCGACGAATCGCCAATTTAATCAATTAAAATTGTCATATTTTTTATAATTTAAACGTCGATGAGTGAGCGACCTGTTCGAACTTCAAGAGTTATAACGTTCACTCGTCGACAAACATCAAGACAAATACCAACATCTCCTGCTTTTCCAGCAATTCCAACTGTTTTTCGAGATATGTTGTCGATATCCGATGATAGAATAGAAGTTCTAAGGAAAAACATTAAAGAATGTTCAAGAATTCTTGTTCTTAATCGTTATTACGCATCTTTAGGCAAATCCAATATGATACCAAAAAATGACATTTTCCTTTCTCGACTTTTTTCACCTACAATCGCATTTTCGTTCCTAGGCATTACCAACATGTACCAAAGTTCCACAACATTACTAACATTTTTACTTAAAAACCCAAAAATTTTTTCTAGAGCAATTGCGTTATATTCTAATGATGTTGATTTCAATCATCTTGTTTCGTCAATAATACCTTCTGTCTTTGGATTCTATTATTCAAATGAAATGATTGGTTTCGCATCTAAATTTTATGAAAAATCAGTTAAAATGAACAATGTTAATAGTGCAATGCAGATTATATTACCATTCTTCTATTCAGGATTATCTTCTATGTTCTTTAATAATCTTTTTGATAGGCTTTTACCTTTAGTTTCTGCTGAAATTTATATTGTTGATAACAACTCGACTTCTTTACTTGCTGTTGAATATGCTCACACATTTATCCGTTTATGTGGTGAATGTCTACCTTATTTACACAATTTTCTCATTAGAATATTAAAATTAATTTTAGAATTGAAATGGGAAGATTCACAGTTCATTGAATTGTTCTTTAATAGGTTTATCGTCAAATTTACAAATATATGGGCTCTCAAATTCAAATTAAAACAAAAAAGAAATTTTATAACAGAAATTATGAATTTTGTGCCTTCTTGCAAATCCGAACTCTTCAAACTAAAGCAAGACATACTTGTGGCCAATGGAACTCTCTTTGTTCCTGATTTTTACCAAGGAAATGATAAAAATCCTTTTCAAAATTTAGTTTGCGTCCAAGATATGAATTTATTGGCTAAAATCATCAACCAAGCCAACGCTTTGCCTCAGGAAATACAGAGATCGGACTTTGATTACCCAGAAAAGAAAAAATTCCAATGGTTTTACGTTGATATTTATATCCCTTCACAAAATATTGAAGAACCGGTTTTATTTGGTAACAATGATGATGTAGGTAATTTGTTTGACTCGATTATCACTAAAAGAAGATGGATAAATGACTTATCGGATTGGTATAACAAATTACTTAAATTTGAAGCCAATTCTACTATTGAACAGATGTATAAGATTGTTTTATCAATCCCTTCTTCCGAAATCATTACTGCACACTCTGCTTTTTATCATTTTGAAAATAATTTCCATGATGACGCTTTGAAGCAAGAATTCTTTTTAGTAAACTCTAGATTAGTTATTTCAAGGCTTCCTGAACGTGCGTTACGCCTTCTTTTTGAGCTCAGTTCCAGATTTAATCAATATGTTAACAAATATGATCATATTCCTACATTTTCGGACTTTCATAACTCTCTTCGGCATCATTCCACCAGGCTCTCCATATCTCATTGTATTTCTTTGATGGAATCCATTGGAGAATTGACTTTACCCGCTCAATTTCCTGTTTTTTCATCTGTTTTGTCTGATTTAGATGAATTATCTGAACTCGAGAATACAGGTGATATTGCTTACTTTATATTATTAAGTAATACAACATCTCCTGCTTTTCTTGGTTCTTTTACCTTATTATACGCATTTGTTATAAATGTTCAGACTTTGGCGAAAATTCTTGGTGCAAAGGAACTTGCATTATGGCAGAGACTTGATGGAATCATAATAACTGCTTTATCTGTTGATTTTCATTATTTAAATTCTTATCTTGAAATAAGAAAGACTCTTTGCGAGATTGCTAGCATCAACTATGGTCTAGAGTTCAAAAAATCAGACAGTGCTCCTTCTCTTTCTTATTCTTCTACGATTTTGTTGTAAAATTTTTTGTCTACCATGTTATTTTATGAAATTCTACGTATTTAATATTCCTCAAGCTTAGTATATAAAAATTATTTGTCCGGAAATCGGAAATTATGAGCTGTAATCCAAAATTATTTTTGAATCGGAGTTCTTCTTAATAACATATAATTTAAATGTTTCCATTATAATACTTAGAACATATAATGTATGTAATTCATAGTAAAAACTTGAAATTAAACATAACCTGGTAAGCAACATTTAATTAACACACAAAACGAAAACAAAATACGCAATAACTAAATTAATCTGCTAACACGGTGGCAAGACCGCTTCCTATTCCTAATAATTCCGACAGGAGTGATCAATTTCTTCAATCCGAGTGGAGTGTTCAATGGAGGGAGATTTTCATAATGGGAATACGATGCATAGCGATTTCCCTTTACAATTGGGATACGGCAGAGGTTTGGAAAGTTCTTATTATAAAATTCTTTTTCAAGAATGTTAAAAGAAACAGTTCCTTGGTTAACAAGTCCATCTGACATATTACCAGCGATTGTATCATAATCGTATCCAATATCTTTGAGTTTCTGGGAAATATAACTAAAACTTGGCTTAAACTCTTCGATCTTATCAGATACGTACTTCACATTGCTGGCGAGCCAAGGGTGGGCAAGAATTTCATCCAATGAAATTCTGTTCTGTGGGTTCTTTGTTAACATTTTTTGCAACAGGTCAACTAAACATGGGGAAAGGGATTCTGGATATTCAACTTCGGCAAACAATATTTTGTTCGCTAATGATGACAGGTTCTCATCATAAAATGACATCGACTTACAGACCATTATGTAAAGTAAAATTCCACAGCTCCATATGTCTGAAGCGAATGTATACTGCCATCCAAGAATGAGTTCAGGAGAAGCGTATGGCGGGGATCCGCATTGTGTTTTCATCATTTCTCCGTTCAAATTTAAACATGAAAGACCAAAATCAATGACCCTAATGTTTCTATTTTCGTCTAATAATACATTTTCGGCTTTAATATCTCTGTGCGCAATATGGCATGTTTGTTGCAAGTGTTTTATAACTAAAATTATTTGAGCGAAAATTATGGAAGCTTCATCTTCGGAAAAAGCGCCACGCTCATTAATATTATTCAATATTGAACCTTGTGATGCATAATCCATGATTAGGAAGTATTCATCTTCAGTTTCAACGATTTCAAAGAGTTCTACAATAAAAGGATGTTTGACAATCTTCATAATTTCTATCTCTTTCTGTATTTTCTCTTCATAATCGCTGTCATCATTGTTTATTTTCTTTGGAATCATCTTGATGGCAACGTTTACTCCTGTTTTCTTATGAGTTGCTCGAAAAACCTTGGAGAACCCTCCGACTCCTATTGGTATAATATTACCATAGTTCTCTTCGAGCTTGTTCATGTGTTGAGTAATTTTATTTAATATTTTGAATTATTGAATTTTTATGAGGCATTTCTGAATTTTTCATGAAAATATTGAGAAACCTGTAAATTTTTTTTACGGGATTGTTTGGATTGAAATATGATTTCTAGCATTTCTGCTAAATTGGTTACTTGATTGTGAGCTTTATCAAATTTACTTCATCACAATTTTGAATTTAGGGTTTATTATGTATTTAATTTGATTTTATTAATGGCATCCTAATAAACAATATTATTTCCATGAGTACGAAGTAAATTGAAGCATTCAATTCACTTCGGTTTTACGCACAATTGAAGCCACATTAATATGAGTTACTTCTACATCTTGATCAAGATAAAAGTTGGTTCATTCACTTTTTTCACTTCAGTAAACCTACGGTTTCTCCTCACATTTAGCTTACATTTTGACAAATTTATTCTAAGAGTGAAATATGATCCTTTGGATTATTTAACAAATGAAAAACATAATATTAGTACTAAACAGATATTTGTGAATTAAAATTTGACAAATTTCTATTGCTCTTCATAGGCAAAATTATAGCACTATAGCAATATGTTCATAAAATTATTGCATTTTCTTTGGATTATGCATATGGAAATTCAATCATCAGATTACTGTCACGCCGGTCACACTAAAATAAACATTACATTCAGTGCGCAGATTGTACGATGAATTAAATGAAATCGTTTCAATTCAATAAACGGTAGGTCAGATTCATTCGAAAAATAATGGACAGAATAACACAGTTAAAAAGCTAATTATCTTAGCTTTCCAGATTGGATGTCAAATCTATTTACTCGTATCTAAAAAAATAGAGAATTAAGGAAGATTTTGGATGAATTTTCGATCATCTAATTTTTTCCGAACATAAACAAAATTTAATTATTTTAAACAGGATTTTTAATTATTATAAACATTTAATATAAGAAATAAAACAATATACATGTAGATGATCGAATCAAGGGGAAAATATTGTGGTTACAAGCCTATAATCTTATGTCATTGATTCTACTGCACACATAAGATTATATATAATAAAGTACACTTTAAACAAGTACAATGCGCATCTTCTTTGGACGTTCTGTAACAACTTGTTTCATTGCAATGTACTTGCAGTATTTCTCGAACTCCTTCCTTCTGAGTTCGATGTAAAGCTCGTCAGTTTTTGGTGCCTGGACGAGCATGGAGCTGATCGAATATCGATCGAAGTCATTTGTGCTGTTTGTAAGGAAATTGAAGTATTTGTCGCACAGCCTGATCTCACATGGAACAGATGTCTTTTCTAAGATCTCTGCAGCTGAGAGAATAAAAGAAATCTGGTATAATTTGCAAAGAATAGTCTTTAAGACGTTCTTTCCACGTGACATGTAAATAGCAATCTGACGGATATTTAATGTCTGCTTCTTAAGTGACAAAAAGAGAAGGATGCAGAGTTGTGTAATTTTGCCAATTGAATCGCATTTTTCCTTTGGAATAATCTCTTTTAATTTAACTAATTCGTTATTGACGCCATTTGCAATTGAAAGCTTGTGGATTGTCTTAAGAATATTATCTTTTCCGGGTCATTATTGATTTTGTAATTTAATCGTCGTCGTTATCGATTTTGTAATTTAATCGTTATCGTCTTTTTCTAAACGTGCATTTTTTGCTTTCGGAGCTATTGAACATACATTGGCCCTTACCAGCAATTGAAAACTATTTTTCATTATCAACAATTACATTACTCCGAGTTATTCATCAATCAATGAAAATCGATATATAGTCCATACTTCAATTTACAATATTGGCAAGTCCAATTTCACTTGGCATATTTAACTCATATAGAAAAACCAGTTGGAATCGGCAAAATTATCTTTAATTCCATACATAAGAAAAAAAAATTATAAAGTTCTTCAATAATAGCAAACTAATAGTTTAAATAGATTTACAAGTATCGCCCATCTACTTTTGATATAATTCACATATTAAATGTAGAAAACTGGTTTAAAATAAATATTTTAAAAGTTCGAAAACAATTTATGAAAAAATAACGTGATGACATTTACTAAATTTGCTCTGTATTAAAGTATCGATGATAGAAAGAGCATATTTTGTAAATATTTCAAAAATATTTAAAAGTCGGAGAAATTGTATTGTAATGTACTATAATTATGTTACAAATCCGATTCAATACTAATCCTTCGCTATTGAAGTTGTTTTGAGAAGGATATTCTCCAAATTCTTGATAAATCTTTAAAATCTAGAGTAATCGTTTTGTAAACTTAACAAAACTAAAATGTATACCAATAAATTGTTACAGGCATGAAAACTGGAAAGATTGTTGTAACAATGCACCAAACAAAAGAAATCCATTCTAAATGTAATGAAAGTCTCAGATATCTCTTCCAGTTTTCTGCAGCATAAGTATAGGCTGCTGGTGGTAAGTATCCAGAACAAATTGCAAGAACTACGCAATTAATAATATTATCATATCTGCAAAGTACATTGAAGCCAGACATGGCCAACTCGTAGTCTCTAGCATTTGATACTGAAAGACCAATAAGTTTTCTGACAACAACACCTGGCAAATTCAAAGAAATTTGAGACATAAATTGGGAACTTCCGACCAAAAGAGAATCTAATGTGTGCTTTGAGAATGGCTTCAAGAAGCCACTAAGTTTTGGCTTGACACCGAACTTACCGCTAAAGAATAGAATGGTCAAAAGTATTCCTGGAACTCCATCTGCAATAATTGTACTAATTGCAGGTCCCATAACACCGAACTTGAATACACCTAAGAATATTGGATTCAAAACTCCCATTCCGATGCCTAAACAGACAAGATCAATAATTCCGACAAGTAAAGTACGACCTTCTGCCTGAAGGAAGCCGCAACATGCAAGAAAGATGCAAGTAAATACATTTCCTACGCCTTGTGGTAGCATATAATCATAAGCTCCTTGAATTGTTTCAGGGTTTGCTCCGAACCATCTACTCAAAGGTTTGTTGATAGGAAGAAGTATTGCAGGAACAATACAACCGAAAATGAGAGCTGTTCGCAATAAATCACATATAACTTGTCCGCATTCTTCAGATTGATTTTTGCCAAATAAAGCAGCGATCTGTGTACTGCCAGATGTCAATAAGAACAAGTCGAACGATCTTGCTATACCTTCCCATGCAATATCGAGAGCCACTGATGCCATGCCAACTTCTCCAACATATTTTGAAACCCAAATTGTATTAATAATGCCGTATAAAGTACTTGTCACTTGGGAACACATAGGTCCAATCATTAGCCTGAGAATGGTGACGAGAGGTGGGAATCCAGCCAATCTCTTAATCTCATCATTCATCTCGGATTGCTTCATTTATAAATTTTAATTCAAATTTTTTATTTTAACGATTGGCCTTCAATTTTATTGACCACTTTTCCAAAAATTGAATGTGAAGTTAACTCTATGAATTAATTAATTAATGTGTATAATTTTTATCTTTATATATCATATATTAATTTTATCTTCTCTAAACTACTTCTGTTTTTGAGAGAAAGCTCATAAACCCTTACAAAGGAAAAAAATTTGATTTCCTATAATATTAATATAGAGACATAGCCTAATATATTTTTTATTGAAATCATATTGATTCTTCACAAAATTTATCTCGTTCAATCTTTTGAATGCGATAGACCACATTTGATCACGTCATCACGATCTTTAGTGATCTGGATAATGTACAACTTAAAGAATATTTTTATCTTTATTTCAGATTAATCCATCAAGGGAGAAAAAATTGAAGCCTTATTGTTGTATAAAATATCAATCAATGCTTATGTAAAGGGCAATGTGTACTACAATAAAATTATTATTATTGATTAATTTCTACATAATATCGTTAAATAATTGAATAATTTTTGAATTTCAATGATCGTATATCTTTATCTATACTATATTCATTAGTTCGCCTAAAATATCATATACTTCGATGATTTCTTGATAAATAGAATTCAATTAATCCAAAAATAAAAATTTCTAAAATTTATATTGATAATGCAAACACTTTATTCAACAATCATCTATTTGTAAACTTAATAATATGAATTGATGTAAAAAAGAACCAATTGAAAACAAAATAATATTTCTCTTAAATTTCGGCGAGGTCATCGCCTTCAACACTGTCATATGTCTCTTCTTCTTCAGCTTCTTCATTGTCAGGTGTCTTCTGTGACTCTGTGAACTGAGCAATGAGCTTAAGTTGCTTAAATGGTTGAATAAGCATGAAAATACCAAGAATGAAGCCAATAGCGTATGATATTGGATAAACATACATCAATCTTGATGCATTCTGCTTATTGGTCAAATATAAAACATATGAGAATAAAATAATGGCTGCGAAGTTGGAAACAAGGGAAATAATCATGGCTCTTATACCATTCTGCTGTGCTTGAAGAATGGATTGGAAAGTAAGTCTTGTAAACAAAATAAAAGTGCAAACATTTGAGAAAATAAGCATTTCTCGGGCAAATTTAAGATATCCTTCACCAGATCCAAATAATGATGAGATCTGATCAGGTATTGACATTGATAGAGTCATTGTAAAGGCACACCAAACAAATGAAATCCAATTAAGGTGAATAGTAAGACGAACATAGCGTTTGATCTTCTGTGCTGCAAATGCATACGATGCAGGTGGTAAATATCCAGAACAAAGAGCCAAAATGATACAATTTGTAAAAGCATTGAATCTGCAAAGGACATTGAAGCCACCCATGGCTAAATCGTATTCCGCTGGTGAAGAAACCGACTGACCAATGAGTTTACGAACAATGATACCTGGTAAATTGATTGAAATTTGGGACATCAACTGTGAACTTCCGACACAAGAGCTTTGTATGTGTGTCCGGAGAATGGCTTCAAGAGACCTGAGAGTTTTGGCTTAACGCTGAAGACACCGCAGAAGTATAAAATTGTTAATGTAACTCCTGGGACTCCATCAGCAATGATTGTACTGATTGAAGGTCCACGAACACCGAATTTGAATGTTCCTAAGAATAATGGATTCAAAACACCCATACCTACGCCAAGAGAAACAAGATCAATAATTCCGACAAGTAAAGTTCTTCCTTCTGCTTGAAGGAAGCCACAGCAGCCAAGGAAAATGCATGTAAAGCAATTTCCTGCACATTGTGGTAAAATGTATTGAAATGCTGATTCAATTGTTTCTTTATTAGCTCCATACCACTTCGAGCATGGTTTATTTATAGGTAATAGTATGCAAGGAACAATCATACCGCAAATTAAAGCTGTTCTAAGAATATCGCATATAACTTGTTCGGCTTCAACAAATTGTCCTTTTCCAAAAAGGGCTGAAATCTGTGTAGATCCTGCGCAAAGCAAGAAAAGTCCGAAGCCTCTTGCAATACCTTCCCATGCAATATCAGTGGCAACAGCTGCCATACCGATGTCGCCGAGATATTTCGAAATCCAAATTGAGTTGATGATGCCATACATTGCGCTTGTAATTTGGCTGCAAAGAGGACCGATCATAAGCTTGAGAATCGTGATAAGTGGAGGGAGCCTGCTAATCTATAGATCTCGTCCTTGTCTTTCTCGGACTTGTCCATCGAAAATATTTACTTAGATTTTTTCATGATCTCATTCAAATTTTGTGAACGATTCAGAATTAATGCCCAATAGAGTTCTCAATTTTTCTGAAATTGTTTAATCTGAATTTAATGTCCTCTACTAGAAAATATGCATATTATACTGTTCCAAGCATTATTATTTCACGAAGTAAAAGCAACGATCAATAAAACTTTTTATTGATCTGAGAAACTTCAAAATTTGTACCTGTAAATAGGGGCTTTAATACTTTATTTTTTTTCATAAATTTTGATTACCCCGAATCAAGTGATGACCAATCAAAAGAGTAATAACTGTTAATCGCTCTTTTCATTGGTTCTCATTTCAATGAGCGATCAATCAAGTTCCCATTGGCTTATCCCGGTTCACTTTTTGAATGAGTATGAGGGTAAAATTTCATCCATTGATCGAATTAGCAGTATTTATTCGATATATAACATTACCTACCTTTCAAGGTTTTGAGATTATCAAATTGCAAATTATGGAATGAATCGGGTTTCATAGTAAATATAGTGTGTATATCGTCTAAATATTAATTTTTTTAAACCAACATTAATATTAACAGTGGTTGAGATTTTTTATCAAGATTTTTAGTTCAATAACCTTTAATAGATGTAAACTATGCTAACCAATAGCAATGCATTCTATTAACACAATGGTATTTATTTAAAAACTATATGTTATATCGATTCTCTATTTGAGAGAGTGATCATGAGAAAGTTAACATTTTAGAAGAATATTAATTCATATCATCGATTTTAAACTATTTTACACTGAAATTACTCCGAAATGTGAATGTTAGCTCAATAATTTATTGAGCAACATTTTTGTCAATAATAAAGAAGCAAACTAACATATACTATTCTATAAATCAAAACACTTTATTAACAAACAAACATGATTAGTTTAAAAATACAAAAACAATAACAAAATTATTCTTTTTGATAGAATAAAATATACGCACTCCTTGAATGTGCGCTAGACTCTGATATTGGTGTAGCGCTAGAATCATTGAAGTTGTACCAAGAGTTTGTAGATTGGTCTAATGCAGCTGCTGTATAATGTCCTCCTCCAAGTCCACCTGAGTGGAATACAGCACCAACTAATTTATAGAATCCTGTATGTCCATCTTTAGCGTACCTGGACATATTGAGTAGAGAAGGATATTTTACTTCTGTCTCGATTTTTGTTGTAAAGTAACCTTCGTCGGAAAATCTCTTTAAATGAACGATTATTACATCAGCAACTCTGAGAATACCGATTCTTCTTGTTGCACGGACCATTTTTTTGCACTTCTCGCACTTCCATTTGTTTTTGTCATCGAGTTCGTCATCCTGACTGAAATTTGATAACAAATCTTCCAAATTTACACTTCCATATGAAACTTTTGGAATTGTAACAGTAAGGAAAAGGAAAGGCTCTCTGTTTGTAGAGACATATCCGCACTGTGGGCATTCCGTGTTTGCAAAGAACTCTCCGTAAAACATGTCTACAATCGGAGAGTCATTTTTTGAAAGTAATAAATCCCAGCCATTTGAATCTCCTGTTATCTTGATTTCTGGCTTGTTTCCGCCGGCTCCAAAACTCTGGTTCATATCTTCATGGAGGCCATCAAGTAATGCATTAAGATATTCTTGGGAATCGTGTTGGGAATAGTTCGCAAACCTTCTGAATTTTGAAATAACAGCCGATCTTAAATTCGAAGGATTTTCGGCCATTCTTGATGATGAAGTGGACATTTGAAGAAGGAAGTCTTTGTAGGCTTTAGCAATCTTTCCTTTGGAGCTCTTCTTGTTCGATGGATTGAGTTGGGACTCAAAAATTGGTGAAAAAATAAAATCTGTTAAAGGTTTAACCCTAATGATGCATTGTGTAGCAGCATTAAAGTAACAGGTATTTCCTAGATTATTAAGACCAATTGGTTTTGGATAATATTTTGATGGACCGAATTTTGATGGAATTGTTGAATTTGATGATAGCTTGCTCAATAGATATGATCTACGACCAGAATCGTTGCTTTCTTCAGCTGAAGGCTCATGAACTTCACGCTTTAGAGGTGGTAATGCAGTATGATCTTTTTTTGGAGAAGACGGTGCTTCATGCTTTTCACGTTCAAATGTTGGACGAACTAAATGCTTATCAACTGATCTGTTAGAAAAAGTTTTCGTTAATGGAGATGATTGAACTTGAATATTCAATGTGTTTGGTTGAAGAGTTTCAGTCATTTTCCTCTTTTTAAACTTGTATGTATCGGATAATTTATACATATCGCTTGCTGACATATTGCTAGAAACTTCGATATAAGTTTTTGGATTAACAAGAATGTAATCAGCGTTATTTAAATTCAAAGAAGCACAAATTTGATTTTTAACGTGTTCAGCTTTCCAATATAAGCCACATGTCTTCTTTTTAATTTCTCCATCGTCGAAAAGAATTTGAAATCGAACTTGCTCTATTAGTACAGTTTCTTTATTAGTAGTGGGATCTATTACTAGAAACTTTTTGACTTCTTTTGTTGGGCCGAAATTTTTATTAAGAAATTCCCAAGCATCTTTCCTAACTACATCAAAATCTTTCTTGTATACTATATTGTGATTGTTGTAAATGTTGGTATTATCTAATTTTGGTGGCTTTTTTGTTGTTATATTTTGAATCCATTTTGTGAAAGCTTTAAAGAATGAAATTTCGACTAAATATACTACCGAACACTTTGTTAACGCCTCTGGAACTGGAAACTTCTTCCATTGTTCTTGAATTTTTATCCTTTGGTCAATCATTTTATTGAAGATCGACTTTTTGTTTCAAACGTATTTGAATTTAACAATTGTTTGGATAGATCATTATTCATAATAGATCATCATACATCTCGTCGAATACTAACATATTTGCTTGTGGAATTGTTATTATTCCTCATTCTTATATTTTTGACAATATTACTATCATTTGCTTATAGTTGCCTTTCAAAATAGCTTGAAAACATGTAACCAAATCAAATTCCACATATTAGCAAAAATATCGTTGATATTCTCTGAATAAAGGATTGTACGAATTGTATATTCCCATTAAATATATTTTACAGAAATAGGAGGATATTATCATTCTTTAAATTATATTTTACTTTCTAGAGATAATGTGATTTGTATTTCCATTAAATGGCTTGAACAATCCATTTTTCACAATATATTATGCAAAGATATATTTGAATCCATGAATAATGCATCAATATCTTAATCATGCAGAAAATCTCGGCTAAACATAGTAAAAAATTGTATTTTCAATTAAATTCCCCTAGGTAGCTATCATAAAGCAATTTTAAAATAACTTTTCCGCAGTAAATATATTCATCGTCGATAGGATTGTTGCATGCTAAGTAGTGTCAACGATAGAAATTGAGATCCTATTAATCGTCGAGGAAGTACGATTATTTTTTGGGCGAAAAAGTATCTTAAGATATGATTATTAATATGTTTTTAAAATAAAAAATTTGAAAGTTAATTTGAGATTCTCATATAATTTTTTGAATGAAAAAAATAAATATAGTCTATATGAGTTTTTGAATAATCACACTTGAGATATATCTAAAAAATAATTAAAAATAGAGTTTGAGAAGACTTTTCAAGGTGTAATGAAAAGTGTGATATAGAAAATAATTATAGATATTTTAATTTTATATATTGTGCTAAGCATTATATTAAATTTTTAGGAAAAACACTTTTCATAAGTATTCAATATTTGAAAATACGCTCCAAAAAAGAATAGATTCTCTTATATTTGCTTATATAAAAGGAGACTCTCTATCAGATGCGAATGCATGAATTCAGCACCTCTGATAGAGAGTTTCCTCTTATATAAGCAAATCTTTTTCATTCGTTTTTGTTAATATAAAAACATCAAAATCTACCAATATGAGAAATTAAACCCTGCGAGGCACCAGTCTAGAACTGGCACCTCGCAGGGTTGAATTTCTCTTGACAAAATACAATAATCAAATGCTCCAAAGTTTTCAAATTTTTATTAGGAATAGGAGCCTACAAAGCACTGATTATATATCAGTGCCTGGTAGGCTCCTATTCCTTCTCTAAATGGGAGAAACTTTGTTTGAATAAGATAACATGTGAACAAAGTTTCTCCCATTTAGAGTGGGATTTGGAGGGTGAGAGGTACATAGATAGACTATGTATCTCTCACCCTCCAATTCCCTCGGGAAAGTTCGAAAACTTTGGTGCAATCAGCAACGATTGCACCAAAGTTTTTGCGTTTAATTGAAGGAATTGCTCTTTATGATATATACAGTTACAATGCATATATCATAAGGAGCAATTCCTTCCAGATATCTGGCAAACTTGCTCGCAATGGTTCACAATTGCGAACAAGTTTTGTCATTTGTCAAGAGAAATTCAACCCTGCGAGGTGCCAGTTCTAGACTGGTGCCTCGCAGGGTTTAATTTCTCATATTGGTAGCTTTTGATGTTTTTATATTAACAAAAACGAATGAAAAAGATTTGCTTATATAAGAGGAAACTCTCTATCAGAGGTGCTGAATTCAGGCATTCGCATCTGATAGAGAGTCTCCTTTTATATAAGCAAATATAAGAGAATCTATTCTTTTTTGGAGCGTATTTTCAAATATTGAATACTTATGAAAAGTGTTTTTTTCTAAAAATCTCAGAATATATTTACAATAGTAAAATAAATAAGATATTTAAATTTATTTTTAAATGCTTTTTTTATATGAGATTCTCAAAAGTTATATCAAAAGTCTGTTTTTTCTAAAATCTAATATCATAATCGATTTCTCATTTTAAGTACATCTTAATTCATTTTATTTTCTATATTTTTTCAATATTTTTGAGGGAATTGTGTTGCTTCCGCGACGATAGAATTGAGAGGTTTACACATTGACACTACTTAGCATGCAACAATAATCGTTCATTTAAAGAGATTTTCCGACGAAGGTTACTTTACAACAAAAATCGAGACAGAAGTAAAATATCCTTCTCTACTCAATATGTCCAGGTACGCTAAAGATGGACATACAGGATTCTATAAATTAGTTGGTGCTGTATTCCACTCAGGTGGACTTGGAGGAGGACATTATACAGCAGCTGCATTAGACCAATCTACAAACTCTTGGTACAACTTCAATGATTCTAGCGCTACACCAATATCAGAGTCTAGCGCACATTCAAGGAGTGCGTATATTTTATTCTATCAAAAAGAATAATTTTGTTATTGTTTTTGTATTTTTAAACTAATCATGTTTGTTTGTTAATAAAGTGTTTTGATTTATAGAATAGTATATGTTAGTTTGCTTCTTTATTATTGACAAAAATGTTGCTCAATAAATTATTGAGCTAACATTCACATTTCGGAGTAATTTCAGTGTAAAATAGTTTAAAATCGATGATATGAATTAATATTCTTCTAAAATGTTAACTTTCTCATGATCACTCTCTCAAATAGAGAATCGATATAACATATAGTTTTTAAATAAATACCATTGTGTTAATAGAATGCATTGCTATTGGTTAGCATAGTTTACATCTATTAAAGGTTATTGAACTAAAAATCTTGATAAAAAATCTCAACCACTGTTAATATTAATGTTGGTTTAAAAAAATTAATATTTAGACGATATACACACTATATTTACTATGAAACCCGATTCATTCCATAATTTGCAATTTGATAATCTCAAAACCTTGAAAGGTAGGTAATGTTATATATCGAATAAATACTGCTAATTCGATCAATGGATGAAATTTTACCCTCATACTCATTCAAAAAGTGAACCGGGATAAGCCAATGGGAACTTGATTGATCGCTCATTGAAATGAGAACCAATGAAAAGAGCGATTAACAGTTATTACTCTTTTGATTGGTCATCACTTGATTCGGGGTAATCAAAATTTATGAAAAAAAATAAAGTATTAAAGCCCCTATTTACAGGTACAAATTTTGAAGTTTCTCAGATCAATAAAAAAGTTTTATTGATCGTTGCTTTTACTTCGTGAAATAATAATGCTTGGAACAGTATAATATGCATATTTTCTAGTAGAGGACATTAAATTCAGATTAAACAATTTCAGAAAAATTGAGAACTCTATTGGGCATTAATTCTGAATCGTTCACAAAATTTGAATGAGATCATGAAAAAATCTAAGTAAATATTTTCGATGGACAAGTCCGAGAAAGACAAGGACGAGATCTATAGATTAGCAGGCTCCCCTCCACTTATCACGATTCTCAAGCTTATGATCGGTCCTCTTTGCAGCCAAATTACAAGCGCAATGTATGGCATCATCAACTCAATTTGGATTTCGAAATATCTCGGCGACATCGGTATGGCAGCTGTTGCCACTGATATTGCATGGGAAGGTATTGCAAGAGGCTTCGGACTTTTCTTGCTTTGCGCAGGATCTACACAGATTTCAGCCCTTTTTGGAAAAGGACAATTTGTTGAAGCCGAACAAGTTATATGCGATATTCTTAGAACAGCTTTAATTTGCGGTATGATTGTTCCTTGCATACTATTACCTATAAATAAACCATGCTCGAAGTGGTATGGAGCTAATAAAGAAACAATTGAATCAGCATTTCAATACATTTTACCACAATGTGCAGGAAATTGCTTTACATGCATTTTCCTTGGCTGCTGTGGCTTCCTTCAAGCAGAAGGAAGAACTTTACTTGTCGGAATTATTGATCTTGTTTCTCTTGGCGTAGGTATGGGTGTTTTGAATCCATTATTCTTAGGAACATTCAAATTCGGTGTTCGTGGACCTTCAATCAGTACAATCATTGCTGATGGAGTCCCAGGAGTTACATTAACAATTTTATACTTCTGCGGTGTCTTCAGCGTTAAGCCAAAACTCTCAGGTCTCTTGAAGCCATTCTCCGGACACACATACAAAGCTCTTGTCGTAGGAAGTTCACAGTTGATGTCCCAAATTTCAATCAATTTACCAGGTATCATTGTTCGTAAACTCATTGGTCAGTCGGTTTCTTCACCAGCGGAATACGATTTAGCCATGGGTGGCTTCAATGTCCTTTGCAGATTCAATGCTTTTACAAATTGTATCATTTTGGCTCTTTGTTCTGGATATTTACCACCTGCATCGTATGCATTTGCAGCACAGAAGATCAAACGCTATGTTCGTCTTACTATTCACCTTAATTGGATTTCATTTGTTTGGTGTGCCTTTACAATGACTCTATCAATGTCAATACCTGATCAGATCTCATCATTATTTGGATCTGGTGAAGGATATCTTAAATTTGCCCGAGAAATGCTTATTTTCTCAAATGTTTGCACTTTTATTTTGTTTACAAGACTTACTTTCCAATCCATTCTTCAAGCACAGCAGAATGGTATAAGAGCCATGATTATTTCCCTTGTTTCCAACTTCGCAGCCATTATTTTATTCTCATATGTTTTATATTTGACCAATAAGCAGAATGCATCAAGATTGATGTATGTTTATCCAATATCATACGCTATTGGCTTCATTCTTGGTATTTTCATGCTTATTCAACCATTTAAGCAACTTAAGCTCATTGCTCAGTTCACAGAGTCACAGAAGACACCTGACAATGAAGAAGCTGAAGAAGAAGAGACATATGACAGTGTTGAAGGCGATGACCTCGCCGAAATTTAAGAGAAATATTATTTTGTTTTCAATTGGTTCTTTTTTACATCAATTCATATTATTAAGTTTACAAATAGATGATTGTTGAATAAAGTGTTTGCATTATCAATATAAATTTTAGAAATTTTTTATTTTTGGATTAATTGAATTCTATTTATCAAGAAATCATCGAAGTATATGATATTTTAGGCGAACTAATGAATATAGTATAGATAAAGATATACGATCATTGAAATTCAAAAATTATTCAATTATTTAACGATATTATGTAGAAATTAATCAATAATAATAATTTTATTGTAGTACACATTGCCCTTTACATAAGCATTGATTGATATTTTATACAACAATAAGGCTTCAATTTTTTCTCCCTTGATGGATTAATCTGAAATAAAGATAAAAATATTCTTTAAGTTGTACATTATCCAGATCACTAAAGATCGTGATGACGTGATCAAATGTGGTCTATCGCATTCAAAAGATTGAACGAGATAAATTTTGTGAAGAATCAATATGATTTCAATAAAAAATATATTAGGCTATGTCTCTATATTAATATTATAGGAAATCAAATTTTTTTCCTTTGTAAGGGTTTATGAGCTTTCTCTCAAAAACAGAAGTAGTTTAGAGAAGATAAAATTAATATATGATATATAAAGATAAAAATTATACACATTAATTAATTCATAGAGTTAACTTCACATTCAATTTTTGGAAAAGTGGTCAATAAAATTGAAGGCCAATCGTTAAAATAAAAAATTTGAATTAAAATTTATAAATGAAGCAATCCGAGATGAATGATGAGATTAAGAGATTGGCTGGATTCCCACCTCTCGTCACCATTCTCAGGCTAATGATTGGACCTATGTGTTCCCAAGTGACAAGTACTTTATACGGCATTATTAATACAATTTGGGTTTCAAAATATGTTGGAGAGGTTGGCATGGCATCAGTGGCTCTCGATATTGCATGGGAAGGTATAGCAAGATCGTTCGACTTGTTCTTATTGACATCTGGCAGTACACAGATCGCTGCTTTATTTGGCAAAAATCAATCTGAAGAATGCGGACAAGTTATATGTGATTTATTGCGAACAGCTCTCATTTTCGGTTGTATTGTTCCTGCAATACTTCTTCCTATCAACAAACCTTTGAGTAGATGGTTCGGAGCAAACCCTGAAACAATTCAAGGAGCTTATGATTATATGCTACCACAATGCGTAGGAAATGTATTTACTTGCATCTTTCTTGCATGTTGCGGCTTCCTTCAGGCAGAAGGTCGTACTTTACTTGTCGGAATTATTGATCTTGTCTGTTTAGGCATCGGAATGGGAGTTTTGAATCCAATATTCTTAGGTGTATTCAAGTTCGGTGTTATGGGACCTGCAATTAGTACAATTATTGCAGATGGAGTTCCAGGAATACTTTTGACCATTCTATTCTTTAGCGGTAAGTTCGGTGTCAAGCCAAAACTTAGTGGCTTCTTGAAGCCATTCTCATAGCACACATTAGATTCTCTTTTGGTCGGAAGTTCCCAATTTATGTCTCAAATTTCTTTGAATTTGCCAGGTGTTGTTGTCAGAAAACTTATTGGTCTTTCAGTATCAAATGCTAGAGACTACGAGTTGGCCATGTCTGGCTTCAATGTACTTTGCAGATATGATAATATTATTAATTGCGTAGTTCTTGCAATTTGTTCTGGATACTTACCACCAGCAGCCTATACTTATGCTGCAGAAAACTGGAAGAGATATCTGAGACTTTCATTACATTTAGAATGGATTTCTTTTGTTTGGTGCATTGTTACAACAATCTTTCCAGTTTTCATGCCTGTAACAATTTGTATGTTGTTTGGAAGTCGTGATGATTACCTTAGGTGGTCAGCTCCCATATTGAAAGCAAGTTGTGTAACAGGTTGGATTCTTTTCTGCAGATTCACTTTCCAAACTATGTTGCAAGCACAACAACGAGGTACACGTGCAATGATTATATCATTCACGTCTAACTTCGTTGCTATTATTGGTTTGTTTTCTTATTATATGTTACAGATAAGCATAATGTTGCAAGAATGATGTATGTATATTCTATATCATATGCCGTTGGTTTCATTCTTGGTGTTGCTCTTTTAATTGGTCCTTTCTTAGAAGTTCTGAAATTATCTAGACAAGCGAAGAAAGGTAAGAAACAAGAAGATAACGAGGAGAAGGATAACGAAGAAGACTTTAATGATGAGTATGATAATACAATATCTCGTTATATTCCTGAGCTTTGAAGTGTATTTATTATTTCTATCCATTATTTTATTGAAGGTTATAAACATATCTGATACTATAGAGAATTATTACTAAATTGATGTGACAATATCTTAAAAAAACTTTTCAAACTCATACATAACAAATATTGACTTAAATGTAATGATTATTCAACATCTATGAGGATTTCTATGGATGTTAATGTGATATGGATGATATCTAATATCAAAAGTTAATATCTATTTGAGATATAATTAGATAAAACGAAAGTTGCTAAAAGGAAATGATCAATTTTATGTAGGTTACTTAGCTGAAATCTAATGTTTAATTCTTGAATCAGCTTTCCCAATGAATAATGTAAAATGAATTGAAATTAAGCTTTCTATTAAAACAGGGTAACTTTTCTAACATTACATGTTATTATTTGTGGATAAGAGATGTTGAAATGTTGTTTAAATACTTCAAGCTGGCATAATTTTATCCAACAATTTTCATGATGATTTTCATTTTGTTTTCGTCGTCAAAAATGTAATTTGATCATCTACCAAGTGCAATGGTGAGAGAGTTGTCCAGTCCCCCGAATATGTGAAGTCCGTACTATTTCGAAAATTTTTGAAAATCGAAAAATTGTTGCATGCTAAGTAGTGTCAACGATAGAAATTGAGATCCTATTAATCGTCGAGGAAGTACGATTATTTTTTGGGCGAAAAAGTATCTTAAGATATGATTATTAATATGTTTTTAAAATAAAAAATTTGAAAGTTAATTTGAGATTCTCATATAATTTTTTGAATGAAAAAAATAAATATAGTCTATATGAGTTTTTGAATAATCACACTTGAGATATATCTAAAAAATAATTAAAAATAGAGTTTGAGAAGACTTTTCAAGGTGTAATGAAAAGTGTGATATAGAAAATAATTATAGATATTTTAATTTTATATATTGTGCTAAGCATTATATTAAATTTTTAGGAAAAACACTTTTCATAAGTATTCAATATTTGAAAATACGCTCCAAAAAAGAATAGATTCTTTTATATTCGCTTATATAAAAGGAGACTCTCTATCAGATGCGAATGCATGAATTCAGCACCTCTGATAGAGAGTTTCCTCTTATATAAGCAAATCTTTTTCATTCGTTTTTGTTAATATAAAAACATCAAAATCTACCAATATGAGAAATTAAACCCTGCGAGGCACCAGTCTAGAACTGGCACTTCGCAGGGTTGAATTTCTCTTGACAAAATACAATAATCAAATGCTCCAAAGTTTTCAAATTTTTATTAGGAATAGGAGCCTACAAAGCACTGATTATATATCAGTGCCTGGTAGGCTCCTATTCCTTCTCTAAATGGGAGAAACTTTGTTTGAATAAGATAACATGCGAACAAAGTTTCTCCCATTTAGAGTGGGATTTGGAGGGTGGGAGGTACATAGATAGACTATGTATCTCTCACCCTCCAATTCCCTCGGGAAAGTTCGAAAACTTTGGTGCAATCAGCAACGATTGCACCAAAGTTTTTGCGTTTAATTGAAGGAATTGCTCTTTATGATATATACAGTTACAATGCATATATCATAAGGAGCAATTCCTTCCAGATATCTGGCAAACTTGCTCGCAATGGTTCACAATTGCGAACAAGTTTTGTCATTTGTCAAGAGAAATTAAACCCTGCGAGGTGCCAGTTCTAGACTGGTGCCTCGCAGGGTTTAATTTCTCATATTGGTAGCTTTTGATGTTTTTATATTAACAAAAACGAATGAAAAAGATTTGCTTATATAAGAGGAAACTCTCTATCAGAGGTGCTGAATTCAGGCATTCGCATCTGATAGAGAGTCTCCTTTTATATAAGCAAATATAAGAGAATCTATTCTTTTTTGGAGCGTATTTTCAAATATTGAATACTTATGAAAAGTGTTTTTTTCTAAAAATCTCAGAATATATTTACAATAGTAAAATAAATAAGATATTTAAATTTATTTTTAAATGCTTTTTTTATATGAGATTCTCAAAAGTTATATCAAAAGTCTGTTTTTTCTAAAATCTAATATCATAATCGATTTCTCATTTTAAGTACATCTTAATTCATTTTATTTTCTATATTTTTTCAATATTTTTGAGGGAATTGTGTTGCTTCCGCGACGATAGAATTGAGAGGTTTACACATTGACACTACTTAGCATGCAACAAAATATCATCCAACAACATTAGTTAACTATATTTTTGGATTATATAAAATTTTTCTGAATTTTTCATTAAATGTAAATCAGAACTGCCGATATAAACGAATTGAATGAATTCAATGTGAAAATTAAGAACATGCGAGTTGTGTTTTTTTAGATTACTGATATAAATTAATAAGATTTCGAAGAAGAAAAGAAGTTTTTGTATTGAAAGTGAGTTATGATCTCAAGGAAGCCATGAATCCAGCAATATTAATGCGGAGACACACAAGTTATGATTGAAGAGAATTCAATTTTGAATAAAGTGTGATTGAAAATTTTGAGAGATATGGTCTACACTGATTTCATTTCTTTATCATGTCTGATGATAATGCCGCCCCCGCTGAGAACGCACCAGCTGAGAATGCTGCCGCACAAGAGGATAAGACAAAGTGCACAGTTTATGTTGGCAGTCTTTCTTGGAGCACAAACGAGGACGGATTAAAAGCAGTTTTTGAGAAGTACGGTAACATCACATCCGTTCGTATCCCACGTAACGACCGCGACCAGTCCAAGGGCTTCGGATTTGTTGAATTCGAGAATGAAGAAGATGCCAAAAAGGCTTGCGAGATGGATGGAACAGAGCTTGAAGGCCGTGCACTCAAGGTTAACATTTCCCAGCCAAAATCTGAAGGCCGTGGCAGAGATCGCCGCGGAGGTGACCGCCGTGGTGGCGATCGTTACGGTGACCGCCGTGGTGGCGATCGTTATGGTGGAGATCGCCGTGGTGGTGATCGTTACGGTGGTGACCGTCGTGGAGGCCGCAATGACCGCCATGGTGGTTACTAAATTCATTTTACACCCTCTATTCCCCTCAAATGGTGTTTCATTTCTAAACTGATACAAATAGATTGTTACAGTTGATATCCGGGTTTTAACAGTGAACGCAGCTATTCGTCGATTCCAAAAAAATTAATTTGGGAACAGAGGTATAGCATTAAATGTAAGCTAAGCTGTCGGAATGTTTTTTCTCTAGTTATTTATTGCTTGGCTTGACCAAATAGAATAATTTCACCAGTCAAGATTCGTAGCAAAAAAAAATTCATTCGAAATTCTAAGTTATATATAATTACTCTTCCCAGGAATTAATATATCAGTATTTAATGATATTGCTATATTGGTCTTAGGAATATATTGAAAATATAATATTATTGAGAGAAAATCCTTGAAATTTATGGTATTTAGTTGTAATTGTTCGAAACATTTTGATTTTTGAGTTAATTTTGTTTGACTTTGGGTTAAAATTTCGAATAATTTTTTTAAATTTCTTTCGAAATCGCGTTTTGTACAAGAAATTTCATTTAATTTTGTAAGCTGAATTATTTTCTTATAATAATATTGACAACGTTTCATGAATATTTGAGAAGATTTCTAAATTTCCTAAATTAAGCGAAACCAACTGTATGAATACTTATCCTATCATTACTGTTGTTAACGCGCTAATTTGTTTTGCTATAACTTTAAAAACGGTTCTATTGTTTTCATATAAAAATTTACATACAAAATAAAAATCTGGAATGTAACGATCAATGCCTAAGAAGCTTCTCAGCGTGATCAATTGTATTGTTTGCATCGCGAATCTGAGTTTTAATTTGGTCAATTTTTTCTCTTGCGCTTTCATTTGAAAGATCACGATCAACGACCTCGGTATTTTCTTCATTATCGAAAGATACGTCGAGTTGTAATCCGAAAGGAAACTCCATTTGTGCTAAAATTTTCTCCATTCCTTCGTTCACTTCAATAATCGATGTTTTGACCTCTTCTGATATATCTTTAAATTTCATTGCACCAAGAATTACTGATTCCAGCTCGCCACAGCTTGCATTTATCCTAGATCTTACGCGAAAAACTTGGCCAGAAGTAATTGTTTGTTTTGGAAGAGTCACTGAGAAAAATCTGAAAATTCTGTCGATGAATCTTTTCGCTGTTTTAAGGTATTCTCCGTCTTCTAAGTTTGGTTGGTATCTTGGCTCACATTGCTTACAAATTCCTGCTCCAATATCTTGTAAGCGGTAAACCTCGTCTTGGAGCTTGCGAATTGCGCCGGCTGGAACATCTGTTTTGTAGGAATACGATTTAAACGATTCTAAGGTTGCATTTAAGTCTTCATGGACAGCAGCAAAGTATTTTGGAATCAATTGGTAAAAATATATCAGGCCATGGTGGAAAACATCATTCATTATATCAATAAAATCCATCCAATTTTCAACAAGAGCACGTGCTGCAACTTGCAAAGCAGAGGTTCTCAATGAAGTGCGTCCTCTTGGTGATAGATTCACTCCTTGATAGAATCCATTTGCTAGTTCTGTGAAATGCTCAAAAGATTTTGTAACTAAAACAAATTGTGTTGCCATTTCTGGCATTGTTTCCGATAAATAGCACTCAACGGAATACTTATGAATAAGCTTCTGCAAATTCTTGTATGTGTCTTTTAATGGTAAAATAAACGTTGTTGTTGGATGTTCTTTGAGAGTATATGTCATAGTGCCACTAAATCCGCGGGATCTTACAGGTGAAGATGGAAGAATATCATTAGCAGAATGACGTAAGGGTGATGAAATAGAAAAGGTTGTGTTCATTTTTATTTTTTATTAAAAAGTGACACTCCGTCTCGTTGCAGTTATTTTTGAGCAATAACGATTTCACAGAATCTAATCAATAAGTATGCAGTAGTTAGGCCTGAATAAAAAATAGATGGCTTAACCTGTTTAGTTTTTGATTGTCTTACATTCTAACAACTATTGAATTGAAATATCTATCCATATAACATTTTATTGACAAGATGTAAGGAGATAAAGAAAGTCTATCTGAAACATAATGTAACTATGAAAATGGTTGATTATACGTAACATTCGAAATTGAATTACGCTAAATATTATTGGTTATGGAGAATTTTTTTGTTATATTTTGATGTGTGTTGAATGGAAGTTGTCTTACCTGAATATCTCGGGTTTTCGTTTGGGAATATAAATTGAGGGTCAGTCACCAAAATTTAAAAATGGTTCTGTTAACTTTCGTTCACAAAGGCACTGAAACAGAATTAAGCCTTAAAGAAGACGAACCTATTTCTACAGTAGTGTCATTTCTTCGACAAAAATTTAATATAACTGCGGAAAACATTTTATTAATATACAAAGGTAGAGAAATTCAACTGCAATCAACACTTAAGTCATTTAATTATATAAGAGGTACACCAATTTACACATTTCCAATCGATTTTAGTGTTCATGAAAAAATAACATCTGAATACGATGAAAAACAGATTAAATATGAGCTTGAACTATTAGATTTTGTGTCAAAAGGTATACCATATGATTTAGCTTCTCAGATTTTACAGCAACAAAATAATTCTACAATTTTAGCCTTAAATGAGCATATTGATCGAAAAATTAATGCCCACAATGATCTGACACCTTTTGAGCAATGCATTTATAAAGACAAGCAAATTTCGGCATTTTTACCAGAAAATGAAATTAAAAGCTCTTTTATCAACTTAGATTCGGCAACAATTTACCCATGTTATCCAAGAAAGCAAGATACTGAAACCGAACAAGAAAAAAGAACCGGATTTCTCTCATCAACTATAAGAGACCTTTATTTTGAACATCCTGAAAAAATAGAACGTCTTATTAAAATCCACTGTCCTGACGTATTCCAAAAGTACAAAGAAAACCCTGAACGCGGATTAGCTTTCTTAGGAATGATTAGGTATAACAATAAAACAGCACCAATTGAATTCACATACCATTGTAAGCCATCTTATCTTAACGATATAACGGCTGAAGATGACAAAAATTTACAAGAATTTTACAATAAAGGTTTTGATCCCGAAACTGTGAGAGTGCATTATATTGCTTGCAACAAAAACTTATGGCTATTACGAAAGATGCTGAAGTAGACCAATATTATTGCAAACATCACCAGAAAAAAGAATTTTATTAGATTTTTTTAGTAATTTTCACAATCACTGGACATAACATACTTGAAGTATGATTGTATGCATAAGGACTATTATTTACTTTCATAGACTTTGCCCAAATGGTTTAATTTTTTCATTTGATATTATTAGAGTCCACAAAACCAAAACCAATGCCTCCACAACAACTAATCGATTCAGCTGGATCTATTGTTGAGAGCAAAATATCGTAAACTATAACATTGAAATTTTATATTTTTATTTTTCACGATTTCAATAAAATAAACTTAGATTTTATAAAGCACTCACTATCTTAATTATATATAGCTACTTTAAACGACTTGAATTTCCTCGCTGTACGTTAGTAAAAAAATACCCTTCGAAAAATGAAGCGATTACATCTCAAAGAAGGGGAAATTTTTTGTAATTTTAAAATAAAACGGCTGTGGAGAAGTGGAGGCTTCGCTGATACTTATATTGCTCAAGAATTCGATACTAAAAAAGATTATATGCTGAAAATTGAAACAGAAAGTGACAATAAGAAGAGTACACTACTAAACGAGCATAGGGTTTACGAAGTTATACAGAAAAAACAACCTGAAGAATATAGAAAGAGATTTTTAATCGAATATGCATATGATAAAAGAAGTAATGTTCATATATCCGCATTAGAGTTATTAGGAGCTAATTTAGATGATCTTAAGCGTGTAACTAATGGATATTTAGTTGATATTAACAATACATTACGAATTGCAGTTGAAACACTAAGATGTATAAAAGATTTACATGCTATGGGAATTGTTCATGGAGATATTAAACCTGGAAATTTCCTAGTTAGACCAAACAGAAGATTCCCTATTGCATTAATTGATTTTGGTTTATCAGAAATAGAAGATGAGGATAATGGAAGTTCAAAATACAAAGGAACTCCAAAATATTCTTCATTACCAGTGCTTTCAGGAACAAGACCTAAGAAATGTGATGACATTTACTCTTGGATAATATCTATGGTTTATCTTCTCTGCGGTTCTCTTCCATGGTCTCATATCAACAATAAGGATAAGATTAAAGAAATGATGGAGGATGAAGATGGTGAGAAATTTAAAAAGTTTGTTCCTCAAGAGCTGATGGAAATATATCAATATGCTTCATCTCTTGCTAATGATGATAGAAATGCTGAAATTGATTATGAAAAAATTGAAGATCTCCTTGCAAGAAGTATTGTGCGTCATTATGTTCAATGGAAGGATCCATATTTCTGGGAAGATATCAAAGAAGAAGTAATGCTTCGTGTTTCTCCCATACTCTTGACAATTAATAGTGGAGATAAACCAATACCGCACCCAGATCCGGATTCAGATTTATATGATAATGAAGTGTCTATAGAGTTAGTATTCGATGATTCAAAGAAACGTGGCTGTTGCTATTTAATATAATATTCATTATTTTTAATTTCTTATTTATATGTTTTGTAATTAATAAATTGTTATGTATGAGTTTTAAAAAACATTTGCCATAGATAAATACAAACATTTATTAAAAACATGAAAAAATATATAAGTAAAATTACATATAGCTAGAATTGTAGCGTTGTGATCGCTTAACCAGTTCAACAGCTTTTGTATGGATGCATTGAAGCTGAGTGTTTTGAAGTTCTTGAAGTTTTCTTTCATTTTCTTCGATTTCTTTTTCGAGACGAATTTGCTCTTCCCAAAGAGCTTTGTATTCATCTTCCGAGAAATGAGTTGTTTTCTGTTTGATTTCTTCCATTTTAACAAGATGAGAACCAGATTTTTGTTCAATATATGGGTGATCTTTCATAATTTCATTAAGATGTGTAACTTCAGTATTCAACGTGTCTAAATTCTGTCTCTTCTTCTCAATTTGCTTTTTCAATTGTTTGTTTTCATCTCGAGCCTTGTTTGATGTTGTTAGGAGCTTCTGGTATTCTACTTCTGCATTTGCGAAGTCAAGTTTAGATTTTGATTCGAGGTCAATTAAAGATTGAGATTTTGCAGAAGTATATGCCATTGAAAGCTCTTCGGCAGCAAATTTACATAAATTTGCATAGGATGAACATGATTTTGATAGTCTTTCTAGTACTTCTATTGCAGTGGCATTTTCATTTTCGAGCCATTGATGGATTTCTTCTTTCTCTTGAGCTTCTTTTAAAACCCTAGGAGGAATTCTCTTCTTTAAAGCAGTCTGTACTTGTCTTGTCGTTGCTTTATATCCATTTATATCCTTAGGAGAAGCTAAAGCACTTGGTTTATATCCTTTTTGGAAAGCAGGAGGTAAAACAATATCATTCCTCCTTGGAAACAAGCTTGATGTTGCTCGTTTCATTGAATAAAATCAGTGCCGTAAAAAAACGAAATTCTTGAAAATCAAAAAGGTGACACATGAAAGAATAAAAATGGAAAATCAAGATAATAAATAGATTTAGCATGGTATTTACCCATTCTGTTCATCAAATTCGCTCTAATATTCGTAAATTTCAACATCTTTGGTCTGACATGCAATTTGACAATCTGATCGTGCGTAAATAATCAAGCGAGTCGTTTGCATATATAGTGCTTTATTAAGGTACAGACAAGAAATGATGAAATTACTAGTACGCAAGAAAATTTAAAGAACAAAATGTTAAAAAATAAGCTGAATATGATCTGTTATATGACAATCAAGTCGTTGACCTCAATAGGACCTTGCTGCTGGAATGGGGGGAATACATTCGAAGCAAAATCCAATAAAGAATTGAAATCAAAAGCGTTTGCAGGAACAAAGCCGCTATACGAATAAGAAGTCTGGGTGACCTGAGGCATCTGAATCTTTTCAAATGTATTTTTCTCAGGCGATTGACGAGGTTCTATTGTAATAGTAAATTTAGGAGATTTGGTTGGTGATTTGGTCTTCACATTCTGTATTGAATCACGAAAATCAATTAAAGACCTTCCAGTCTGATTGTTCTGAGGTTCAAATTCAGGTGGGTGATAGTTATTTTTAGGGGGTTCGAAATTCAAAAGATCAATCTGTGGCATGATTATCTGAGCTGAATGTATGGGATTTGTGTTGATTGAGTAGTCTGGAAATGGATCTGCAATGTTACTTGCTCTTTCGTTGTTATGGTCTTCGGAAGTGAGTTTTATCCAATCTGACTCGTGAGGATTAACTTCTATGGAGAATCTTCCACATTGCCTAACTGTTTTTTTCCTAGGCTGAGGTTGGGATAACATCTAAAATATTTTTAAAAAATTTGAGCCATAAATAATCGGCAGAAAAAATTTCATTTGAATAAAAGTCGATAATATAAATATCACAATTTTGATGAGTAATGACAACCAAACGATTTTAAAAAATGGGAAAATAAAACGAGATTTAATTATAGAACAATTTATCCTTCTTGATTTTTTTTTTGGAATTTGAATAGTTGGCAAACCGATTATTTTTCTTTCAATTCCATACGATTTGAAATTTTAAACTCAAATTTCAGATTTTATATCAATCTTCTTTTGAAATATTAAAATGTCAAATGTACGATTATTTGTAAAATTATTCTTCTCTTTCAAAATATTGGGAACTTTATAAATAATCTTTTTTAATTTGCTCTCCTTGTTTTTGTTAACAATATTAGGTTTTTTAATCAAAAATGTAAACTTTTCATGAGTATCGTTTTCAAGTAGTAGGATATGACGGGTTTAGTGACCTTTTTTGTTACATCTATATATAGACGATGCATTAAAATATGTTTATTTATAAATCATTAAAAAAGTAACATTAATTTTAAAATAATTTATTTTTTTTATCTTTTATAAAAGAAGCTATATATAGATGATGTCAGATATTCCGCGATTAATTAAACATTGTTTAAATCCTGAATGGGTTAAACTTCAATTTAAAAATGAAGATTGTGAATTATTAAATGAATATGAAAGCCAAAATAAGCTAATGAGGTATAAATATAATGATAAAGAATATTTAATTTCATGGAATCAATGGAGTCATAATCAAAGACCTCATAAACGAGAAGAAGAAATTGAAAATAATGAAATGGAAATCATTGATGACATTAAAGAGGATGGAATTCCTAAATTTTGTAGAGAAAAACTTTTAGAACTAAGTTAGGAAGCAATATAAACGTAGAGTATTAAATCCTGAATATCTTAAAACATCAATTTAAAAAGGAAGACTGTGAATTATTAAACGCTAATGAATATGAAAATGCTAAATCAAACTGAGATATAAATATATATGGAAGTGATGAAAGGTGTAAAGATAAAGATAAAGTTTATTCAGTTTCATATAATAACTGGCACACGTTAGGGATAAGAAAACATTTAGGAGATTATGGGAAATGTTCTGAATTCTTTAAATCTAGTATATACGAGAGAGTAAAAGAAATTAGAAATAATTATTTTCATGAATAAAAGATTCACTACCATAATGAAATAAAAAAAAATTTTAAAAAATAAACTTTAAAAATTCATGTCTTATATTTTTGAATAATTTATTTTTTTAATTCGTAAGAAATGAGTGAATCTAAATTTCGTGACTGTGAATCAATTAATGAATAAACTTCACCAATTCTCACCAGGTTAAACAAGTAGACGTTTATTTTGATGATTGCGTACAAAGTTTATTTTATAAAGGTAAGTTTAATATTAAACCTATTGCTTTTGCATTTGATGGTAAATTAATCGAAAATTCAAAAATTTGGGAATTAATTCCGGATATTTGAATTTATAACAAATATTAAGGATAAATGGTTTAAACAACAAAACACCTCACTAAAGTTCTTTGTAGATTAATGATTAAAACTGAGGAAAAAGAATTTAAACGGGTTTAAATATCATCCGTGTAAAATTTTAGAACTTGGTATACGAAAAACTTCAGAAAAAATTAAACGATAGACTATCAAAAGATAAAGTTGAAAGAGTATATAAACTCGCTAAAGGTAATGGTAATGGTAATGATGAAGAAGAATTTGATGAGTTCAACATTGAACTTTAAAAAGAACTAATGATTATTTGAATTTATGAAATCAATTATTTGATTCATTCTTTCTTCAATCTCTTCTATTCTTTTTGTTAAATATCATCTATTTTCATTAATGAGGTGATTCTTGATTGAGGAATAGATTTCAAACTAACCACTCCTTTTATTTTTGAAATTTTGAATCCATCAACTTTAAACATTTTATTCAATTTACACGTTGTCAATTCTTCAAATAATTTTTTATTATTAGCATAATAGTCATTAAATTCTTCAACAGATGAAAAAATTTTTATTTCAGTAATTGGTTTAACAACGTTTATTTTTTGTTGAACATTTTTCACTTTCATTTATTTCTTCCTCCTCTGTTTCATTTATTTTTTAAAATCGGTTTCATTTATCATTAAATAAAAATTAGAATATAAGTGATGAAATATATTTTTAATTAATATTAAATCAGAAATGGCGGCAGGATTCTTTAAAAAATTATGGGATGGAATTAAGAAAGCTGCGGGTTGGGTTTATAAAAAAGATTATTAAACCCATTGCAAACTTTTTGGCACCAGTAGCGAAAACGGCAGGAACTATCATAGGTGGAGTATTAGGTACTAAAGCAGGTAATCCGGCGATGGGAGCACAAGCAGGTAACGCAGTTGGTGGAATTGCTGAAGGAATACTTAATAAAATAGGAGGTAGATAGTGGAAAAATAAATAAATATTATTTTTATCTTAGTATCGGTTGTAGTCTTTGATAAACTTTTTCTCCTTTATTTAAAACTTCTCTTATTGGGGCAGCTTTTGGTGTTATTGATTCAGCAACGTCACTAATTGCTTCTTTATTCTTAAATATCCAATTTGCCTCCTTCTTCAATGTTTCCTAAACTTTACTCGCTCCTCTTTTTACTCTATTCCACAGTTTCTTAAATATACCTGCAGCCATAGTTGATTATTTCATTAAAATTAAAAATTAATTTTCATCTTTTAATTTTGATTTTTTATTTATTAATAAATGACGACTAACTATTTGGTGCCAAACACTAAACCGATTAATGGAAATGTGTTTCATTCATTCGAAAAGATAAATGAAATATTCGCAAAGAATGACGGTAGAAGATATTATAGAGAACTTGAAAGTTCATGCTATGACTCTGATGCTCCATATTTTGATGATAAACAAACTCATTTAAGAATTCCAAATCCGGCTCATGATGTGAACCAATTAGGTGACACATATATTAAACGCAAAGTTAAAGCAACTCTAGTTTCAAATAAAGCTTTCACATGTGATGCCGCTTTTAAATGCATGCGTTTATTCGTTGGTTACAAATCATCAAATCAAAGCTTTAAACAATTAGAAGTAGAAACCGAAAGAGGTGATGCCGGTTATCTTCAAATGGATTGCGCCCGTGAATCTTTCGCATTTGCAACATATAAACCAAAATCAGAAAGGAAAGTTAAAAAGTTTGTTCATTCGTTATATAATAATGTTCAAAAATATGATAACTCAATATGTGGTAAATATATTGACCCTTCAGAAGTTTTCAAGAAAGCAAATGAAGAAGTTGATGTCACTTTTGATATGATTATTCCGGTAAATGATTTGTTAGCATTTCAGGCGTTCGATGATTATCCTAAATCATTTGGTGATATAATTCTTAAATATTATGTTTTCAGGGATACTTTAGTATTTTGTCAGGTTGACCCGTTAAGAGTTGCTGATTTACAAAATTACGTTTATGAAAGAGAAACTGATGAAAATTATGAAAAGATTATGAATCATGTTTATAAATATGATCGCAAATTCCAACAAATCGGACTTCCTACCAAATTAATTACAAGCTTAGCCGCTACATCTGCTGACGCAACAGTTGATGACGTTATTATTTCATGCACAAAGATGGAAGTTTTAGAGGATAAATGCATTACACCAGGATACGGTTTAATTGAAGAATCAGTTAAAGCAATACCACGTTTATTCAGTAAGGAAGATCCATTCATGATTCCAGCTCAACATATTGACGTTCGTTCACTAAATGGAGGTTGCATCACTCCTGAAGGTATTAGCTCAGATTTCTCATACGCTCTTCATAATGTTACAGATGTTGTGTTAGCATTTCCGAAGAATGCAATGCAAAGAACGATTTTAGAAAATCCAATGCTTCGAGGTCTTCAGGTCACTATAGATTCCAGAAACTTCCCCGATCAAGCGATGACCACAGTGGGTGACATATTCTTTACACGTATGCTTCAAGCTTCTGATTTAGATGGAGTGAATGAATGCACAGAAGAATACGAGGACTCATTAACTAGACCACTGAATGCAGATGATGGCACGCCATTAGCTAGAACATGGAAAGACCAAACTTCATTCTTATGCACTTTCCAGTTCAACGTGATGGAGCGGGTATATTCTTTGATGGATTAGAAACTTTCAACTCACAAGTTACAGTACAAGTGAAAGCTTATCCAATCATTCAGGGTGAAAATGACACTTACTGTTCAAAGGTGACAAATCCTCCTCAGGTTTGGTTTACTAGGACTACATATTGGACATGGACACCGGATGAAGGTTTGAAATATCATCCAACAGGTACACCACCACAGTATAGAAGTTCATATGATGAAATATTGATGAATAGAAATGTTTAAAATTATAAATTTATTTTTGATTAAATGGATTTAAATTCATCCACTCCTTATGAAGAATTAGCAGGAGTATATAATACATACATAGATGATATGATTAATGAAGCATTGAGTGATAATAGAAATGCTCTATCTAAGGAAAAATTAATGAAAATTCCATATTCTGAATGTTACTTAAATTCAATCACTGCAGCAATTGGTAAACAAAATAAAGGTAAAACATTAACGATATTAAAACAAATTATCATTATTGCTAACACTTCCCCCTATTCACATGTGTTAATTTATATCAACCGTTCAGGTTCACCTTCAGATGATACATTTGAATCTTTAAAGCATTTAATCAAAATTCCAATTATTTATTTATCACAAGAAGAAGCAGAAGATTATTTAAAAAACTTTTTAATGTATAAAGAATTATATAATACAATCAAGAAGCAAGGATTAGAGGATAAAATTATTGATAAACAACGGGATGAATTATTTGAAAAAAAATCTTGATATGATAAAGAAAATGTGTTTAAGTTGATGGATAAAATGTTTTGTATTGATGGGTAAGAGTTAGGGTCTAATGTTTGATGTGAAAATCTCATTGGGGTATTAACTTTATCACATTTGATTAAAATGAAATTGGAACCAGTGTCAAAATACAAAACATCCCCAACATCTTTTTCAAAATTTAATATCCCCAACAATGAACGAAGATGAGGAGTACAAAATTTAATTTTCAGCGGAAATTTAATAAGGTTATTTATTTCATCAAGTTCAAAAAGTTTATCAGGTTTTGATTTAAAATTTTCTTCATACCATACGATAAATGATTCATTTAAATAACTTAAAATCATGTTAATATCCCATTTCGCTATCACATTATTTATATACATATCATACGTTTTTTCAAGGTCATCTTTAATAAATGATATATAATCTGAAGGGTCTAAAAGAATGGGATTAAATTTACCACTCACAGAAACGAGAGTAACATTATAAATTCCGCTAACTGTTAAATTTAATTCACAGTTATTATTCGAAATAATATTGATAATTGACATTTTTTATTACGATTAAAAATATGGTAAAGCGTTATTTTCCAGTGATAAATATTTTGATAGAGAATTTTTGCATTCACTCATTTTTCTAGATGATGCAGTGAAATCAAAACTAATAACAAATGAGAAATCATATTTTAATCAGTTATTAACTCAATGTCGACACATTCAGTGTTCATTCTTCATGGCTGTTCAATACTTCAAAGCATTAAGCACAAACATTAAATCAAATCTATCAACCCTTTTCATTTTCAGTGGGTTTAGTCGTCAACAGTTGAACGTTATGCTTTATCAAGTGAATTTACCAATGAGCATTAATGAACTTTACACACAATATCAGCAATTAGGTGAAAATGGAAAAATAATAGTTGATTTAAATAAAGGAAGTGTTAAATTTGATTAATTTTTTATAATTAATTTTTATTTTTTATTTATAATTAAACATGACAGAAATAGCAAATCTTCTACAGGTTCCATTAAAACAAGGAACAAACAAAAAGGGTGCATATAATAGAACTATGAAAGTTCCTGATGGAATGAAAGAATTAGTTCATATTGTTGCTGGTCTTCAAAAAGATGTTAAACAAATGAGAAACGTTTTAACATTACCAGAAGCTCAAGCATATGCCAAACGTCAAGGTCCAAATTGGGAAGCACACGAAGCAGACATTACAGGTCCAAATGGAAAACCTGATGGTATAAATGAAGTTTTCATTACTGATGGTCAAGGTAATATTAAAGTCATAAATGGTTATAAATTAACTATAACTGATTATCCTAAACGTAAAGCATATAATGAACGTTATCCTATGCAATTTGATGAAAATGGAAAAGCTGTTAAACAATACATTGGAGAAGGTGAAAATGGTCCAATTAATTCATACCGTTATAATCCATATTCTTATTTCAATGAAGAATTAAATGCTATTGAAGAGGGACCGGATGGATTACCACGATATTCTAACCAGTTTGATGGTCAATATGCAAATATTAGACCTGAAATTTCAGCTAAGAAATTCTTTAAAGTTGCTTTATTCGATCCAGTTTTCGCAAATGTTAAAGATGAACTTAAACATCAATTCCAACCAATTATAGTAGCAAGAATTGCATCAGGTGCTTTATCTCAAGCATTCAAAGATTTAATTAAGAAACCATTATATCAGCAACGAGGTTTAACTTATGATTTAGTTAAGGAATCAGATAAAAGAAAATTTGAGAAATCAGATGATTATAAGAATGCAATTAATGAATATATTAGGTCTATTAATTACAATGAAACAGCTAAAAATCAACTTCAAGAACAAATACAGGGAATAATAGATTCAAAACTTCCAGCAAAATAAAAGTTTAAATATATTTTTTTATTCGATTATAAATGAGAAGACGTTTCACTAGTCAAAAGAACACTAACGCAAAAGCAGAGATTACGGTTGGTTATAACGTAAATGATGATAAATCACGAATTATTCAAAATGTTAAAGTTAATGTTAGCCCTGAATTAACAAGGTCAGCAACTCAACCAAATTTATTAACTCGTGACTTACCGAAGAATGAGGAGAATGAAGAAAACCATGAGAATGGAGACCCAATCATTTTATCTGAACCTGGTAAAGAACCTGTTGAAATTCCCACTTATCCAACATACCCCTCACCTCTTTCATCAAACATCGAGAACCCATATAAAATAGACATTAATTCTGAATTAATGAAAATTTACCGTGATATAATAATTAATAATTATGATTCAATAATAAATTTAATTGATCAATCCGGTTTAATTATTTTACCTTATGAATCATTAATTCACATTATCGCCATTCTTTGTGATGTTCAAGATTCAGACGTTAAGATTTAATTTTTCATAGATGATGAGGTTTCATGCTGCGGAACAGTTGCAAAAATAAATCCTATAAAGGATATTAGCACAATTAAGATATCAAAGAACGGAACAACAACTGAACTTCATTTAACATATAATGATATTTATAATAAAATAGTTGATGAATATAAAATATCACTTGAAAAATTCTTTGTTAAGGCTATTTAATATTCAAGCATTAACATTATCGAATAATAATCCTTTGAATCATAATCAATAATAATTGACCTTTCACCAGTTTCTATCGTTTGTTTTATTTCTTTTTGTTCCCCACTATCCGGATCGGTCATTGTAATTGTTTTTGTTATAGTATCAGCTTTATCTTTAACTTCAATCTTTTTTCCATCGGGATATTTAAACCAAAATTCCAAAAATTCGATATTGTCAATCTGTTCATATTTTAATCTATCAATTACATTTTTAATACCATCTGAAAATCTTATGAAATGGTCATTATATGGGTTTGATTGAACTAAATTTGAATGAAGTGAAATATAACCTGTTGATGAATATGACACTGACTCATATTTTCTGAAAACACTAAAATTTATAACATGAATGAATTTCTTATTCGTTGAATTTATGAATTCTTGAGGTAATCTTATTCTAGTTTTATAGGGTGTCCAAAGGTGCGTTTAGCACAGCGCTCTATATGAGACTATTAAAGGAGATATATGCTGATTATAAATATATAATAAAAAATATGAATATATGTATATGATGAGTAAGTTGTATTTTGGCGCCATGCCGGGATATAAAATGAATTTTGAGACAAGAGGCGGTTTCGCGGGAAATTTTGGCGGGATTTTTTTCATTTTTTTAATGAATCATAAAGAAAACATCCTCGCTCTTGCAAAAAAATGCAAAGACTGTAAAAAATCTACGAGACATTGGTAAAATGCTTCGGTATGGATGCTCCTAGCTATTCCACTGTAACGTATCATGTTAGGATGTATCACTTCATGAACAAAAAGGCGCCCATCATAAAAATTGACAAAAAATCGCCGGATCAAAGAAAAATCAAAGCAATTCTTCAAGCGCTAGATGAAGACCCAAGAGCATCACTCAGAAGGATAGAGGAGATGACAAAGATACCACGTACAACAGTCAGTTATTATCTGCACAATTATTTGAACTACAAACTAGCGTATACACGTTGGGTTCCGCACAACCTTAATTCAGTTCAAAAAAATCTAGAGTCCAATCTTCGAAAGAGCTCCTCTCTATATTGCGTGCGTATCAATCCAAGAAGTTTCGCTTTTTAGTAACAGGGGACGAGTCTTGGTTTCAATATGCAACAGAAGCCAAAATCATGTGGATCCCGAAGGATGAAAATCCGCAAACATTCCCGAAGAAAAAAATTGACACACCAATGATGATGTTGTCGGTTTTTTGGGGCGTGAATGGTATCATCGCAATTGATATTCTTCAAAAACCTAATACGATGAATGCTCAGTATCTAATTGACAATGTTCTTACTCAAATTATCAATTCTGATGAGTTTGAGAAATCCAAACAACAAAAACAAAAGTTTGCAATTCATTTTGATAATTCAAGAGTTCACAAAAGTCATAAGGTAATGAATTACTTGGTGGAAAACAATGTCAAAGTTGTTCCAAACCCAATTTATTCACCTGATATTGCACCCTCTGACTTTTATTTATTCGGCACGCTAAAAAAGAGAGCTGAAGGACGCGAATTCGCGAGTCCAGATGATCTTGAAAATTTTGTAAGAGAGCAATTTGAGCAATTTTCTCATGATGATTTAAAGCGTGTCTTTCAAGCCTGGATCGATCGCTGCGAACGCGTGATTGAATCCAATGGTGATTATATTTAAATAAACTTTATATATATGTAACTTGTTTATTTCTATTCGCAGTATTCAGGTTTGTGCTAAACACACCTTTGGACACCCTATATTTATCACTGGAAAATAACGCTTTACCATATTTTTAATCGTAATAAAAAATGTCAATTATCAATATTATTTCGAATAATAACTGTGAATTAAATTTAACAGTTAGCGGAATTTATAATGTTACTCTCGTTTCTGTGAGTGGTAAATTTAATCCCATTCTTTTAGACCCTTCAGATTATATATCATTTATTAAAGATGACCTTGAAAAAACGTATGATATGTATATAAATAATGTGATAGCGAAATGGGATATTAACATGATTTTAAGTTATTTAAATGAATCATTTATCGTATGGTATGAAGAAAATTTTAAATCAAAACCTGATAAACTTTTTGAACTTGATGAAATAAATAACCTTATTAAATTTCCGCTGAAAATTAAATTTTGTACTCCTCATCTTCGTTCATTGTTGGGGATATTAAATTTTGAAAAAGATGTTGGGGATGTTTTGTATTTTGACACTGGTTCCAATTTCATTTTAATCAAATGTGATAAAGTTAATACCCCAATGAGATTTTCACATCAAACATTAGACCCTAACTCTTACCCATCAATACAAAACATTTTATCCATCAACTTAAACACATTTTCTTTATCATATCCGTTTCAATTATCCGGGAATTCATTTATTCTTCATTCAAAAGATTTATCAAATATTAAATTTAGAATAACTGACCTATTTGATTGTGATTTAGAATTTATGAATGAAATATTATGGCAATTTCAAATAGAGAAAATAGCTGATGAGATAACGGATTAAATATAGGGTGTCCAAATGTGCGTTTAGCACAGCGCTCTATATGAGACTATTAAAGGAGATATATGCTGATTATAAATATATAATAAAAAATATGAATATATGTATATGATGAGTAAGTTGTATTTTGGCGCCATGCCGGGATATAAAATGAATTTTGAGACAAGAGGCGGTTTCGCGGGAAATTTTGGCGGGATTTTTTTCATTTTTTTAATGAATCATAAAGAAAACATCCTCGCTCTTGCAAAAAAATGCAAAGACTGTAAAAAATCTACGAGACATTGGTAAAATGCTTCGGTATGGATGCTCCTAGCTATTCCACTGTAACGTATCATGTTAGGATGTATCACTTCATGAACAAAAAGGCGCCCATCATAAAAATTGACAAAAAATCGCCGGATCAAAGAAAAATCAAAGCAATTCTTCAAGCGCTAGATGAAGACCCAAGAGCATCACTCAGAAGGATAGAGGAGATGACAAAGATACCACGTACAACAGTCAGTTATTATCTGCACAATTATTTGAACTACAACTAGCGTATACACGTTGGGTTCCGCACAACCTTAATTCAGTTCAAAAAAATCTAGAGTCCAATCTTCGAAAGAGCTCCTCTCTATATTGCGTGCGTATCAATCCAAGAAGTTTCGCTTTTTAGTAACAGGGGACGAGTCTTGGTTTCAATATGCAACAGAAGCCAAAATCATGTGGATCCCGAAGGATGAAAATCCGCAAACATTCCCGAAGAAAAAATTGACACACCATGATGATGTTGTCGGTTTTTTGGGGCGTGAATGGTATCATCGCAATTGATATTCTTCAAAAACCTAATACGATGAATGCTCAGTATCTAATTGACAATGTTCTTACTCAAATTATCAATTCTGATGAGTTTGAGAAATCCAAACAACAAAAACAAAAGTTTGCAATTCATTTTGATAATTCAAGAGTTCACAAAAGTCATAAGGTAATGAATTACTTGGTGGAAAACAATGTCAAAGTTGTTCCAAACCCAATTTATTCACCTGATATTGCACCCTCTGACTTTTATTTATTCGGCACGCTAAAAAGAGAGCTGAAGGACGCGAATTCGCGAGTCCAGATGATCTTGAAAATTTTGTAAGAGAGCAATTTGAGCAATTTTCTCATGATGATTTAAAGCGTGTCTTTCAAGCCTGGATCGATCGCTGCGAACGCGTGATTGAATCCAATGGTGATTATATTTAAATAAACTTTATATATATGTAACTTGTTTATTTCTATTCGCAGTATTCAGGTTTGTGCTAAACACACCTTTGGACACCCTATATTTATTTTTAAATCGTAATAAATGATTAAACAACAGCAACTTAAGGCGCAAAGCGCCCAGGTCCTTCAGACCATTACATACGCCATATATGTATATAATTCAAAGACGGCAGAACAAACGCAAAGGTTGAAATATGGAGATTTGGAGATAGTATTGAAAAATGACCATTTCGAATTCGTTTGCAAAGGTGGTGCAGTGATATCAAATATAAAAGAAATTTTATTTATGAATTCAAAAATTAAAGGAATAACGGATGATATAACATCAATTCCACCAGAAGAACAGAGATATTACGCATTAAATGCATTTCCCAAAGTTTTGAAGATTGGAAGATTTAATTTAAATGAGGAATTCATAGAAGGTTTCCTAAATGACATAATGAAGAAGGTGGATAAGGAATATGTGGATAGTGAGTTAATGAAGAAAGCAGATTTAGTTTATGTTGATGAAAAAGATAATGAAATTAAAGAAAAGGTTGAATGGTATCATGAATGGACATTGGAGACTTTTAAAGTTAAAGCTGATACAGAATGGGTTTCAGGATGTTTAGACCTTAAAGCAGATAAAACTTATGTTAACGATGAGTTAGAGAAGAAAGCAGATAAGGAAAAAGTTATTTCATTCATTAATACTGAGTTAGCAAAGAAAGCTGATATATCATTTGTTAATGAAGAAATAAAACAATCAGAGGTCTATTTTACTCCACCATTTTTAAATTTTATGAAATCATCAGATAAAACCTTTGATATAGATTCTTTTGAATGGATATGTTTCGATGGAGTGACCATGTATTTATTTTATACAGCTGGAGTGCTTTATTATTTTAAAACAAATGATTTTAAAAACTATGAATCATTTACTCCATCTGTTTGGAATCCTGATACACGAAAGCCAATCATTAATCCAAGAATTTTATATGTTGAATATAATAACGGTAAATTTATGGGAATGATAACGGTTGGAGATGATTTTTGCCCTTGTTATTCATTCGATT